TCCAAAGTGAACTTTTGTTAACCCGAATGATTTTAGCTTCGTCATTGGAAAAACATGTCATCAGCTTGTAAGGCTTATCAACACGAAGAACATCGTGTCAATAAATTTACCTCAGAAACTATAGGTGCCAGGCAGATTTACTCTACGATTCTACGACGGGACCTTAATTTAGAACGCACTATACACATTTCCTGCCACATTCATATATATTATAATATTAATTACAAACAAAATAACGACCAAACCCAAGTTCGTGATAGTTCAAAGTAAGCCTGTTGAGCATGATCGCCTGAACTATTTAAATTTAAGACGAATGCTGTAAGCCACATGCACCTCAGGAAAAAAAAATTTCGACTCAGCACGGAATATTAATTTAATATTTATTTATTTTTTAATTTTTTTTTTAATGATTTTTAATCACACTTCTATTAATAAAGTAGTCGATACTTCTCCAATCCTTCCGGTTCTTTTTTCATTAAAAATAGAACTAGAGCTGATTTATATAAATTATGTGGTTTGTTGTATCTATTTTTATCTTAGTAAATGATATTCAGGTATAGAATCGATACTTTTCTCCGGAATACTATTTTGCAAAGATCTCGTCAGCAAATTCCAATGTTGCTGAGTGCTGACTAGCTTCGAATCACTAGTTTCATTCTCGGCATATCTTGACATTCATAAGAATGCTAGAAATAATTGTTACTAATTAATAAGATGCCGAATTGCCAAAGTTGTTCCTGTTAAATGCCTTTACCGTAACAAGTAATAGACTAGGAAAAAAATAACAAATGATTTTTTCTTGTTGAACATGGCGTTGTTGGTCACCAAACGAAAAAAACTTCTTTTACATTTTATGTAATCAATGAATATTAATTCTTCGATTTTGATTTCGAATATTACTCTGGGACGTAAGCAAAATCATAATCATCATTTCCAAAGGAAAAAATCACTTGAAATATGGACGCAACCTATGAAATTTATTCTTTGATTTTTAATTCAATAATATTATTACGCTTGACGTAGGCGTAATCAGAATCACCATTTTAAAACAAAAAATATTCTTGAAATTCTGATATATACTATATTCACAAAGCATGTGCGAAGAAGAGCCATAGTTTTAGAATCGTGAAACCAGTGCAAATTGCAATCCAAGAAATAAATATACCACCTTATGAGGAAAAAATCTTCTTATCATACATGTTAAAGGTGATGGAATAGTGTTGTGAAGATTCCGAGAGAAATATAGTTTTTGTAGCTAAACATATTACTTCTGTTGTTGTGTTTTTCTATGTTCGATAACTCGAAAAATTTTGTAAATTTGTTTACTTCGGAAATTCCATAGCCATGTAGTTGGGCATGTAAATCTCGTGGCACAAAATTTCTATCTCATTTCGATGTTAAAGCGTTTACAACACGTGTAACATTGCTAGAAACACGGCTACGATACTTTAACAATTTGTAAATGATTACCTGAATGTTTTACTAGGTTTTGTGTATATTGTCAGCAAAAAACGTTAAATTATTTCGTAATTTTCGTGTCATTTAATTTCTGACGTCGAAGTCGAAATTGAAAAAGTTGAGGTCAAATTTATATTTAATATTCCGAAAAACTAACTTACAATGCAATTCTTGAATCAGTTATTTTTTCACGCCCAAATCTGTAATATACAGTGATATATAAAGTAAATTTCTACCGCCATATTGGGTCAAACGAATGGTAAATGGAGAAATTGCCTATTTGCTATACAAGATTACAATAAAGTGTATTATGTAGATCAAATACAACCACACTAAAACATTGAATCATCATTTTGATTAGACCACTTCAATTTAAATTTTTAAAACATCGCTGTAATCGACCGAGAATCGCAGCATCGAATAATTTTTCATCGTTGTAATAATAGATCTATGACTAACACAGAGAAATTTCAAACCGTTGCAATTTTTTCGAGAAAGGGAAAAAAGGGTTTCAACATGGTTTTAACTTTAGAAATGATGTAATGTAATGCGATGGTTGGAAGGTTTCCTTGGGCGATATGTGATGTCATTTTGCCAATCAAGTGAGACCGACCGTTCATCCGTGATTCTCGTGTGCGGTTGTCGACATAGAAACCTAATAAGTTTGATTTTAAACAAAAATTCATAGATTTATTCCACTTTTGATAAACTTTTTTTAGTTTTCATTATTAAAAGTCAACGACATCGCTGTAGGTAAAGTGAAGTATATACATATAGTCTTTCAATCCTACAGTTTTGCCCATGCTATCTGTGATCACTGTTGCATTTATAATAATATACAATGAAGAGGTCACATTTTATATGCTCCTATTTTCGCAAGTATTTTTTGATATATTCCAAATCAAAACAAATTGACTAATCACAAAGTAACTTATGTATCAAGAGAAACGCGCCAATACCTCATTTATCAATAATCATAGTAAAAAAATTCGAGTAGAATAGTATACAATCGAATAGATTCAAATGGGTATTACTTGGAAATTTTATATTCACATATTTTTTCAGTAGTGTATGACATTTGAAAACGTAAACGAATTACGAACGAATTCTACGATGTGATAGCTGGTTTTACTTTGGTTGATATCCTTAGGCGATGTATGATGATAGTTTACATAAAAATTTGTATTCTGCCTCAACTGTAATCCGGTTACATATGAAATCGTTCGGGCGCAACAATTTTCCGTAATCCTGAAAATCAAACGTTTACCTTGGCGAGGAAATGTACATACAACATGTCAGTCGTTTATAAAATTCTACGACAACGGCTTTTGAAACTTTGCCTACTTTATATTTGCTTTTCTATTTCGGTTTCTACACCATTTTGTGTAGCATACAAATCCTTCCTGATGATTTGTGTTTGCGATATATATATATGGAATAATGTTGGGCCTGTCATAACTTAATATATTGCTCTAATTTGGTAAAGTATGGTATTATTTCTTCTGCTATGAAAACATCGAACGAATAACAGAATTCTATACGATTTTTTTTACCAAACTACCTAACTATTTGATTCAGCTGGTCTCGAATATCAGCAAACGCTTAATCACCTTTTACCAGATCAAAATATTATAAAATTATAATAATCAATAAAATTATAAAAATATTATTTTTGTTGAAATTTTTGCCTTAAACAATGCTTCACGCACTACTTGATAAGCAAAAATGCGTAAAATTATCAAAGCTTGCGATTTCTGGTATAAAATTTATGGAAAATAAATTGCATTTCAATAATAGGTAGCTTCACCAAACCGATTTGTTATTGCTATTTGCTATTTGAATTTTCCTTCAAGCATTGCATTGCGTTTCACTTAATTTACTACCAAATTATTCGAAAATTCATTCAACTTTTAGTTGGTTACCAAAATCTAGTTGATTGAGTTATTCCAAACTTTGCACTCAGCATGAACTTGGAATCCCAACTTGGAAATGTGAGAGGCTAAACTCATAATGTAATTTGTATACATTCGTATTTTGCACTAACAAAATTTAGTTGTGGTCTTAAAATATGCTCATTTGAATTTCTATGAGAGCCTTGGCAGTTGACGGGTGGGAATGTACTAATACTTTTTGTCCAGTTTCCTATTTTGTATGTTCGATTATACGCAAAATTTTTGTGTTGTTAGTCGTTACAATGTTGAAATCACCCTTTCGAGTTCAAAATTGAGATTTTATGCGATAGACATATAATTAATGAACGACATTCTCACCGTATTGCTTCAAAAACAAGCATTTTAATGACAAACTTCACAAGTGCTTATTTTCTTTTTAAGTATGAGAATACAATCGATAAGTTGGTTGGAAAACAATTGCAAATCACACTTTTGAGATAGATGAAAGGCGCCGGGTCACCGCTGATTGCTTTCTGCGAAAATTGACCAAACTAAAAGTAACTCTAAACATTTTCCGGTCTGAATCAAATACTATTATTTAGTCTGCTCTTCGTTGGAAGGCGTTATTAAAGCAGATGGCTACCCGGTAATTTTATCAGCAAATTAAAAAGACTTAACCATTGATTGCCAATTTCTTTAGTCTTCTTGACAGGAAACAATTTGTCGCACATCTCATTACAAATCTAGTCCACCTTTAGCAGATTACTACAAATTTTTTTGAAATATTGTAAAATTAGTACTCTTTACCTTCTTCAATTTGGATAGTTCAAATTTTTAAAAGGCTGTCATTTTAGTAAGCTGGTCTTGATTGTTTTTTAGATGACCTCTTTCAAGATTGTAACGACGGTAAAGTGGTAACGGACAACAAAACAAACTTGACTCTCTTTACTGAACGCGTATTATCACAAAATATGTTTGCAAATATTGAAGTATTCGTCTATGGCTGTCGATTGTGTTGTTCCGTAGTTCCGAACGTAAAACATGCATGTACAAAACTACAATTATATTTTTTGAAAATGACAGTTGTAAGCCGTAGTTTCACAATTCGGTAGTAAAATATTTTACACTGTTCTCGTTTTGAAATTGATTTAATATATGACCCAGTAAGATTATTCCTTTTTTACTGAGATTGTGTCAGTCACTCAATTAAGTGAAAAGGTTATAATTTTAGAGTGAGAGCCTGTCATTCTTATGCGACTGCTGACACAGGTTTGTAAGCAGATTGCTGTAACCTAACAGGAACTACAAGCCTGAATCCAAAGCCATATTTGACCCAAAATTTATTTGATTTTCTTCCGAATTCCTATCTATTTTACCTTAATTGCTAACCCGTTTGTAACAAATTAGATATATTTTATGATCATGTTTTTTTATTGAAATACAATAATATAGTGCTGTGAATTACCTCACACACACAGTATTAATAAAATAATACAGAAAAGGATAAAAACAGATAAGAACAGTAAGTTGACGCTAGGAAAATATCGCGAAAATATGTAATAGCGAATTAAAATTTTAATAACAATAATTATACCAGGCGATCGCATCTTTCAAAAATCACAAAATAAAACAAAAATTGGCTGATAAAATATCAAATATAAATTATTTTATGGAAGCCAAAAATTTATTCTCTAAAATAGAAATGCATGTATATTACAATACAAATAATTACGAATATAATTTAGCGTTAATACACAAAGCAAGAATTTTAAAAAATAATACGAATTTTAAAGGAAAATGAGAATCATTATGTCTTCATAAAGACGGTATATAACGTTCAATACTAAATATTGGTGAACGGAAATAAATATTCATAATTCTGATAAGTCTGAAACCATTTCACAATTTGGAACTTTGCAGCACTCACAAAAAATGCTTTGTGGAAATATGTACATACAATTGGTATTTCACAGTAATTGAACTATAGTGTCGCTTTTTCAAGTTGAAATCTTAGGCGTGTGATTTTATAATTATACTATAGAATAAGAATGCTTTAGATAGTTGGCCAAGAACCCTGCTGATGGGTGTATATCGAAGACGGAACTTGGTGATACTGGTGTTGATTTTCGTGTTGTAGATATGAATTAGCATAATAAGGATGATGTCGAAAATGATGCATATGCGACGTGCCATTGGCTTGGGTAGTTTGGACATTTGTATTTCGATAATCGAAGTGATTTTGGTTGGCATTGGCACAGTTTGAAAAATTCGAAGTTGCCATATTTATTGGACTGTTAGCGGCGGCCATGTCTTGAACGTCTTGTGAATGCCCGACCTCACAATACTGGGAAGAAAATAAATTTGGAGCAATTGATGCTGAAAAATGTCCGCGTTGAATTTTTCCTTGTAAATCTCCTTGATGTGTTGAGACTGTTTTGTATCCAGCATCCTGCTTTACATTCGATATGTTGTTAGAAATTTCACCACCATAAAAACCTTCGTACTGTCGTTGTGCCGCCGTGTTACACATCGAAACATTGACATCACATTGACTGGTATCAGAGGATTTGCCGCTTGGAACTGTTCCAGTATAGTTGGAGGTAAATGCAGGATTTGCGTGCTTTGGGATTTGATGGCCCGTTGGGGACATTTGCTCTGTTTTAACTGGCACAGTAGGTAACATGTTCGAATTTTGCGACGCTTCGTATTGTGTTACCGGCGAGGGAATACTTTTTGGAGACCTTTGTGACATTTTTTGTGGCGACGAAACCTGACCGCCGTGCATCGAAAAAGTTGACGTGGGAACCGTAGGAGATGGCTCCATTCCACAACTTGATTCATTTTGCGGGTACTGCGTCATCGTTTGATGTTGTTGTGGAGAGGTGGAATGTTGTCCTATCTGTGGAACCACTCCGTCTAATGTCCCAGAGTCGACTCTAGTAAGCGGTGAGGATGAGCTACCCTGTATCCAACCAGAATTGGTTGACGACGAGGATGATACTCTTCTCAAAGGCATGAATGGTTGATGGGGTGATTGTGAATCGTGCATTGTACCCTCGCACTGTCCGTGTTGAGCACGAGCGGAATAGTCGACCGGGGACATCATTGCTTCACTGTTTTCGTAGTATATTGACCCTTGATTTTGTTTCGAATAATCCAATCCTGCAGATCCAGGGTATCCTTGATACCGAGATGTCATTTGCGCCGAGTTAGCATTTGAATACTTTCCATAGTCCTCATAACACGAATCATTTCCGGCCATCAAGGTGTCCTGGGCTGTCGCAGAAGTATAATCTTGATGCATTGCATGAGAATATGGGTGGGGCAGTTTGCCTAAAACGTTCAGGTGCTGCGGACGACTCATTGATTTAGCATCGATGTGATTATTTTTATGAGTGTCGCACATTGACTCGTCTTTTAGTCCGCTGTTTTCATGTTCTGGAATTTGCATTTTGGAATGTATTTCGCCATATGCCGAAGCACAAGCAATTGAAGATGACTGATTCTCGTGTAGAGAGGAGTTAATATAGTCCATATTCATTGGGTTGCTAGCTGCCGTGACGCTAGATTGTCCCATTGAGGAATTAACAAAATGAGACGAATCATTTGACATTGGGTAGTAGGGACTTGTTGTTGGCCCATGCAATGAGGAAGATGTGGGTGAAAGTTGACCATAAACTTCACCATTTGTGGGTGATCGATGCTGGGTAATTGGATGCGCCACCAGCGCAGCTTGTTGCTTTTTCAAATTAATTTGCGGCATTATTTGCTTTTTGCATGGTACTTGTTGCTGTTGGCCTGGTCCAATCATCTGGCTTGGATTGGTTTCTCCCGAAATATTTTTACTGCTTTTCCTTCTGCGAGGTTGGTATTTGTAATCTGGGTGATCTTTCTTATGTTTAATACGAAGTCTTTCAGCTTCGTCGACAAATGGTTTCTTTTCTGCATCACTCAACAATCTAGAACAAAGACACACAAAATTGAAATTTATGTTTTAATTATTAAATATAGGAAGTTTACCCAAGACTGTTTATGGTAGAGTCGCATTTAAAAACGTTTTATCCATATTGCAAATATGTTTTAATTCTTAGCAAACATAAACATAGTTATAACAATAGATGAGGAACAATTGACTCATCCGTCAACGGCAACTAATTACTTTTATCTATGAAGTAGAGTTCAAAGTTCAAGTGCAGTATTGTACAACACCTGTATTTGCGATTGAAAAACGAAATTACAGACCAACATAAGCTCCGCTGAACCTAATTTTCTATATGCCTGCGTCGCTTCCTTGTTTAGGGCAGACTCCTGGCATTAAGAAGTATACTAAAGACCCGATAAAACTCAATATTCTATACCGTGGCTGTTTCTTTTATTCAAAATATGTGAATTAGTAATAGGTATGAAGAATTTTATATCAGATGGTCATCAATTATACGGTTATATCGCAATATGTGTGTTCTGCGGACCATTTGTCATTCTATTCTATGTGTTATACGCTCATATTGCTTACCTCCAAAGTTTTCCCAATGTCTTGCTCAATTCAGCATTATGCAGATGTGGATACTGGTCGGCTAGTTTTCTTCGTGCCGCCTAGAAATAAATTAATACAAATAAGTCCGGAACTGCAATGAATATGTTTAACAGTGATAAAAACAAATTTCAAGATCGTTATTTACCTGTGCCCACACCATAAAAGCATTCATTGGTCTTTTGACGTGTGGCTTCGATTTTTGCGATCCGCCCCCACGTACAGGCATCGGCACTAAAGTCCAATCATATCCTTTCAGCACTTGACTGACCGCGTCTTTTATATCTTTAGACATGTCGTCCACGTCACCTCCGGAATTGGATTCTCTGTCAGAGGAAGAGTCATCACCTCCCAATAACGATGAGCATGTGGATGCAGTTGATGCCGATGATAATGTGCTACAAAGTGGAGTAGAAGTTCTTCCCGTTGCAGAACTGGTGCTGGAACCATCAGCGCGTGACTGAATCAGAGTCGCGGCAGCTCTCGCTACAGCAACCGCGGAACTAACATCGCATAGGTTGCCGAGACTAGAGGTATTCCCTTCAATATTATCATCATTTTGTTCATGTATATAATTTTTCAAGCAACTTTCTTCCTTCATTGATTGTCCGTCATTTCCATCGAAGGGAGTTAAACTTCGTGCCATTAAATCTCCTCTTTGCTTGTCGTGGTACATCGGTAAAGAAAATGCATTACTCTCAATACTTGTGGAGCCTGCCATACTGTCACCACCGTTCTGATTCTGTATTTGGTTTTGATAGGTATAATTCGATCGTTGTTTTCTATTGCTGGTCTGTCGATTTGATGTTCGTGTTTCAGTAAATTTCGAATCCGATCCAATCATGATATTATGACATCGGGTTATTTAAGTTTCATTACAGCTATATCAATGATATATCTATGATAAATAAGTAAAAATTATATTAAATAGACCATAAATGATAAATCTCTCAAGCTCATTAAATGGTAGTGTATACAGATTAATATTTAAAACAATTCATATACTAATCATACTTCTATCTATCTGTAACTGAACTGCTCTCTGCCACATTCTTTAAAATGAAACCTGTCCGTCGAGAAAGCCGAGTCGTTATGAACGAAAACTCAGAATCGTCTCGTCTTAAATAGTTTGAGCATCGCAATTGCTCGCTATGCGGTTCAAAGCGCGCTCTCGCTTGAGGTGACATGCCAAGCCTTACCTTCTGTGCAACGAGAGACGTACAGTATTTCAAGCAGAGACATCATATTGCTATTTTAGGCACGACCATTTTCTGACAAAAATCTGAGAGACGCTTCCGAGTCTGAAGCAAGTAGTCGTTTTATCCTAGTTTAAAAATATTTTTGTTGTCGTTAAGCTGAAAATGGGTAATTCATGTATGCCGCTTTAAGATCTGTATATGGCGCGTGATTGGAAATCTACGATAAATAACTAGTATATAACTAAGTTTGTCCGCTATCGAAGATGTCGATCATTTGTACTTTTTGCCTTGCTACTAGAACCAACTAAAATTGTTTGTTTTAGTGAGAATAGCCCGACTGTGGCCAGTCTCTACTTCCACTTCCAAAGCTTAATATAATATCGCTTCATCTACAATGTACGGTAATCATAACTTCAATTTCTCCTAATTCTCTGCAAGCGATTTCAAAGTTAAATATTATCGAAATGGCGTTAATGCTTTGATTTCTTTTACATACTTCACGTTTAAAAGATGTCTGGAATTCTCTTTACTTGTGAATGTCATAAAACGTTTACGTCACATTCACTAAACTTCATTTAATGAGGACAAATAAAAAAAATAACCCATGTGCCACACAATTTAATTGTATTGATATAACTATGACAAAACTGTGAAGCTGTTGGACAAAACATTTTCCATCTAATTTTTTTTTCATTATGAATGATGTGTATACACTAGTATGGTCGCGATTACTATTTCTATTTACAACATAATTTTCCGGCTTAAACTGATTGAGCGAAGGGATGTTTTATTTTCTATAAAGCGCAACATGTGTGCCTATTTTTCAGCCAAATACCATGTTTCAGAGGGTCAAAAATATTTGTAAAATTAATGCAGAAGTCAAAGTTATTTGAATTGAAATGATGCAGCAGTAGTATTCTGTCACTGTTTCATGCCAATTAGCATTACGGCATAACCGACAATCTGAAATTATGAATGAAACATTCCACAGTATGTATAGCGGTCGTTCAATATCGCAAGCGAAATTTAGCTTCTCTATCATGCTGTCGGAATTTCTAAAAATAACTTGGTAAGGTAATTTGACGTTTTCGGACTATTTTTTCACGCTCTATGCAACTTTTTTTGCGATTTTTATAATCTCCAACGAGAGGGTTGCTCACGAGCAGGGATGCGTTACTAACTCGTCTTTGAAGTGAAAAGTGACGCGGTATTTGAAAGTTGGGTGAAGTTTGGTTGACCCTAGGCTATTTTTACCATTCTTTGACGCAATGCTAATAAAAGTTATTAGTATAACAATGCGGCCAAAATTGCATAAGCTGATTGTTGCCAAATTTGTTTTTCAAAATATAATTATAACATGCATGTAGTAACAACGGGATAAAAATACAAACCGGCGCCAGACGCAACGTAACGTAACCACTCGCTTAAAACTGTCTAACACCCTGCGTATAAACAACTATTGCATATTTTGGGATTATTGCTCTTGTTTTTAGGGCTGCTGTGAGGCTTACGTAAGGGCATATTTGTGATCGTAAGCAAAATAAATGAGAAAGTGTTGAAAGTCGTAGAAACGATTTTTCTGGAAGCTAAACCAACCAGAAAATATTTATCCACGGCGGAAATCAAGAGTGGTTGACTGCTTCGTTGTTGCATTGTGGTTTATCTAAGAATCGCATTTGGCACTGGAACTTTATCTTTGAATGTTTCGCTCATATGTAGTATATTTTAATTCATTTAAATTTGCTTGGTTTTTGGATTTAACGAAATAAATCATTTGTTTTGGTAGAATGTATGGTCAATTCATTACATACACACGCCGAATGAACGTAATAATGGTATTCATATAGTTCCAATTTAGAATATTAGAACTATATCTAATATACGAAGTTCAATATCGTAAAGTATAACATCGAAATATATCTAAATTGAGAAAAACGGGAACTTTTCGAAACAAAACTTTTTAGAAAAAATCAAACTCTGCCCAAAGGGATAAAGCGAGCCAGGTACCGTTCCCGAGTATTTCAAAACATACCAGATTTTGAGATATCAAACTGCAGGTCGACGATCATTTCATTAAATCCTCATAGTCAAGTTTCGCCGCAAATGGGCTTCATGTATGTTATTACCTGTTTGAAATCTGACTTTTCATTTACACGACAAAGTAATTTTTGCACGTGTGCGCCTAATGTTCATGAGTATGAATATATGAATTTTGATGCAAAATTTGAGTCTTGTATTAGATGTAGACTGTTTCATGTGTGAAGTGTCTACCTCCATGTTTTGCTATATTACGATTTTTTTGAGTGTGTTTAATAGCTTGTTCAGCAATATTTCAATACTAACTGACGAAGAATATCCTGCACTTCAAGTGTCAGAAGTTTTCTTTTTTCAGGCATTTCCACATTTTTTTTAACTTTTCAAGACTTGAAATATACAATAAATCTACCGGAAAGTCTTACTGAACTTATGCAACTCCATCCGTGACGTTTCCACGATGAAGAAATATGTATTTCCGTATACGTATAACTAATGTGTTTATTCAGACGTCGACATCCTAATACCCACTTGTGATTATGGTGTATCTAATTTATGACCTAAGGTTAACTATGTCATATATTTTATCAGGGTCACGCCACATAAGTTGGAGCAGATTCCTATTGGCTATTACGTGGATTGGTGATAAGAAGCACAACAGAGGTTAAAAGCGGCCAGAAAAAATATAGAATATGCTCATCGGTAAGCTATATAGTAAACTAAACATTGACCTGAACTTTATTAGATAGACCAATAGTTTTGGCCACACATGGATTGCTTCTCAAAAATAAGAAGAAACATTCATGGCCCGCACTCGAATTTATGTAGACTAACAATCATTTCGCACTGGGACGCGGTGTAACGCAAATATTGCCGTTGCAATCAAACCTTATCATATTGTCAAAAACTCCGTAAGTGTAGAACAAATTGATCTGGTCAGGCAATACAATGAAAGAGATTATTATTTTTTCGCATAAAATTTGCTCAATTCAAGGTAACGCGCACTAACTCAGAAGTACAGGGATCTCATTTCTGAGCAGCAAAGTTACAGGAGAACACTGGAATGCCAAGATATTCTGAAACTATGTGAATTTAAATAATCCGACTTTTTTGCAAATTCATACAGTAGGAAATAGATAATTAAATAGTTTTAAACACATTTTGAAAGCACATTCAACAATAAAAAGTTTTTTTATACGCAAAAAAACTCAATAAACCCTACGCACAAAATAGTTTGGATATAAAATTTTGGGTGGGAGCCTTATTATACGAATCAAAATATGCATTTGTGTATTCTTTGCTCTTAAACCAAGCTTATCTTTAAATACACATAATAGTTCATTGCGCTCGATTGAACACTGGTCGCGCAAACACATGCATGAGCTTATGTCTGTCTCGTCTCCACAACAGTGCAAATTTGCTGTGATCACCGGATAGTCATACGATATAACCTCGTTTACTTTCTTATCAGCAATCTCGAAATAAATGTTCTATCGGCCAAGTACGATGCGTTGGAAGAAAAGCATCTATAACACAAAATTCATATAAAAAAACTAGGGCTGATAGAGGAAGGGTTTGGGTATAGCTGAGAAACTGTGAACTGTGAATCAAATTTATTTCACAGTATTACGACTATTATTAGCATTCTTATATTCGCATCGTTCTCCTCGTGTTAAATAATAATCAGCAATTTCACTGGGTTTCCATGCAACTAGTTATCATGATATATTTTGTATGATATATCTTAAATATATTATTGATCAATATTTAATTTCATACACATCAATATTGGCATGGTTATAAATATCAACGAATAAATAAATACCAAACGAAATTAGCAACAAAAATATTTGAGATTATAATGCTGCCCCGCAGATTAGCAGGGGAGCAATTTTTGAATAATATAAAATATATGGTTTTGTAATTGTTGCTATCCATACTACAAAGTCTCATAAAGCAATTTACTGTTTACTCAAACCTCGAACAAGTAAGTTTGGAAGAAAAATAACTTGCTGTTTTCCGTTACTGTTAGTTTTATTATATGTGTTTATTGCTTTACATTGATTCTTGCTCGATGAAAATAAATATCGAAAACTGATGGTCAGTGATCGGATAATCCACAATTTGTGAAAAAAGTATGAAAAAATTCCAATTAAAGTATGGAATTGTCTTCCGTAGAGAGCTCAATTTAAACACTTTCTCCAGTGTTCGGATATCGTTTGGCATTTCCTCTGACTATTTGCAGATCAAACGACAGCTCTTCTCCTTAATAATAGTTACTACAAAAACTCCGCATGTGTATTACTGCTGTATTTTAGATCAGAATCGTTATTGTTACAACTCTGTTATCAAAATCTATTGTTCATTGTCGCTTGAACAAAAGATAATACGAATTTTATGACTGTTATTACTGAGGATGACGCCATATGAAGCATGCGATCTAGAAGTATGATCAATTTTGTATGCTTTGCATAATCTTTGTAATAGTTATTGTAATATAACCTAAAATATGAAACTGTATGCGTGATGAAACGCAACACTGCGTTCTCTGACGCACTTTGGCGGTTGAATATTCTATTTTTGGATATTCTAGGGAAGACGAGCACTTTCTCTCGTGTACATGATAATATAGTACACTCTCTATCCAAAAAAGTCTGCCAGCAATTTATCCATCACCCACAAGCAATTTGGGTCATATATTTAACCTTAGTGGATGAAGATAATGATTTATAGTTAGTAAGTTGTGACAATAGCTATTGCCTGAACTATCTATCCGAAACACCTACTTGTATGCCCGTGTTTAGAAGTGTTAAGGTTCTATATAATCTGTATTGCTGTAGAATGCAAGTGAATTGCTGTCTCGGATATTAAAGTGTACAGTCCGACCGGTAATTTACGTTTTCCGCCTTATTGTAATTCGCGAAGATTTGATTCAGGCTTGAGTGCGTCGGTGGGTCTGTTGGATTACCAACGCCACATTAGGGGACGAAATTGACGTCACAACTTGGACCGCAAAACTGAACGATAACCTCAAGTATTATCTGGGTGACTATGATTTAAAGGTTGGGTCAAGTAGTGGTTATACCGCTGTTACTCTCGTTTCGTCGGCGTTGTGGTAGGCGTTCGTTTCGCACTTCTTGAGAATGGTAATGAAAACCAGCTATTTTTAGAAGCTGACTGAAGTCCAAAAGTTGGATTATTACACCTTGTTTGCCGTTTGGCGTCACTGGTTTATTTTGCACTAAATGAAGTGGCGCGACCAAACAATCCGGTTTAATTAGAAGTAACTGGTGAATGAATCGCGAATCGGAAATTATTAGGCTTTAATTTTTCTTGGCCTCAATATGGTAATTAAAAGCTTTACTGGAGTCAACAGAAAACGACAAGCTACACTAATAGAAACATCACAACTTTAGAGTGGCTTTTAATTATTTTAGTATTGGGTAGCTATAACTTCAACTGCAAACTCATGGCGCTCAAAGAGGTCAAATCGTATAAAAAGAGGTACTTTTCTAAATAAATAGTGTACCTTAACTATTTAGTCCCCTTTTTTTAGGAAATATTGGATTATATTGTGGGCCTATTTCGCCTAAATTTCGATCTCAATTGCTGTTGTTTTATCAGCTGATTCTTCTTAAACATTTTTCCTAATAATTGGCAGACCAGTGAAGGAAAATATTCAAAATCAGACGAGACTATAAACTGATAATCTACGATCTGATCTGTTAAGAATCGCGTCATATATAGAAATGACATCACGAATGCCGGCGGCGATTAAAATGTCGTGTTGTGGTGCCCACACCCTAACATATGATATGTGAACTATGACAGTATAGGTTGACACTACACTAAAAACAAAAATAAACATATTATTCAAATTCAGATTAATTTAACCGATTTTCGAAGGAAGACAGTTTTGGTTGCAAGGAATGTAGTTGGTGTAAAGTGTGCCGAAAGAAGTACCAATAATTCAATACTAGGAGCAATATCGCATTATGTCTATGACACTCGCCAAGCCTGCAGCTACTGCATGTTTGAATTTATGAAGCATATTCTGTTTTATTGTAACATGGTAGTGAAACTTCGCTCACTTTTAATAATACGATCGTCTACTTACAAAACTTTACCACAATAAATTTTGTTTACATCTGAGATTGATCTAATGGCGTGTCATGTTGATGATATCAGAATCGGTTGTTAACTATCAAAAGATCACATTTTGACTCATGTGACTAACATAATCCGATTCCGAAGCCAATGGAAATCCAAGATAGTAATTTGTAATATGAGGAATGTTTTACTTTTGCAATTTATCAAGAAGTGATTATTTATCTAAAGAAAATATCTGATATTTCTGGAATAAATTATATAAGACAATTGACTTAAAATAAATTTTGATATTATTATAAACCGAGCGATGTCAATCTTATCCAAATGTCTTCGATCCAAAGTAATTGAGTGAGATCGCCGGATCAAGTGTTGCCGCGAGCAAGGCGATTATATTTACCAGCAATAAACATACACTTCCTGTAGCGGAGAAATGCGATAACGCCGAACACGGAACTTGAGAACCACAACGTGGATCATTTTTCTCTCTTTTTTACCAAACTTTTTTGAAAAAAATCTCTCATTTTAACCACGAACGATTATTTTCGCTGCATTACTCGAAATAAAGCTCAACCATCGTGTCTATATTTAAAGGTATGATGTAATCATATGAAGACATATCTAATATCTTGATATCGTTATAAATCGTTTTTTTCCGACTTTTCGGGCAGATTGTTATCATTTCTACGTTCATCATGATTCTGTCAATGATTTCCTAATTAATCACATTATCATGACCTGCTAGGATTATTAAAGAAGTACGCTGAAGTTAAACGAATGAAATTAAATTTCACTTCATTTTTTTATTAATTTGAATTCAGATCCCAATCCAAATTCGCAAAAATATTCATTATAGAAAATAGAAATAATAGTATTTTAGTAGACTTCCAGATTAGTGATACAAAGCAATATCTAGGCATGAATACTGGAATAGACATGAAAAAATATGTGAATTTGGTTTATACATTTGAAAAAAATCTGTGAACTATATTTGAATACCAAGCGGCAATGTGTGTTATTCCTAAACTTTCTGGCAAATATTTCTAGACACGAGTGACTTTTTGTATAAGTTAGATATTTTTGGAGATTTTATAAGTCAATTTTACAATATAGAACATTGGATATCGCAATCAGACGATGGAATCCGTCATTTTGTGGTTGTTTAATTAAGTTTGTACCATTTGTCTATTATTTTACATGGGAATATTACGTGTGAATTTCATGCTGTGATTAACCAATTTTGATTCAATTTGAAAAATCGCGGCTGTTTAATTTCAGATAAATTATCACGGCTGTCAAGAAACTTTTCTCAGAAAAAAAAAATAGATAATTAACAACTGGTTCGATTTTATAATTTACCTATGTGTTCCATGTGTACAATGGAGTGTAATTTTGTTATTTATGTATTACACTAAGTGAGGTTGTTTCAAAGTTTAAACTTACACAGTTTACTAAACATACTTAAGTTTACGATTAGTAACTCAACAGATCTTGCAACATTGTATTGACTGGAAAATATCCAATTATGATGATTTTCAGGCAATATATTACATTTCATGAGTATGTATCGTTGTAAGTCAAAGCTTTCGAAAATTAAAATATTATATTCGACGTAAAAAAAATTTTCAATAATGGTTCCTAATTTGATCAATATTTTGTAGAATAGAAAAAGATTTTTTAAATTTGAAACAAAAATTAATTCTTCTAAAATGGGAATGATACGAACGCTCGCAGAAAATATCATCACTTATACATAAATATATCTTGTTGTAATTGATTTAGGGTCGAGGTGATATGACAATTTAATTTAATTATACAAAATGCGAGTAATCTATTCGAATAAAAATTCCGCGGTGTCTATGCTCAGAACTTTGCCACAGCCACGAGCTTCAACCTAACAGCATTTAATACCGTGGCTAGTGACCACAGCACCCATACCACCGGTGAAATGTACATATTTGAAAGAACTTGAAATGAAGATAATTATTTATAATTAGGGTTTTAATGTATTACTAATATCTCGAAAGCGACTTTAATGTGATAATCGCATCACCCTCTAACATCCGATGCGAGCAATTATTCTCAGTCAAATTTGCGGCTCAGCGTTTATTATCAACATTAAGTCGGTAGAACCTTATCATTAACTCACTTTCCCATAGCTAACGTAGATATCTTCATTATTTCGAAAGTACATGGGCCAGAATTTATACAAAATACTATGCTACAATTCGTCTATGGCCGCTGTACGATGTCAAAGTTTACTTACATATATTAGGCAAAAGCGATCTATTTGTGGGAAAAGTTTGTAAATCTCTGATAGCTAGAATTAATAATATTTTACTGGATCACTTTGATGTTGCAATTAAATCTGCATGCGATTTAATTGGAAAACTTGAAAATACGCTTGAAAAGGGGTTGTGGTGGAGTGGTGGACGTTGACCGCCGATTAATAAGTAATTATTGAAATGAATAATCATTGAGAATATAAGAATTATGTGAACTATGATGAGTTCACTCAAAATCATTTTTTATTCTTACGAATGGCGAGTTTACGATGGTTCGTGTTTCATCGATGATTCATACTTGACTTTCTCAAATTTCGAAAATTATTCAATATTTTTAAATACTCGAAAATGGACTTTGCTGGTTGTCATCTCATGAGTATAATGATGCTCGAAAATTTAAATATTAATTTTTTAAATTTGAATATTCGAAGTTTTTGTAATTTTCTGTAAAATATGCCATTTTCGAAATAAAATAAGGATATATGCCAAATATGAGTGAATTTTAGCATACATCCTGCAAAATAGGTTTGAGTAGTCACTTCTTATTTTGACTAGCAATGCATATTTTTTTTTTATTAAGCTACAGTAGCCTACTTTTTACGAAAATTATTTTTTTTGCAATAAATAACATTATAGTAATAAAATAACAATGACAACACTCGGTATGTTTTATCGATGATGAAACAACTTGAACAAGAGTCATAAAAGCTCCGTAAATCTTAAATAAATGAGTAAATATTATCATGACTGGCAAGTAGAGGGATACAATTTCGAACCGATCAGCACCTTCAGTGAAATATAGGTTATTTTTAAGAAGTTCGAGTAATTAAAAATTGATCGACCCGACAAGAGCCAAACCCATCCTCACGAAATGCGCTTGTTTGTAAAAAGTTCAGTCAACCACGCTTAAATAGTTTCCATATTTACGGAATGCTCAACTTTTATTAGATTTTAATTTTCTGGACAAATTCGCTAGATTATAAAAACAATTTTTAGTTTGTGATAAATTACAAAATTCATTACTTTTTAGTTTGTATTAGTTCGAATATAAATGCATATCAATAAAGTAAATTACACATATTGATAAAAGTATAATATGAATATTATCTATAAAATTATAGTTAATTCGACGCATGTTTGTTATAAAGTTATTCCGATGAATAAAAAATTAACTCAAAATTATCTAACTTGCGGTGATGTCCGATTTACCGAGTGTATAGATTATTATGTTGATATATCGCTATCTAATCCTTCATATTTTGTACAACATCGGCTTTTCCGCCCAAGTTTAACCTTTCTAAGAAGTTAGTACGTTGCCTGAGGTCGTTATTTGTTTGTTTATACAAGATAAAAAGCTTCCTCTATTGGTGGTTATCAGTCAAACGTAATGCCTAAATTAGTAATTGAAAGTAACTTGCGACATCAAGTGTCTGTTACATACGCCTCGTCATGAGAAATGCCAAAGAGAAGTTACAATCACAAAAATTCACAACTCGGCAATCTCAAATATTGCTCTGTTATGTAGGTGAACTTTCACGCCAAAGTAGAATCACGCCAAGTAGAGACATAATAGAAGTGGAATCCATTTTTATTTACACCTGTTTTTGCAATGTCTATAAGCTAGAATTAATTTGCAAATATCTAGCTGAAGGAGAAAAGTATAAGCAGTGCTCACTTTTATAAATGAAAAAAAGTATAGATATCAAACATTTATATTTTCATTACACATTTAATACCATTAATAAATGAATTTTTTTAATTTTTCAGATAGCATGGATTCGTTTGGAAAATCTTGTCAAAGATGCGTTAAGTTCACCGGAAAATCTGCTCAGTACAAACACAGTAAGTTATTAATATTTGATTTTATTTCTTGTTTCATGAATGACCATTTTTAGACGAATTGTCAATCAGAACTCGATTTCGGAACTCAATTTGAAACATATTTGGAGCAGTAGTGATTGTGAGCAAGAACCAAGAATCTTAATTTGCTGTGAACAGATTTAGAATATAGTATACTTCTTTGCTGTATCAGCGTGAGTGTTTGCTTGTTTCATTGAAAGGTACAATTTACATAAAAATTAGTAAAACAATAAAAGTCAAAGAGAACATCCATTTAAAACTCAGTCACAAATGGTTATTTTTAAGGTGAATTCGACATGCGATGCGGTAGCTACAGGTAGGAATTAACATATACCGGTAAGGGAAAAATCGCTTCTCCTCGTATGGGAATCGAAATCAAAATTCTTCTATATTTCATATATAACAAGAAAATAATGCTCAATACTTTTACGCTAGTTTAGTATGACATTTGGAGATGTATAACGGTATTTTGTTATTTTTCTTCACGCTTGAATATAATCATAGTCTCTTGTGAACTTTGTTTATATTAATATCTTTTTCCTATTTTGTTGATTTATAATCGCTAGATTTTTGGACGACGTCTAATAACGAAAACGCGTCTTGATATATTGTATATTGACATAAATCTGAGAATCGTTTAATCTTAGGTGTCGTCATTTAAAATACGGTTGTAACAAATGACCCGGGGCGTTCGGTCACTCCGGTAAAATTTCCTGGAGTTTAGTCAGGCTCGATGTTTCGTAAACAAAAGCATTTCGTAATCTATCGATGAGATAAACATTCAGGCAATAAATATGATGTAATGGAGAATGAGTGACAAAAGTCAGGTCCTGCTATGTTGTTTTTGTGAAATGATGTTCCGAGAATATCCTTTAGGCATAGGGAAAAGGTACATGCTTATGCCTGTATGAAACAGAAGCAACGCACCATCGGTGGCGCTCATCGTTGCCGTAGCATCGCGCAAACGAGTCAAAAATATTTTCTATTGAAGATTGGGTCAAGCACAACGACCGAAGCAGGGTCACCCGATAATATTATTAGACTGATGATCGGATAATAACGAAAATATTCATACTCCAAAATGGTGGTTCACAAAAACAGTTTCACTTTTTCTGCTTTTAAATCTTTCGAAATGCTTTTAAAATCTGAATTTCAAGAAAAAATACATAATACATTCATCAAAATACTGATAATATATTTAGAAAAAGTACTCGGTTAAATTTCCATACTCACGACGAACTAAACGTGATTTGATGCTGTCTATTGTTTGGTTGACACTGCATGATATCGCTCTTTGCTCTAGGATTCCAAGTTTGGCCAAAGCCTACATTTAGAATAGAAAGGAGTTTGAAGAGTTTTTTGGACTTGTGTCGAATACTAATTGTTCTGCGCCATTTCAATCGTTGTCGACAACAATGTCAACCAAGAAATCAAGCCACAGACTTAGAATTATCTCGCCCAGATGTGTCGGTTAAGTATTGTGGGCAGGCCAATGTAACCACGTTAGATAACCGAGTTCGTACAAATTCAATGTATACAATTTCATTTGTAAACGTTTATAATACCAGTAAAATTATGCATATTTTTTGGTCATTTACATATTTTTTATGACATTTCATTGTATGGAATGGTGAATTCAATATTGCACTTTTGTAGATCGAGAAAATGTTTTTTTAATTTGGTTCAAAGTTGACCATTCACACCATTTTATATCAAAAGTTACAGTTTTTTCGGTTAATTTCACTGCATAAGTTGAATCGTATAGTCGCTGACACTATAAGATAATAGTTCTACCGGAAACAGCACCGACCTTCAATAGTCGATGACAGACAGAGTGTGTGAATATGTTTGCAGAATATCATACCACTGATAAATGATGCGACATTATAATAATATCTGCGCTCAACGATTACGTTCACACTATGATAAAAAGCATCATTTTAACTGGCGTTAAAGTGTAAATAACACTCCAAAAAAGTTTCAGTTAGGAAAACATATCAACCACTCAGACATTGAACTTGGCTTGCAACCAAGTAACGGCCAATTGTAACATCATGCGCTTAAAAATTAGTACTATCCACAGTTCTTTGAGGAATATTCATTTTCAAAGCGTTTCCAAACCCTCAATATATCGAGCAGCAGGGAATATAATTAATCTACAGTGGGCATGTACGAATTTTCGCTGGAATAAAATCATGAAGTTTAAAAATTGCTCTCAAACATTAATTAAAATTCAACAACTTGAAATGAATGATATAAAAGAGGTTGATATATTGAAAGTATTTAATGATAATATATATCTATACATTACCTCAAGCTGTATCTATTTTATTCTTTTCCAAACTTGTTGTGGCTGAAAGTCTATGACAAATTTAATACTATTGTTAAATAACAGCTATTTTCGTATTAAAAATATTAATTTACTTTCGAGTAAGTGTCTTTAGAGATGCCCCAAGCAGTCGTTTCGTCAAATGACAATTGTTTTGATCTCTCGGGATTTTTGCAGTATTATATATTTTTATTTGAGATGGCAACAGTGCGTTTGGCATTTCATTCCGCTATTTTAGTGCCCATAATGCCCATTAGATTGACTTCAAGGACATCCAATTAATAACTTCTTCTATAAAGTAGTAATAATTCATTTATATATATATTTGTACACTGGTGAAGAAAACTTAACGTCGTAAGCTACGAATAAATTCTTCTAAAACACGATTCTACTCTGTTCAATTACATTTCTACCGGTGACTCGTAGAATAACAGAATTCGTCATGCTATGATCAAGTGATGTGAAGGGGAATTCTAATCGTTTTCGCTCGCCACGATCGTATATTCTACCTTTACTGGCTGAATTTGTCATACTACAAAGTTGGGAGTCGCATTTTAACAATAAAACAACGAAAATTTCAACACTGAAATTTTCAGAGCCAGTATATGTTATTTGGCATGAGGTGGAGTACGACGAACTCGATTTCGCAACCCAAAAATATGCGCTTGGATTTGGTATGATGTACAACTAAAAAACACAGTTATCAAAAAAGTAGCAGAAATTGAAAATGTCAAATGTTATGTCATGTGAGTTGCGTTCTATTGTAAACATGTGTAATAATTACGGTGAAGTTAGTTATTCAGTTGACCGAGTATACTCTTACAATAGGAATGCTACTGAAAACCATGTTTTCGCCGTTCGGAATTGAAAATCAACTAGAAACTAAATTATGCTTCCCAGCCGATCCAAATATCTTATCTATTATGTAACTAATAATCGGATTTGTATCGTAATCTGTGAGTTGATGAATCTGTCTGAAAAATCTCTCACCCAAAAACTTCTGAAGCATAAATTTTGTTTTCAATGCCGGAGGAGAGAATCAAAAAAAGATTTGTGCGTCTGTTTTACTGATTACTAATTCGACTCAAAATTCATTTGAGTGAGATATCATAGACAAGTGTTTCACTACTCAAAAACCAGCTCGGAAAATTTACGTCATCATAATTTATCAGAGAGGAAGTCCTTTAGCGACATCTTGCGGTACTCTGCTATAAACGCGATTAGAAACAAAAAAATAGTTTATAAATCAGTGATAGATTCGCTTTAGTATGTTGGCATTGCAGGATATAAAAGATGAGTCACCCAGTTTATATTCACCGCTTTAACATGGTGTAATGTCTTCGATAGACAATACCGAACCGACGAACCAGAACCAAACGATTCCCTGTTGAATTTATTACTGGCGCATGTGGAATACTCACTCACCTGCGGTGGTGTCAAAAATCACATACTAAAAAAATTAATCCATACATGGTATTTTAGTGACCTTGAGAGAAATTTTGTTGTTCCCAAGTGGCCAGGATCCTTATCAATTGTATGCATATATATATTGTTCAAAATAGCTTGTTACAAACAAAATCTTTACTCAAAATAGCCACAATTTTTTTTTACTATTTAGCACATAATAGCCTACATACTGCAGGTGCATTTCGAATTCAGCCCTTCACTTTGACCTGCAATGATTTCTCTATTTTATTCTGATAAAATTGAAAATTTCACGAGTCATGCGTAAAGCAGAATATATGCCGTACTGCTTAACTGTATCTCTAAGCGTCATCACATGGTCGACTTTGGATTCAGGATTCATCTCCATAATATGATTGTAGGCAATGAAAAGAAGACTACGTGCGAATAAAAGATACATCATTTCAATTTTGCACTCACTAAATGTTAAATCAATTATATCCAACAAAATGATCTTAATTCGTTTTACAACATCTTATAATTTTTTTATCTTTGCATATATAATGAAAACTCACCACAGCAGAACACACATAAACATAGATGTAACCAGTAATATGACACTGACAATTTTTCGACAAAAGTCAAATATGTATTGAGATCTGGAATAATTTCATTGCAAATATGTAATAAATTTCGAATATTGATAACACCCCATTTTGTGCATACAATACGATTTGATTTGTTGATGGCATGCTGATTTATTATGAGTTCTTGAAAGTGATATCGAATGATGATATGAAGTTATCACGAGTACAACAGGGAACAATTTGGATTGTATGGCTTGGGTTATGCAAAAATACGTTCAGCTAAAGAAATTGCGCACACATCCATGCAAATTACCAGAACATATCTTCAATGTGTGAAGCTATACAAATTTCTGTTCGTGAACTGCAAATTTTGACAAAAAAATTAAATTTTCGCCATTAATTCACAGTTTTCATATTAACCCATGAGATTTAATATTTTTATATAATCTGCGCAGAAAAATCTCTTCCATTGAATTTTTTATGTTTTTTTAACGACCGCTTCCTAGTTCAATCAGGAACATGAACTTGACACGTTTCTGGGTCACAATCTCGTACACATGCTATTTTCAGTTGCTAACTTAACGCTAAGTGTCGCGTCGCTGGTCGTTCAATGATATAGCACGTACATAAATAGCGGCACAATAACCACATGTTTTCCATTGGAAAAGATATTTCGTACTGACAATATCCAGAACTTCACTACTGCAACGACAGTTCAGGTATAAAGGTATACAGAGTATACTTCAGATTTCGATTTTTAAAATGTAGTTTAGGTTTTCGAATCCACAGTTCAACATGATCAGCTTGTTCATAGTTTTATGTATAATTATATTTGTTTATTTGTTTTGCAATAAATAATTAAATCAATCCCCGTAGCCTATCTTCTCGAGATTTAAAAATGAATTGGAACAGAAAAATGTTTTTTTTATTATATATATATATTAGACTGAATTGCTGTATCTACCATACATTTGACTGTTGTGATTGTTAATGTGAACGAGAGAATTGAATACATAGGTTTTTGAAATTTTAAAACGCAATATTCTATTATATAGAAATGATATTCCAGGTGCTTTTCGGAAGAAAATGAATAACGAAGCACAAGAGCAAAAGGATCAAGGATGGAGTTTATCGTATGGAAGAAAAGCCTTCTATGCCCCAAGAAGACCTCAAGACAGACCAATGCCTAGCGCAAGTATGCAAAACACATCAATATATTTCAAGCGTTATATAATGCTGATGAATGTAAAAAAATACAAAATTCATACTTCCAGAACAGCCTGCCTACAAATGTAGGTTAAATAAAATGCTCTGTAAATTTTAGGACATGGAATAAACCGCTGGAGAATTGAACCGAGATCAATATTTGATTACGACCCCGTCGAGGATGGCAAAGAATCTCTGAGTCTCAGTAAGTAAAGTTGAATTTGTTATACAATCCAAGCTCCTACGAACGTTAACTACTAGAGGCAACAGCTCACGTCAATTTCGGCAACGTGATTTGCTTTTGGTTGGTAAAGACATATGCTATCTCAATATTAAAACTTATCTTTATCTCGCTAGATAAGTCCTGGTTGTCATAACTAAACTAATTTTATTTTGGTGAATAATTCTAATTTCTCATGAAACGACGATCTCTACTTGTTCTGACTCCAAATGTGATGCCCGATCACAGACGGCGCGCAAGACCATTTTGTCGACTCTAGTTATCTCAAGCTGGGTGTACGTCAATATGTCCTAATAGATATATGAATTGATGGTGCATTCAATAATTAGGCGTTTATACGCTATCGTTTATCACCGTCTTATACATCAGTGATTTCCAAACTTTTTTGTACCATCGCCCCATTTCAGTCCTTTTGACGTTATCATCGCCCGCCGGCAAACAAATTTATTGCAAATCAATTTACAAGTAGACGAATCATGGTGCATAGCGTTTTCAATAAGATAAATAATTTTCAACGAGTTTTTTTTCTTTAATACTCGAAGACATTTTAGTCAGGTATGTCTGCTGAAATAAAGATGATTTCTTTGATTTAATGACCCCCTTTCGTACCAAATAAGATGCTAGAAATGAAAGAGTCAACAGTTCTACTTTGTCGAAATAAATGCCAGATGAATTGCACTAAACTATATCTTCAGTATTAATTTTATTTCGAATTATTCATCAATAGCATTTTCAACTTCCATATCCTCTGAATTGGCAGGTTGAATTATACAACATGGGACGGTGTGGTTAATGAGATCTGCAAATCGAATGTGCTAATTTGTAGGAATAGATATCAGTTAGAACTACGAAATTGAAATTTAGGAATATTTGCTGTTGAGTTCGTAATAGGATTGTTGTACCTTCGTTTCTAAATTATAGTTTACAATTATAGGCTATCTTCACGAATCACACGAGAGAACTGTATACGAAGGATATGGAAAACGAGAGTTCCATCGTGCGAGAGAAGACAATTCCCTTGGTATTGAAGAATTTTTTGACCCAGCACACGACAACAAACCGTCTTTGGTTTCATTCCATCCAAGTTTCCGGCCGAAGACAGCCGAGCCACAGAACGATTCAGACTCAACAGCAAAAATTACTGAATCTGGTTCGAATATATCTGATAACATGAAAACAGCAATAGAATCTCAAGCTGTGGAGGAAATAGCAAATGATACTCCTGACTTTGGATCAAATTCATTGCAGACTTCAACCGGACTACGTTCATTTGTTTATTCGCCCATCCCGTTTGGATACCACGAATTCGTTCCGCCAGAAGTTCCAATCTACACCAATTTCAATCGTGTGCCCACTCCCTTCACAAAGAAATAAACTGTTTGGTATTTTACAATGAAGTATCGCTAGGCTCCTTATAATTATTAAATGACCCCAATCTGTTTTAAATTTCCATATTCTGATAAAGTGGAAAGTTTCACCGCCATCATGCTTTTGCCTAAATACTAAGCATATTACGCTCAAAATATTCATCACTTCTTCTACATTTTATTTATAAAAAATAATATTTTATTCTGTATTATTGCCATATATCAAAGATTCAATATTGCAATTATTTTCTGGTGGAATTTTCGGCCTTTGCCACAGCTTTTTTTTATGATATATGAAATAAAGATTCAACTGTGCAAAAAGGTTTTTCATTTCATCTTATTCATATATATATAGTCGACGCGGAGTTTAAACCAACTTTCTTTGAACATCATAAAATAGATGAATCAATAAATCTTATAAACCAGAGAGCAATGCTCAAATAAATGGACACGAAAGCCAAAACCATGTAATATCAGATCTTTTATAGTACCGGTAGTATTCCTTGTTCAAAAATCCATACTTTGTGACCACCAGATCGTTGAAATGCGATCGCGGGACCGCGCAACTTTTAATTTTGATAACGTGATCACACAAAACTTCTCAGTGGAAAACGAATTCCACAGAGTCCACTGAAATAAATAAAAGTGATATAATAGCCTTTTAGTGACAAAAACAATCTTTAACCACTGAAATTTCAAAGCAATTTGCATAGTGTAGGTAATGAAAAGGGGATTTTTTTCATACTTAGTAACAACAACAAAACTAACAAAAACAACAATTAATAAAACAATAATTAACAAAACTATACATTGGTCCACTTTTTGTCCAGAAATTTATTGATTCTAATATATAATGAAGATACGGAAATTGAGAAATCAGCAACAAACTAATCAAGTCTGGAAGGGAAAATGATCCAGGGAAATCCCAAATGGTTTTCTAGTATTTTGTACTGGACCTATACCGACACAAAATAACCTATCTGTTAGAAAATTTAAATTATATATATATATATTATATGCTACTTTGGCAAGTCTGAAATCTATTGTAGTCTTGCGATAATTTGCTTAACTATTCGTTATTGAATGAGCTTCTCATCCCAAGAATTCTGATACATATCTTATGAGCTATTGGAAGCAACATCTAGATAAATTCATTTAAAACATCATGGCAAAAACACAAAAAGGGGAAGAATCTAGCGAATGCTGAAAACTGAAAATAGGTTGAAAACATACCCAAAGCGTTTACCCGCAGTATGGAAGAAAGAAAGACCGTGCTTCGTTAGTCATGGGTGTAACTTTGTAATCAATTTATTTTGCGTAGCTTGCTCACAGACAGGTCATTTTTTGCACTTCATTTGGATATGCTATCGCATCACATATATATAACATAAATTGGCGGAGTGATCTCTTATTAAAGCTTTAATGTTGTTATCCTGTTCATTCTGGGAAATGGCCCGAATGTTCTCTAATCGTTTTTTGTTTTTCATGTTATAGTTTGCCTGGCTGACGATTAATCCATTTGCTTTGGTTTATTGCGTCATTGCCGCCAACGAACATATTATGGGATGAGTACGAGTAGGGCAGTTTTTTCAACTGAGGTACCGTGGCACATTGGAGTTCCGCCAGTACAGTTCAGGCAGGGGCGGATTATGCCCCTTTGGTGCCCTAAGCACTGAAGACTTTGGTCCCCTCTTGTGTGTAATTTAATTATAAAAACAATAAACCACATAAGTGTATTATTGGACACGTTTAGTGGCCATAACGATCGTTTCAATATTATGTTGTTGTTGTTGTTGTTCTTGTTCTTTGACACGTTTTTAAAAAGTCGCTTTTCTCTTCGAATACTGGACCAATTGCTTTGAAATTTTCAGTGGTGAAAGATTAATTTTTTCGCTAGAAGGCTATTACTTTTATTTATTTCAAAATTTTGCGTGAATTCTATGAAATTTGATATTTCGTCTAAAATTTTGCTGTATTATTTTTTATCCACGGGAACACGGATTTTAGTCAGTGTCATGACTGGCTGTACGTTTTGATTCTGCAAAATTCTTGCTACTGGAAATTCAGAACTTTTTTGAGGGTACCGGTAGCGTCAAAGGTACCGGTAAGGACTGATTCGCTCTGGTCTAACGTGTCCATATATTTGTGCGTAGCTCTCTTGTCCATTAAAAATAATCACAACCAACAGTATAAAACAACTTTTACGAACATTTTTAGATTTTTTAACTGTTATATATATATAGACACAACATCGGGCCGATATAACGGTTGAGCTCTAATCCTGAAGGAGTGTGACAATAAAGATTCATGTTTTCAGTCGAAGTATACAAGTAACAACTGTAGTTTGCCTAGTAGTCTACCTCAGGGGGGAGGGGGGGAGAAAACCCAAAAGTGATCGAAATATCGCGAGTTTACCGCTCTAATCAGACCATTATTATGTTGCATGGAAGGCGATTTTTTGAAGAAGATGTATAAAGCCTTCAGTTATTTAAAAATTAATTCCCTAAAATTAACGCTGTATTTTCCGCATCTCGCGTTTGATGTCGCTTCAAAGTATATTCTTTCGTGACAGATATTACTTGAATTCAAACCAGACACTGTGTGAGGGGCAAGGAAATACGTTTCTGTCGTGTTTTCCTTATGTCACTTTTCTTGTGACAATCATTTTATTACGAATTGTTATATTTGAGTAATTTAAAAACTTGCAGCGTGAGCAAGCTTAGAGCCATCGTCAAATAACCACCAAGTCCGTCTAAGTTGGTATTTCGGGACATTGCTGAAAAAAACGGATTGCGCGGCGTTAAGTCGGCTCTGCGTTTCGTCACTACTGTCACATGGCCCACGCTTGAAAACAGAAGAGTGTTTTTACTAAAATAAAGGCAGAGAGCGTTAGAAAAAAGGGTTTGAATCTCTGTGGGCCGCACGGAATGAATGTATCAGCATGACAGGGTCTGGATTGGACCACCCTGGTCTACCTTATCAAAAAACTCCCGACTTCGCTGACCACTAGATCGTTAAAATGCGATCGTAGAACCGCCACATAGTGCAAATGGTTCATTGGTCCAATTGTTGAAGAGAAAATAATTTTTTTTAAAACAAAAATGCAGCAACGAGGAGAATAAGAAAAAAAAAATTACAAAACGACTCATAGGCTCATTTCGTGTTCAATAAATAAGTTTCAGTGTTTATTTTTAATAAAGAAGGGTAATATGATACTTGAAGACGAAAAATAAGCAAACATTTTAAAGTTTGGGTCGTATGGTGAACTAATATTTTAAATAAACACCGATAAACTATATAAAATTCTGCTATGAAAATTTCTGTGGTGCCCGTCTTTGCTTGGTGCCCTAAGCACGTGCTTATATTGTTTAATGGTTAATCCGGCGCTGAGTCCAAGGGTTCGCAACAAGCTGCAATTCCAACGACCGTACACTTACGTTGAAAGAAACTTCATTCTGTTCAGAGCTCACAAGGTGTAGATGCATTACACAAGAGCCATAAACATTTACAGTGTTGGTATAGTGTCCGTGTGAACCTTAATGATGAAATGACCGTTTTCGACCAGAACTCAAAGAAGCAAGCAAGCATGCAAGAATAAAAAAAAATGGTAAAGCATGAAGTCAAATTACATTTGTCCACAGAACTTACAAGCACGACATAATGATGGGAAGCGTAACAGCTCACTAAACGGTTCCATTACATTGGAACCCGTAATTTGAACGCACGACAATTGCACCTGCATACTATTGCACCTATAGAATTTTTTTTTAGTTTACGGATATTTAAACTCATACTAACCCTAACCCATGGTTTTTAGCACCCTCATATAAATTGAACCCGAGGATATACGGGCGCAAAATGCAAATGTATGGGTTCAAATGTACGGTCACCCTACTAAACATAAAATTCACACCTGACAATCATTGCACAATGTATAAACAGAAGACTAACCCGAAATAGGTAATTAGCCAACAATAAAATCTAAATACTCATAGCATCCCCGGTAATCCGTAAAGTGGGGCAAGCGTATATCGTTTGTTGAGTAACAATTTTAGGAGACCATAAAGCGCCGAGAAATATGAGTTCCTCTGTTACGTCATAGTAGAGATGGAAATATCAAATCATAAGCGCGACTAATTTGACAGTGCATAAATTAAACCATGAAAATTCATGAACCCAGTTAACCTATAAAATATACAAATTAAAGACTTAAGTTTCATCAAATCGGCATGCATACATTTCGTGCAGATCCTATTACCCCTTTTCGGAAAATATCGGTCCCTCGCGAACAACCTCAACACATTAACGCCTCACTGTGGTCTAAAACTGAAGCAACCAACGCTGGAAGTCGTGATGGAGTGTAGGCCTACTGCAGGTGTTCATTTTTCCTCCGATCGCAAATTTTTTTCCCACCTAGCTGCTTTTAATTTCGGTAAACTAGGCGTTTTTCATATAGAATTAAAACTAGATACCGGATATACAGACCAGCAGTCAACTACAGAACTATGATTGAAGTGACGTAACGATAGGACTGCAAATGCCTTGTTTCGTGATTTTGTATTGGGCTAGCATCTGACAAGTGACAACCCTCACATAACTGGCGATTTCTTTTTCCATTCTTCCAGCAATATCTATAGTTTTAAAGACATCCGATATTACACTCGTAAATGCTACGTCTAGTGATCGGTCCTTCCTAATCAGATCATCCCACCCATAAGTGGGTACTCTGTGTCACGTGGGTCATGACTTGACTCTAGATTATTATATACATGCCCCTAGGTCCCTTCCTAAGGTCCCCAATGCAAGCCCAAATCGTCCGTCTCGAAACTTGACGCGTCATCGACCAAAATGACAAAAGTTGTTTTGATGGTTCATGCCTGATGATAACTTATTGGTAATATTTTATCAAAAAAATTTTATGAAATTTCTGTTTCAACAACCCACCACGGTAGGGAGAATAGCAATATTGCTCTTTGGCAGCCTCACGCGGAAAGAGGCCTAAAAATCCTTTCCAGAGATACTTGGTTGGTAATTCTCGCACGCTTGAACGGGGAAGAAAACTGTTTATATAAAAAGTGTGAAAATCCCTGAGGGCCTACCGATTACAAAGGGTTTCAGTGGCGTATCTACGTAAAAAGACGCCCATGACAAAGCACCCCTTTGATCGGTGACAGACAATTTTAACGACAGACGTTGAATTGAGATACTTGTACGTTATTATTTAAAAACGTTGTTATAAGTAAAAATACGAGTTGCAATTATTTTCAATTTAAAATCGATTTATTGAAACATTTCAGTATTAAAAATTTCCCCCCTTTTTGCGACCAATGCAATGTCATACGCTAGATCAGGGTGGTCCAAACCCAGGCCCGCGGGCCACATGTGGCCCGCCGCTTCATTATCTGTGGCCCGCGTCAAATTTGGAGAGTAATCAAAAAATCGCAGTACGTGTTGTTTCGTCATAAAATGAATCAAAAAAATCTTTTGACATATTGCCATCACTAATGTCACTGAATTAAATAGTTTTATGGCTAGCTGGGGAAACTAGCAAAGTTGGATGATGCGCTTGGCAGTCTAAATTATTATCTGGCTTTCTAACTTTTTGGTCGGAAATATATGCTAACAATATAGGTGTTATATCTTTATAACAAGTAATGAAAACAGACTCATTAAAAAACTGCACGCGATTTATTTGGACATCCGTCCGTCAACTTAGTTCAGAACAAAAGACCTCTAAACAGAGGAAAAACAACTTACGGCACTAGACAGCATTGTGACGTAACAATATAGCACACAGGCAGTTAGAGTAGTAAACAAGCTTAACATAATATATAACACTCCTTCCCCCCTTTTTGTTAATATTGTACAAATTCAAGAACCAAATATTAAAAATAAATGTACAACACAATTACCCGAATTCCAACATTCCCAATCAAATGGTATAAAATATTGCAAAAACAAATATACAAGCAACGTACAGAATTTCACAAAAAAACTAAGAAATTCAAAGAAACTTTTACAACTATAATTCTGTCCAGTACAAAATTATAAAACTTCTTATAGAGATAGTTTTTCTGGCGGTTTTGATATTCTGCCAGATCTTGTTTTATAAGGTATGTTTGAATTACTGGACGATTCTGGAAAATTAGGAACTGGGTCTACATTGTCTCTGTCATTTTGAGATTCATCAGTCTCTTCAGTAGCAGTAGAGGTAGGAGTTGAATTTCTATATCCCACATCAACATCAGGTATTCCTGTTGGAATTGCAGCTGGTATTCTCTCACTCATTCTAAAATCTTGATTCCTTTCACGTACCATTACATCATCAGCAGAAAATCGATGTCGAATATGATCAAGATGACGTCTAAAAATTCTTCCATCGTTCAAACAAACACGACACATTTGACCCATAACTTCAGTTACTGTGGCAGGTAACCATTTGAAACGAGATCCAACGACTTCTGTAATAAAAACTGGGTCATCAATGTGAAAAGTTCTTATTATTCCACTTGGAACATTCTCTGCTGACTTCTTCAAACGTGATGAAGGTGCGATTAGATCAAGATGCGTTCTAATCTTACGACGAAAAAGTAATTCCGACGGAGTCTGACCAGTCGTTGTATGTGGTGTAGTTCGGTATTTAAATAACCACCGAACAAGTCTGACTGACAAAGATGCTGGTGCTTGTTTCTTCAATCCAAGTTTAACTTGTTTTACCATTGATTTCAGCTTGGCTATTAGAAGCCGGATGTCTCGGTGGTGAAAACAAGTGCTTCACTCCATTTGCCTTTAGAAATGTTGCAAATTCGTCTCCTGCAAAACACCAGCGTTGTCAGTGACTACAACTAGTGGTAATCCATGTGTAGCAAATGAAAGTCTGACTTTTTCAATAGTTTCATGAGCAGAAACTGACGATGTAATCCACACATCTGGCCATTTGCTAAACGCATCAACAATAACAAGAAGCATTTTCCCATCAACTGGACCGGCATAGTCCATATGTATTCTTTGCCATGGACCATTAGGATAAGACCATGGGCTAGCAGGAACTTGAGGTGCACTGGGACGTAACTGTTGACACAAACTGCAAGATTTCACCAACTCTTCAATATCAGCATCAACCCCAGGCCACCATACATGATTACGAGCAATTCTTTCATAGAACAAATATCAGGATGACCATCGTGAAGCAATTGCAACACTTTCTGTCTTCCTTGTGGCGGAATAATTACTCGACAACCCCAAAATAAACAATTTTCATGGACACTTAGTTCCGTCTATTTTCTTCTATAAATTTGCAATTCTGGGTCTATGTCAGAAGATTTTGGCCAGCCCATTTGAGTATGATGCATAACTGCGGACAGTACAGGATCTCTTCTCGTCCAAGACTGAATTGCATCAACTTTAACAAGGGTAGAATCGACTGCTTCAAGAAGATTCACTACATCACCACAAGGCGGTATATAATCCGGTTTAACAGGCAAAGGCAAACGACTTAGTGCATCGCTATTGGCTTGGTTTTTACCTGGAACATACACTAATTCGTATTGATATCCATCAAGTAATACTTTCCAACGGATCATTCTCGGTGGAGCTGCATCAGGAAGTGGCTTATTCTTCCCAAGTAAACCGAGAAGTGGCTTGTGATCAGTTTCCAAAACAACGGTCTTCCATATAAAAATGAATGGAACTTTGTAACAGCGAATACTAGAGCTAATCCCTCTCTATCCAATTGGCTATAATTACGCTCTGGTTTTGACAAAGATCTGGATGCAAAAGCCACAGGACGTTCTCCTTCCTGCGTTATTACAGATAAAACTGCTCCGATTCCATAAGGACTGGCATCTGCAGAAACAATGACGGCGGCATTTCCGTCAAAATGAGCAAGGCATGGAGCATTACACAATAGCGATTTCGTTTTCTTAAAAGCTTCCACTTGCCTTTTATTCCAGTGCCATCGAACATTCGAACGAAGAAGTTCATACAAAGGAGCAGCAACAGTTGATAAATTTTTAATGAATTTACCATAATAATTAGGCATTCCCAGATATGAGCGCAACTGATGTATATTTTGTGGTTCTGGGGCATCCAGAACAGCTCTCAGATTATCTTCAGTTGGTTGAACTCCAAGTTTATTTATACGATATCCAAGATAAGTAATTTCTGAAACCATCCATTTACATTTGTTTGGATTAATTTTTAGACCTACATTTGTAAGACGCTTGAAAACTTCTTCCAATCTGGCTATGTGTTCTTTATCAGAAGAACCGGTTACTCCAATATCGTCTTGGAAAACACCTACACCTGCTATGTCACCCAGCAGTGTTTCAAGATATCTCTGGAATATAGCTGGGGCACTTGATATTCCATAAACAAGACGATTTGTCGTGAATAATCCCTTATGTGTATTAACTACTGTGTACTTTTGACTCTCTTCTGCCAATGGTATCTGCAGATATGCCTCTTTCAGATCAATAACAGAGAATTTTTCACCACCAGCAAATTTAGTCAATAATTCATCCACCATTGGCAATGGATACTGCTCAAGACGACTTGCTTTATTTACAGTCAAGTCATAACTTCCACAGAGCCGAACTGACTTCTGATCAACTTTTAATACGGTAACCATAGGTGCAGCCCAATCGGATGTTTTACAAGGCTTCAAAACACCGATTTCAACTTGTCTATCAAGTTCAGCTTCGACCAATTCTTTGAGTGCAAGAGGTACAGGTCGTGGTTTATAAAATTTAGGCTTAACGCTGTAATCAATCTCCAATTTAGCTTCAGTTTTTGCACAACCTAATCCAGGTGAAGACAATTCAGGATACTTATCAAGCAGTGTACTGATTTTAACATCAGAATAGTTAATTTTGAAAATTGAATTCCAATCAAGTTTGATATGTTTCAACCAATTTCTCCCCAGCAATGGTTTACAGCGGTTACTATTTCTTACCACAGTGATTGGCAATACCATTGGGTTACCATTTTGATACGTTACAGTAACATCCCTTTCTCCCTCTACTGGAATAGACTCCCCCGTGTATGTAGACAGTTTAACATCGGTGTGGTTCAATTCTGCTTTTGGCCACAACTTTTTATATTGCACTAAAGACATGACAGATAGTGTAGCCCCTGTATCTACTTCCCAAGAAATGTTTTTGCCATCGATGTCAAGATCAAGATAGATTGGATTGCATTTCACACCCACATTGTTATTTTGCACGGACGACATTGTATGATGTAATTCGTATGATGAACTAGAGTTTTCATTCGTTTTTCGCCCGGCGTATTCTTATCACCAGCGATACAACATTGAGAATTACATTGCTTACTTCTCTGGCCGTGTCTATACTGACTCGATTTCTTGAATCGACACACACTTTTGGTATGGCCCTTTTTACCACAACAAAAACACTTGGCATCTTTAAATGGACATTCACGGGCAAAGTGCTTAGAACTATCGCAGCGAAAACATCTAAGAGACTTACCCCCTCTAGCCGAAGAAAGCTGTGGTGCTCTAGGCTTGAATTTGCTATCGGAATTCTTTTCACGCTGCACATCAATTTCATATAATTTCTCTGGTCTCGTGTGATGTTGTTTAATTTGTTGCTTTGCTTGTTCTAGACTTTTTGCATAATCCAGAAGTTCTCGAAGAGACATACGCTGCTGTAGAGCTTTTTCCCTAACTCTAGAATCACATCCACCAGAAATAACTTGCTGTTTTATTTCACGATCAGCATCCGTAAAATCACAGGTAACAGCTAATTTACGCAAACGTGCCACATAAGTATCAATATTTTCGCCAAATTTCTGTTTTGCATTCCTGAAAACATCACATTCAAAATCAATGTTTATCTTTGGCACGAAATAATTATCCAATTTCTTAACGGTGTTGGCATAAACATTATCATTTTCATCTGCATTCGGCGGTGCGGGCAAATTCTCATACAGGTCAAAAACTTCAGGTCCCGCAAAATGTAATAATAACGCTTTCTTTCTCTCTGTGTTGTCAATCGACATGGCGAGGCACATGTTTTCAAATCGTCGCAGCCATTGTTGCCATTCGTCTGGGCGATTAATGTTGAATTGCGCAACTTCCAATGATGCTGACGTCATTATTCTGTTTACAGTTGCAATCGTGCTTCAACGATGCTCAAATAATTTACTGCCGTTTAATTCAATATAATAACAGGCCTTGGGTTCCCAGTCCAGTGAATGCTGTTCACTATGAATATCCAAAGTCACTGATTATGCTGCAATAATCAGTTCTAACTCCGTCGCAGTCCAGCGACTGTTCTCTTATCTATCCTCGAAATTAAGCTGTAACTTCGATATATTTTCCTTCCTTCCCCAAGAAATGGCTACAAAACGGCACAAAAAGGCTTTTTAATCCTCGTCGCCAATTTGTTATATCTTTATAACAAGTAATGAATACAGACGCATTACAAAACTGCACGCGATTTATTTGGACATCCGTCCGTCAACTTAGTTCAGAACAAAAGACCTCTAAACAGAGGAAAAACAACTTACGGCACTAGACAGCATTGTGACGTAACAATATAGCACACAAGCAGTTAGAGTAGTAAACAAGCTATGATAGTAAGCTCAACATAATATATAACAATAGGCATCATAGAAAACTAAAAATCAAATGCGGATTCTATTAGCATGGAATGGTTATGCCTGATAACTATGTGATTGCACAATAAAAGTGTTTGTTTTGATTTGCACTGATTACCTATTCTTGGCACTATTGTGGCCCGCGAACAATGCAAAAATAATTTTGTGGCCCGCGGAGCCGACAACCTTGGACCACCCTGCGCTAGATACAACACTGCCTTTAATAATACACTCAAGTTATTTAGGAATCAGAATGAAAATAATGCGTTTTCTGGGCCTGACTTTCTTCTTCTTCCACTGAAAATTGCGACGCCATTGATAGGCGCGGCGGTGTGGCTCATCTTGCTAAGCATTAGGAGTGCGCTCGCCACCGCACTTGTGATTACTCTGCGTGGGTTCGCATCCCATGCAGGGATGGTTATGTGCGAGAGAATTGCTGGACTCCTCGCCGCCATAGGGTGGTTCACGTAACCGCTGGTCGGTTACGGCTTCCTCCAACATCAGGTCCATGCTTCCGAAAACAAATAACTAATCCCATACCTGACATGGAATGGTAACCGGACGCGGGCCCGTGGTTCGCCATATGATTAAGCCGTCTTATGAGCTTTCTCCCCTGTCCGAGATAAATATGGAAATCCTTTCCTAGCTCAGTCACCTTTTTATACATGCTTATGTATACTAACACTTGCATCTTTCATTTCTTCAGGTCGGATCAACTACAATATTGAAAAAGGGGGTTCACAATTGTATTTTTTTTTATAATTATATTAAAACTTACGTGGATTAATCTTCCACTGTGCTCCAATAAATTTTAGAAATAGGAGTTCAACTTCAAACACGTATTTAATTCAATATACGAAAAATACTAATAAGTCTGGTCAATAGTGTAAGAATTGGTAAAACCACATATCCGACGCTGCTAGCAACAAAAAGATATAGTGGTATTTACTGGTATATTTTTTCCACCCAACACAAATAAAAAAAGTTGTTAACAACTAAGCGGACATTTATTTAAGCATTTTTACACGATCTCAAATAAAATTGCAGTGTTCAAAGTCTGAATACAGAGCTGAATGTCAAAGACTCAAAGAAGTTGAAACTCCGAGTTGAAATATTCAGAAAGATAATAATAACGAAATTAAAAGAAGTAATGTGTAAACTGCAGAGGGGTAGAACTAAAATATAAGTGCAAGTAAAAGTTATTGCAACAGTGGTTGGTTGTACGATGGAATAATAATATATATGACAGTGGATAATTGACAATTTACATCTAAATCACTATATGTTATCAGTAGTAGCAGTTAAAAGTTGAAATACTTATTTGATGGCCACTAAAATTCACCATCAAGGCTCATTTCTTACATTATTGGAAAGTTTCTTTGAGTGCTTGATCACTGGACATAGGGGTAGCAAACTCAAGTTTAATACTTTTTTGAAACTGATTTGATATTTACTATATACATTTCAAGTGTTATCAGAAAATATTTCAATTCTACATGCATTGGACAGTACCAGGCTGGGCATAATTCTTTATAATACATAAACGATAGTGACAAATTGTTGAACCATTGATAACTTATTATATTAAACACATTCAAAAGATTTTTAAACTCTTGGTTTTTCTAACTCAATCTTAATAGTCTTATCAATCGTAGATAAAAAAAAAATTGCTAGGAGCATGCAGTGACTACTTCTACTGAAGACCACTTGGACCAGCTTCGTTTGATGAGCTCGAGGGTACCGAGATGTTAGTACGTTGCCTTGGTTGGAATGACGGTTTGGTTTGATCATCATGACTTTTCAAGGAGGACATGGAGCCATGGTGTTTCAAATTGAGATCAGAATCTGTATCATGGTGCAGGTTCATATTTGATAACGCCCTTTCAATCAAGCTCCAAGATTCTCTCTCATTCGTGACGCTTTGTAGATACAAAAGTAAATCAATCAATCCATTTTTTTGTAATTGATCCTTGTAAGGTTTCAACTCTGACATTCTGAATAATATGTTAGCAAGAACATTTTGTAGTGTTATATCACTAGCATAAGCATAGTATCGAAGGTCATCCACAACACTTTCTTGTGAAACTAACTGCTCACAAGATTCGACAGAGTCTGCAAACTGTAACAGTAATTTTGCGGCAAAATATTGAAGTTTCTTGTCTAATGTTTTATTGGGAAAATTCAGCAAATATTTCATCAAATCTTCATTCGTATTGATCATTTTAGGAGCTTCTATAGCCAGCAGTTCCAGAGTCTGCAGGGAAGTTGCTATCGTTTCTTCATCAAAGCTGCGTTTCAATATACACAAAAGGGCATCAATGGTTGAATTTCTCGATGTCAAAACAACTCTTGTATCATCGTAATCCGCCAATTCCAAATAAATTAAAGACAGACTCCGTAATCCAGTAGAATCAGTGTATTTGCATGCATATAAAAGATCTTCAAGACCATGATCTGCAATTGCAGCAGGCTTGTTTTCATCAGAATCTGTGACAACATAAGAAATTGCCATTATTGCTGCTTTCACCGTTCTCAAATTATTAGCATTAAGTAAAGCAGTTAAAACACGCATTCCTCCAATTAACACAAACTGATCTTGTATGGCGGGAACTGTGAGACATTCTGTGATGGCTTCCGTGGCATATTCCTGTGTTGTGGCATCTCCATCCAGTCCAAGGGAAATCAGTGCTTCAAGACCACCTTCAGAAACTATCTGAAATTTGTTGTCATCACCAGAAGTTGCCAATGTAGCGAGTTCGAATGCTGCATTTCTTTTCTCGCTTGTTGTTCCGACTTTTGCTGCTTCTAGAATTTGATTCAATTCTCTCATTTGCATCAAGTAATACTCAATTCTATCTCCAACATTGAACTTGAAATTGCTGAATAAAATCCAAGAAAATATGGAATTGATGAGCATAATCAGAATTTCTAGACAAAAATAAACAGCTGTCCACACTGACCTCTCGTAACATTGTTTCTGATACGCGTAACAAACACCTTCTTCTATTGTATTTTGAGCACTTGAAAAACATGAAGCAACATTTTGTGAACATCTTGCCGTGGGATAGGATGATGACTTCAGATCAATAACAATAAGAGTGAATAAAGCTATTCCAACTCCCATCATTGCTAGAGTTAAAACTCCAAACACAATCATGAATTCCTTGCTCCTTACACTGTTTTTCCCGACCCATCCGCCAATTCTTGTAAACGTTGGACAGAAAGTGTACGCAATAAACAACACCACAGCATATGCGAAGAAAAAGTACCAGTACACAGTAAATAGAGACAGGAACAGAAGAATTATTTGCATCATCAAGATTGTTTTGAAGACTCCCAATGTTTTCTCTCGATTGTTCAGAAGATGCACTTCTGATTTTAATGCGACTTGCACAAGGTCTTCCACATTTAACTTCTCCATTTTTGATTTATTGCTTTGATGAAATCTCATGTCTTTATTCCAATCTGATATATCATTGAGAGGAACCATCTTTATCACTGCATTATTTAGTATTTTATATTCTTCCAGAGTATAAGCATCTCTCATGTAATTACCTTTGTGACGAAGCCTAAACTGATGGTTAGAATGTCCTATTTCATACAACGAATGCAGAAGTTGAGCTCTGACGCGAGCAACTGTATCCGAAGGTTGGCACAAGACAACAAATGTCTTCAGAGGATAAGCTTTATTTTCAATGTACAATAGCATCGTTACGAATGTTTGGGAATTTTGAACTTAAGATTTAAATCAAATATTTATGTTTAGGAATTGATCTGAATACTGAAATATGAGTGTATTGCGCTAATGAAGATCTTCATGGAAAGAAAGTCAACGAAAGGTAGGCCATATAATGTTATTCCAACCTGACTATCTTTCATGTACGATAATATTTCATACTACAGTACTATCTTAGATCTGTTGGCAGGTTGGTGTTTAGCAATAAAAAGAGTATTACTAGTACCGTACAGTACTAGTGAATCCAACCGTAAATATAGGCCTGGTTTCATAACTATTAACCGATTTATTTGACTGTTCAGTTGGTTGAATCCTTTCGGTTTTGAAACATTGGGAAGTCGCAAGTTTTTATTTACCCTAAATCATTTTGAGATACCGGTACCAGTAAAAACCTTCTCAACATGATCGAAAATATTTCAACACTCAAGAGAGAGAGTGTAAATACTGAGATAGTAGCAAGAAAAATATAAGTAGACTACCGGTGCCGGTATATATTTGAATAAAAACAAAAGCTACTTTGTACCGTACCGGTACTGTTGTACCATATCCTACCTCTATTGAAGCAATCACCGAATCTTTCTGTCTTTATACTGAGGCAGGCAGCAGTATCCTGCACAATTATCTGCAAAGACGTATGGCACTTAAACTCGTACCGGTACCGTACAAAGGCTTAACCACGCCAGAATCAACTGGCATCAGTAGCCTAGCCCGGACGGATTTTTTGTTTAAAGAGTACCCTTCTGCCATCAGAAATCTATCGGAGTAATCAGTCATGAAACCAATACAAATATAAATAGGCCAACACGGTAATGATATCCCACTAAACACTCTCTACAAAAGGCTAAAACACACAAGAACATCGCAACAAACAGCAAATATTAGCCATTGTTGATTTTCTGGCGTCATTCTCGTTGGTAACCAGAAGCGTGGTGGGCGGAGTGAAAATTTAGAAATGTTAGGTCTTCACCGGTTACGAACGACAGGATTATTTCGACTTCATAATCAGCATAAAGGTTGATAAAAACAAATAAATAAAAACTGATTATGAAATCAGAAGAGTAAACAAAATCTTGGATAAGGTTTAAAACGTACAGAATATGAGACGGAAGATAGTGCCAAAAAGAAGTGGTACGTGTTCACTCACCTAAAATTATTGAATCAAATCATACACACTCGCACACACACACATACATGGGACATTAATAAAATTAGAAAAAAGAGTGAAGCTTTAGATAAATTATATGGTAACAAAAATAAATAAACACGTAAAAAAGAAGTTAGAATAAAATATAAGAAATGTAATGAAAAATAAGATTTGTTTGCCTCACCATTTTAATAATTTTATAAAAATTCCCAAACAGGAGTGAACAGTATTTAATATAAGGACAAAAAAAAAATTATTTTGCCAAGCTGATTATAATTGGAGTCAAATAGCCCAACCAAAGTTGAGTGCATGAAGAGTTAAGCTAAACCTTTTTATTTACCAAGGACATGACAAAATATTGCCAAATTATAGCTCAGATTACATCAATTATTAAATAACCCTGGTAACAGTTTGGATATAATATAATTAGATTAGGGGATTGATACTGAGGTAGGTATTGGAATTTATTGGTTATGAAGGGCGGGAGCAAGGATAAATAAAGGAATTGAAGATGTTTTTCCATAAAATCCTTTGAGATTAACAAGGAAGATTCAGTCTTTAAACCTTTTTTACATATTTCACGTCATTCGATGATTGTGACGTAGTCTGAATAACGAAAAAACATCTGCGAGTAGGCGTTTAGAAGATTACATATATGGATATATGGTACCTATTAATTATTAGGAGATAAATGAAATTATTCAATTGGTTTTAGCAGGTATTGATCATTAAATTCTTATCACCCCATATCGGTGTTTGGAGAATCCAAAAGCAATTTCTGTTAGTGACACAATTGTCACACCATGCAAAAACACTCAACTTCGATCATATCACACTATCTACACTTTGGTCAACTCCACGGCAATAGCTTACTTAAACATAAAGTGCATGCATACATTAGGAGGTAGAAAACCACATCAAATCAAAATCACCAACACAAAACTAAAAATTTGAAGGGGAGAATCCAATATAGCTCGACTGCTCGCCCAGTTACAATACTTGGTATCTTGCAGGAACTATAGCATGCTGTCTACAACCCTCATCAGGATATATCAACACCCACGCAGAAAACAAAAACCATACACTTTGTGGGATAAGTCCGCGTAGGGTACGATATCTAATGTCTCCCACTGCGACTCCAAGTTACAGGGTAACTGGAGACGCGTCCTGTCCCTGGGTCCCCAGATAATGTCTTCAATCTATGCACCAACTGACCAACACTGCGCCCTGTACACCAACAATCCCGTAGACCCGTGTTGAAAGAAACTTTATTATATTGTATAAACACATCTAATGTTGGACTCAAAGAACTGCCATAGGTATGCTAAGATACAAAATAAAACAATGATCAGTATAACGATACATCAAAACCTATTCGGCTAATGTATGAATAAGCCTAATAATATTCTGAGCATAAATTCCCCCTTGTTTATCATTAACGCATGATTATGGTAAAGTGTAGTGTTAGGTCTGTTATAAGTATTTTCAAATAGCAATGAATCACATTAGAAATTTGTTAGAGTCTGATTATATTCCTTTTATACAATATCCACAAACTACGGGAGTACCACATGTAAATTTGGTTAAAAGTTCTTCTGTACATATCAGATGAGAAAAGAGAGCAAACCGCTGGTGAAAACCACTACCTTTGGATTTTATCAGCGGTCTTCCTCACTTAAGAAGATATTACAAGTAAACCGATCTTAAAACATAATTCACACCAAAATGATGGCGTGGCAATGGCGTTCGTTCGTATATGTTGAGTTTCAGAAAGTAATAGTATGTGACTTGCAAATAGCATTTCAGCTCTGAATTATCAGTACTTGACATAAATTAAAAGATTAAAAAAGTTCACCATGATCTTAAAGAAAATACTTTGCTGCCGAACATTATGACTCAATAAAATGTATGTTCGTCTCAATATGACGAATAGATAATGTTAAAATGATACAAAATAGCATAAACTAATTCAGGAAATACAAATTAACGACGCAGTCATGTTTACATTTGCAGCAATATGAATCACTTTGAATTATACAATATCAAATGCAATTATGGCTAGTCAGTTTCGCTATTTTATTATTGAAGCATTGTTATCTCAGCTACCGTGTGAAAATGTTCTAATGGTAGTTGATCACGCTATAAAAATGTGCATAAAGATTAACAGTATAAACCATAGATGTGCAACATACGGATTGTGGGCCACGGAACCTACTGATTACCGCATCCCGCAAGAGACTTTGTGCACCGTAAGACTGGTGGTGAAAGCGTCCGGCAAGAATTCGATAGGGCAATATTACGTCATTGGCCACAGTAAAATCTGACATTCGCATGATCTCTAAATCAAGCGGAAATCACTTACCTAATGAATAAATTTACATCATATGCTGGTTCTATAGTAAGATTTATTCATAAAAATTAATGAGCTGTTCGGTGGTCGGGCCCTAATCTTAATTTTACGTTTTGCTCCATCACGGTAAACAGTTGCACGCCCCTGGTATAAACAAATATATACTGAAATATCTTATTTTTTCGAGGATCTTATGTACAGTCTTTTGCACAGATAGTCTGTTCATAAACGTGCTCAAAATATCGAATGACATCCTTCCCTATTCAACAGCCACCTCACTTTCCTTATTTCTTCGCAATTGTCTTCGATGCAAAGTTTCCGCCATAACTGGAAAGAAAACAATTTCGCCAAAATATTTTTACGACCGAATCACGCCGCAGAAACATCTTACAAGTAAATAGTATTTTGATCTTTGTGTAATTGACTATTATATTTTTGATATTCATCCATAAATGTTTCAGTTAGGGTGAGTGCAATTTTTCGAATCATTGCTCGTTTCTTGGACGTTGAACTATGTATCTGTATCCTACAACAGGCAATATATAGATTGTGCCAAGCAGAGCACGCCATGCTATAAGGTAAAATTTAGATGCCAATTTGGTTCTCAATGTTTGCCTAAATGTGTTTTTTTTTGTACGCAATGCAAACTATATAAACTTGAAAAAACAAAAAACGTTATTAGACTGCGAAGCAACAATCTTACCGTATCCAATCATGCTCATAATCAGCACCCCCATCTGAATAAAGATTTTTGTTCGTACGCATAGTCTTGTGCTCCAGGCAAATTGAATGGCAATGCCAAGCATATAGTAAATATTCCAAACAGGACAGGCGACATCCAGCCGATCGCGGAAGTAATTTACTTGTACCACTGAACAGAATAATAGATCATGTTGAAAATTAAAAATACACTGAGTATTGAGAGTGTTTATTATACAAACTTACCATGACCGTTAGACATCCATATTCCCTGTGTTCCTCCAAATAGAAAGTACATTGGAACCAAACACCAGTGTGACGAAAATGTAGCTGAAGACCATAGTAACCCGTAGATGTATATGCTCATATCAGTCAACGTAGCAATGACGAAAAACCAATCACGAGAAATTTGTTTCCCTAGTTTTCCCATTAGATAGCAAACTACACCCCCTCCGATACCATAGAAAACAGAGTGAACTGGCACCTAAAAGAGGTAAAATATGTTTCAAGTTTATGTAAAGTAAATTTGTACTAGAATCTTATATTTTATAAACATGAATCTTTCATGGAAAATTTTTAATTCCAGACCATTAGGCTGTGTATCAAATATATGTTCTAACAAAAAAATAAGGTTAATAAACACATAAAAATAAACAATGCCTGCTGCGAGTATAATGCGGTATTGCAACTGTTATTACTTACATAACTGGTCACAAATAAGTATCTATGAATTTTATATGAATTGCAACAAGATGTTCTGGTTGCTTCTACATTTGAAAAGGTTGATAGACTCGAATATTCCAAGTTCATTGGTGCAGGTTATTGAATATAAATAAAAAGTATAGCATCGCGAATGTTGAGGTGATATGCTTAAGGAGAATTCTCGCATACCTTGAACACTTGGTATCATTTTAGAAGCATATTTTAAATCTTATTAATTTAGGAATTTTATACTACAAAAGGCAATCCTATGTCATCCAATATGCTCGATTCAAATATTTCTGTGCCATAAACTCCAAATCAAATAAAAATTGAGCAAATATCAGTGGTGGGATCCATGGGGTTCGCGCGAACCTGTTCTGGTTTACGTGAACCGCAGCCGACGACTAACGCTGTATTTGCCGCTTGAAAGTTATGTATTACTGTTTTGAAAACCAACCCAAAATGAGTGAACACCTCGTAAATCAATACAACTGGTCAGCTTTTTTAACTGATGGCATTTGCTGATGTGCACGGTACTAAGAATTCCTGAGTACAGGTGATAAAGATGAATTATACAATACATTTCCAGTGGTCGGTGTATACAAGATATATTATCACTTGATAAGTTACTGTTTAGATTAAATCGTGGTGATTTTATATATTAGAAAAATACTCCTATTTTTTTTATTTAATAATAATAACTAGGCTTTGTTCGACGTATTCAAAGCTAAACACAAAGCATGAAACTAAAATGCGAATAATAACCAAATGACATACGTACGTATTGACATTCAGTAAACTAGAAAAGTGGCCGGCCCAATTATAAGAGTAATTTAGACTAAAAAGCATAGCCAATGAGTAAAAAATAAAAAAGATCAGCTAAACAAATTCAAACATAAAGACACGAAACGTTAATTTAATGTTGTGAAATTTTACCATTGGCTGGTACCTGATTTTGTGTAAGAGAAACGGGTTTTCGTTAGCCACTACGTCAAGTAGGCATTTGAGAGGTGGCATAAATGCACTTCTACGAATGTTAGTGAGCTGACTTACATGCAATTTCGTTTCATTCCCTGATTTATCATGATTTCCGTGTATATTTTATTAACTGAATAATACATACACATTACACAATGACGACAAAGTTTACCATGGCCACTCCAAAAGCACACGTAGTATATGATCTTGTTATTTCCGATGTAATATATCCGTATGTCATCCCGTGGTAGATGAAGATGAGTGTTACCAATATTTGCTTGAAATCCACAACTTGTCTTCCGATATCTTTCACAGTGGTAAACGCGAAAGATACATAACTTTGGTCCTGTAAATATAAAAAAAAATTCAGTTTGTCGGTACAGAATGAAAACTAATTTATTTATCTTTATGCAAGACCGCATGGTCTTAAACATAAGATCGTGTAAGTTCTCCAACATCCATCTTATTTTCGTTTCGGGAGGCTTTTTTAGGTGTATTCACTGATATTTTTGCATAAATCGAAGACTCATCTTAGCCCATATGTAGGCATTCAGATGTTGGATAAAATTCTACGTAAGTCAATTTTGATAGCAGAAATTTTGCAAGTACGCTATTAGACACTTCAAAATATGTACCGAGACTATGATTGCTTCGGTTGCAAATTTCTGGTCGTCGATCCCATCAGAGTTATGCATCTTTGAAGTTCGGCGTGACACGCCGTAATCGCCGGTTTCAGGAATAAAAACAAAGTGTATGACAACTGCCATCACGCATAACATAGTCAAAATTCCCATTAAAATGTAAATGGACAATCTATTCGCTGGTACGTACTGCTCCAGTGTATTTCTTACGATCACAGCATCTTGACAATCATTTGCTCCACAGTGTTCAAAGTCGTTTAGGCTGATTATATCTTCGTTTGAGACATTAAATGTGATGTTGTTGGCATATAAAGTTACTGGATTTTCTGATTTTGTGTTGAAAGCATACAAAACAATGTATGTTATGATATTTCCCGGAATCTAGGAAGGTGAGATTATTGTGATGCACTTGAATTCAAAGAGTAAAACATGCATTCAAAGCGGTACGAATAATCCGCCGTTATGAAAGTAAATTTGTCAATTCCATTTTAACTTCTAAATTTTGAGTTTAGAGATGTTCCGAAAAAAATATCAATTTAGACAACAAGATCGGTGTCTGGATTCGATAGTATACGGAGAATAAACACACTAACATCGCGTAATCCGTTTCTGCTATTGCCGCGGGCTGCTTGCGTAACGGGTGCTTTTAATTGAAATTACTAAAAATTTGAATCTGTGTTTATAGGATGAATATAAAGTATATTTATATGTGTTAGTTCTATTAATGCGATCGTATTTTAAACAATTTATCAACAGATGATGTTCTGTCCATTCATTTTTTTTCTCATTGGTTCCTCATTGGCTTGAATATGTGTATATATATATATAATTGAATACAGTCCTATTAGAATAAAGCAGTGGCCACCAGCTTTGAACAGAGTTAAAAATAGCAAGCCTGAATCAATTGAATTCACCTTCGCCCCCAGAACGATGGAATAAAAATACCCAGAAAATCTAGACTCGTTTTTTGACTGTTGGCCATTTCCAGAAAATGCAGAATATTTTGTAGCAAAATATGAGTTTAGCAGAGGCATACAACTCCATAATGTTGAATCTCCGATACCAACCAGAAAAGATGCCGGCACCATTGTGTAATAGGCTGAAAATTACAATATCTGATACGTTGATATTTAATCATTTACACATTTTGGCATACATAAAATGAAAATGTTATATTCATTATAAACTTTTCAGTTAGTCCCGCAGAAACCAAAGAAATAGAATAATTTAAATATTTATTGATTTTACACGATATCTTATCTCAAAGATCATCATTTCCAACCGCATTATTTGTTCAAAAATTGAGACATTCAAAACCTAAGCTTGACTCTGACAAAGGAAGGCCTAAAGGCAAAATTGAAAATTCGGGTTTGTGGTTAATCGTAACGAAAAAATTCAATAATTTCGATTATATGAATTTTTCTAACATATTTCTTTACTCTCATTTAACTGTAGCCTAATTGAATTTTGTGAAATCAAAACACTTTGAACGCATATATACAACGAGAGAAGATTTTAATTCTTGTACTTACTGGGATACATATTTGCTACCGTGTATAATATGTAAGTACACTCGCACCAACAAAAACATTTTTTTGCACCAAATCTTCGAAGTAAAGAAGGTACGCAAAATAACGTGAACAGAACAGCCGTTATATTGATTATGGATGCACAATAAGTTCCTGAAAATGAAATCGGCATCAATGTTAGTGCTTCACTGAGTACACTCAGAACAATTGGCTCGTTGCGTATTCACAGATATTGCGCTTATTATTTGTTCTAACTTTACTGCTAAACCGTGGTCTAGCGGCTAGACTCTAGCCGATCAAGGTACCAGGGCATACGTGGAGTAAAGTCATATAACATTTTCAGTAAAGCGACCCGTGGTGAAAATGCGTTTCGCTGTAGTTGGTGTCATTCGGGCGAACGACGTAATTTGCACAGCAGTTTCTGAGTCATACTGCAAATGATATTTATAATTACTACAACAAGTGTAAAGTTGCAAACCAACGAGTTTGCTATCGGAGGGATATCATCGACCGCACCAACTGAATATTTTTTTCCCTTCACGTTCGTGGCAAATTTTTAATAAAATCCACGAATAACCTAGCGGAGAGCATGAAATAATCGAAAAATCAGTGGTCATGAACATCTATGATGACCATATGAAACCAGACTTCATGACTTCAGACATGAAACCGTTTCCATCGTCGGGTGTTACTGCTTGTTCGACCGCCTAAACTAATTTTATTTCCTACTTTAGTCAAATGCTGTATATATACATCCAAATTTGATGACCCGCAATAATAATATAGAGTAAGAACCATGCTCACCCAGACCATCGATGATATTGATGCTTGATTGAAGATTCAGCAAAGATCCGTAAGCGGCATATTGTAGGAAAACACCGAAGGAATACAGGAAGAAACACTTCCAAACTTTGCGAACAGTCCTGCTACGGTTTTCAACTTTCTCTGCCATAATAATTTTCTAGAGCTGTAGAAACAGCACACCAGATTCAGATCGTACACTTTTAGACTTAGTCCGTAAGGCTAATCGACTATTTGTGTTTGTGTCGTCTCGCCAAAACACTCATTTTATAAAAGTCTAAATACGGGTAAATACAGCAGTGGTGGGAATCAGCCGGTTCGCACCGGTTCTATATAACCGTCTCGCGGAATTTTATGAGGCCAGCGAACCGGTTAGCATTACTAAAAAAACATATAACAGAACAGGCCAAAAAATATGACTTCTGTGATGGAACCAGCTGACAAATATTTTGAATCTCACCACTGAAATACAGTCACTGAAATATGACCAATTCACCACAGTTATGTTATTATGATGCACGACAATACTATACAGTATTTTATCGTCACATGTGGTGTAAAATGTAAATGAAGAGCGGCATTTGACAACAAGCTCCCATAGCGCATTGCATGACCGATTTTTGCATGACGTAGTTTTAAACCTGGCGAGAGTGAGAAACATTGAGATATTTATATACATGGCAATAAAAGTATTTCTCTTATACCTAAATACTGAGTAGGCTCTAATTTATCCCCCGCACGCTCTGTTCTGGTGCTTTCAAGAATCACATAGATTTTCGATTACTCCTGTTATGATTCATGTAATTCATATGCAGCGAATGTGACGTGACTTTAATACGATATCGCGATACCATGCATACAGTGGTGAGATTCAAATTTTTTGACAGCCGGTACCTTCACAAAAGTCATGTTTTTCAGCCGGTTCTGTTACAAACAGAACATTGACAGTAACCAGTAATGCTAACTGGTTCGCTGATCTCATAAAAATCCGTGAGACGGTTCATTAGAACCGGTGCAAACCGGCTGAATCCCACCACTGCATACATAACAGTACAATATATTTAATACAACTTTATATTGATAGTAAAAATCGGAATTCGATTTTATGATCAGAAAATGTAGGTCACCCGACGGAATCGAATACCTCATATCGCGACGAGTACGTGCTATATCCAGTGGTGGGATTCAAATTTTTTGTCAGTCGGTTCCTTCACAAAAGTCCTATTTTTCAGCGGGTTCTGTTACACACAAAACATTGACAGTAACCAGTAATGCTAACCGGTTCGCTGATCTCATTAAATTCCGTGCGAAGGTTCTATAGAATCGGTTGAATCCGACCACTGGCTATATCTGATGGCACTAATTGCATGTGTCACAACAATCGCCACAATGGCTAAGACTACAAATCGTCCCGACAAGCCATACATGGTGATCATCCAGTGTATGTGAACAACCCTGCGATGTCTACAACCTTGGCTACGATTGAGTGTCTATAGTCCAGCGGATAAGACCCTCAAATATGATAGAATTGTGCACTTTTGGATGCATGCATGAAACTTGGCACACGTCTTCTGATTAATTTTGGATATGGTGCCATCCAAGAAAATATCTCGTTGCCATGGAAACGAGGCATCATTCGTATTGCTATCCAAGTGTAAGAAACATTACTTTAGGAAAGGATATTTTCAAGATAAGTAAACCGATGTCTATTTAAGAAATAAGGAATATGATAAAAAGTGCATTTTGACAATTGCCCTTGATATCAGAATACCTGGAAACAATGTTCCCTCTAATTTTTTGTAGTATGTGTGCGCAGAAATTTTGGTGTGTGCGCACTTTTTTGGAAATGACTAATATTTGTGCAAAAACCAATGAAGAAATTTTGGTGTTCTAACGGGGTAATGGGTGGGCCAACAACAAACTTTCTCAACCTGCCAATCGAGAACATTGTTACATTACATCGAAATACGTCTGTGTGCAGTATATCTATGCGTGTGCGCAGCTTCTGAAAGCTGTGTGCGCGCGCACACGCGCACACCTTAGAGGGAACACTGCCTGAAAAAGAGGTATCGTTATCGACCAAACACGATTATTAGTCGCACAACCTGAACGCTAATCGGAGCACAAACACTACGTTAATGTTGTGCGCCACCTTGGTGCACATACGTCTGGATCTCCTCTGTCCCTACTACTGTACTTAATGGACATACTTTCTATGTACATGCATATTATAGTTGATCAACATGATATCCCAGCTAAACTATACGCTTGGGAATAGTACCGTGTTTTCACGCATCGACTGCACCGAATAGACCTTATTCATTAAAAACCCATCCTACGCGCAAAAAAAAGTGATGTAAACGAAACAATTTTAACATTAGTTTTCATGGGGAATGTGATCACCAGAGCAGAAATTTGCCTTTTTTGTAATTTTCGAGATATCTTTCATTGTAGACGTGGGCAGTTTTGAGGATAGATTTTTTTTTACATATTCCTTAATATTTTTATCATGATAAACATGGTCAAGATTTTTGATAATTGTTCATCAAAATTTTAATGAGCGCTGTGTTTCCGATGACGTCATTCTCACAATACCATGACATTCTGCCAACGCGCCGTGCTTTGTGGGATATGCGCTGCAAATGCGGCGCTAATGTCGCTTTGGGTACGGTACCGGTACTGGAATCGTTTAACATTGGCAATCTATAACCCATACCATTTCTATCACGTTTGTTTACTGGTTTTACGCATCTATACCTGCACATCTAGCATTTTTTGTAAATTTTCACTTAGTGGGCACTTAGCAAGTACATCAATCAATTCATAAATAATAAAAAAATTGTAAATTAATAACTAATAACAAGTCAGTAGAAGTCAGCTCGGGTATTCAAACATGTGATGATTTAAGTGAGAAAAATAAACAACAAGGGAAAAGATACCTTGGAATCATTCAAGCTTCAAATGCTGATGGTATTAATGAAAAGAAATAAAAGATTATGAGAAATGAAGAATGAAGTTTCCATAAACTTTATAGACTTGATAGAGTGTGGAGCGCCTTCTCACAATGTAGTAATAATGGAGCATATATTTGTAATATCATTATATACAGACTTCAAGTTGAACTATATGTTTAATTAAAATATCTATCTTTGCTAATAAATGCTGAAAACCATTTATTTCAATCTGCTGGGTGATTAGGGCCAGAAATTTGCTGTAGGGACCATCACCAGGGCTGGATTTACCAATAGGCTAGGCAGGCTGAAACCTAGGGCCTCGAAATTCTGTTTCGAAGTTTGTAATTCTTTTGAAAACTTGACAAGTTTAAACCCTACGAAAAGTATATATATATATATATATGAAGCTTTTCAAAGTAGAAAATTCTGTACACAACTGGTTTCAACCACGTTGCGCCAGTTGTGGTCCCGGTACCGGTATTCTGTTATCACAAGCAGTTGGAGCGCATATCCTGCAGAGCACGGCGCGTCGGCAGAATCTCATGGTATAGTGAGAATGACGTCATCGGAAACACCGCGCTCATTAAAATTTCAGTGAACGATTATCATAAAGACGTCATCATAAAGATAAATTCATTCTCATAACTCTGGCATGGAGTATCTCAGACAGATAATCTGTGGAAGACGGAAAAACTTGCATTACATTTCAGTTCAAACTCGGCTGGAATCATTGATTCTTGTAATTTAGATTTAACGTCGCCTTATGTAAGTGCTACAATAAAAAATAAATAGAAAAACGATCGAAATAATTATATATTTCCAAAAATATATTCCACAAACACTCCCCAGTAACTAGTGGGGTAAGTTTACTATTTAGATATATACTTCAAACAAGGCACTTATAATGCATGAAATATATTGCCTAATTAAATTCTATTCTTGAAACAAACTTTTAGGTACGTTCTACTCTTCCATATATTGCCGTGGGCTATCTGTGTCGTGTGATAATAGTAAATAACAAACCTCAATATTTTCACTACAATTCATAAGACTGCAATTCTATTGAATACCAGGCAACATACTGTTCTATATCTGTCACAATGAATATGATCGCGGTGCTCAGGAAATGTGTTTTCGACATTGTTATTTAACGGTAATAAATTCGACGAATCGATATAATAAATAGCGGTTTAAAAGACCGTAATATGTATGAAATAATATTGTGTGTACAAGGATTGAAATTAGATTATGGGAATCAATTTTTATGGCTTATATCTTGACAGGTTGGTGGATCGAAATAAGAAAAGGGAAATGTTTTCTACTCGGCGTAGTTTATCTCACCCCGGCAGGTGCGTTAAATCACTTTCCATAGGGGTCCAGTTACAGATAATAGACTTAGTTAGTGGGCTATGAAGTGAAGTGAGCTTTATACCTGTATCTGCTGCCCTGGTTTTAAGCTCTTGTGTCGATAATTATTGCCGAAAGTCTTATATATGTTTTGTTAAAAAAAAAAGGTCTCGTAATGTTATATTCTCCGAACACCGAATACCCTTCATTACAAAATAAGCAGGCAGTTGAATATTATCTTTAAAAAATACGTCTCTCCATTTCTTGTTAAACAACGTTGTTCGGAATCAACATTGCGTTTCCCACTCATACTGATGGATTTGTTACAGTGGCTGGCAAATTACGGCAGCTGCAGAGAGAATGTTGGTAGAAAATTAAGTCCAAACTCCAAACCTAGACTAAGGTTTATATAATAAACAGCATAATGTAATAATCGGGTCATCTTGGATAAGTTTTGGGTATAGGCGGCTGGCTTTCCACATTATTTACAGGTGCAGATAATACATGTCTATATCTTAGCCGACAACTCGTTAGTTTCAACGCAAATTTATATCCATAAAAACTATATATATATACTGTAGTTGTGAATTCTACAGGCACAAGTGGGCCGGATGAAATACTTCGGCGAGATGGATCCTGCCCGCGGGCTGTATTTTGCCCACCCTGTCTTAGTGATACCTCAATTAATCGGACTTCAATCAATTATAGGGAACAAAGTGTACATATGAATCGTTTTGTTATTAATTTGTTCTTGCACCAAGTTGGCGCACAACATGACCGTAGTATTTGTGTTCCGGTTAGGGTTCAGGCTGTGCGACTAATAATAGTGTTTGGTCGATAACGATACCTCGTTCCCATGATAACCAGGTATTCCGTTATCAAGGGCAATTGTCAAAATGCACTTCTGGTCATATTCTCTGCTTCTCAAATACACACCGGTTTACTTATCTTGAAAATACTAGCAATACTCTCGCTTATGATTATCTGCACGGGGCTCTAACCTGCCAAGTCAAGATAACATGGCATCTAATTCCTGGTGTAGTAGCCATGGTTAGTACTCGCTAATTGTAATCCGAGCCAAATCAGCCAAACTTGGAAGAACTCACATAAACTTCACCGAAAGTGTTTCACGTTTGAGAGCGTTTTTGTTACACGATAGCATTTTTATATGCATGAGTTGTTATGGCAAACGACGTATTCATGAAAAATATTTTAGGTTTGAAAAATAAATAACGAGAGCCATTGTTGTTCTCGTGGTTTTTCAGCTTCCCGATCTCCGAAGTTCTTACACTTTCCACCCAAACATAAAGTATGTTTTTGCCAACAAGTCCTCTGCCGCCAACGTCACTGTGGCACAACGATATTTATTTTGTTGTTATATTGACATCTTAAGTTACATCACAATGCTCGCAAGTTTGTCCGCAAAACTCCTAGCGATTTCATTCCGAGGTTATTTTTGAGAAATATGTTAACCAAAATAGGCACTTAGTCGGATGATTATGTGCACTTAATAAAACTGCAGTTCAAAAAATTGCAGAAAGTAGTGCATGCCTCTATTGTTACGTGACAATGGAGGCAGATTTCACGTAACATAAAATCCAACTGCTGGGAAAGGTGAAATGAATTTATTGGTTTATATACACAGCACACACACAGCGGCGCACTAATTTTTAATTTCCTTTACTGTTCGTTTGAGTTATTCGACTGAAACTCGATACTGAGGCACCGATGACACAGTTGTTATTGTTGTGTGAAAATCCATATTCAGTGGTTAAAGATTATATTCATCGCTAGAGAGTATTACTTTTATTCATTCCAAAAATTTCAGTGGGCGGATTCGTTTTTTATTTTGGATTTTTATTTGATGACATCATCGAAATTGGAAATGCGCACCTTGTGGCGATCACGAATTTGCAATAGTTGCGGGTGGTCAGTCGAAGTTGGAAAGTGTACGGCACTGTGAATGATTTCATACTAATTGATTATTTATTGATTAGTGGTGGGACACGCGGTGTCGCTATTGAGTCAGAGCGAAGGAATCGAAACCGCAAGATCGATAGGTCGGCTGTCATCGATCGCTACATAGTATAAATATTTAATTAAACCCGGAATGAATGTTTCATTATTTATTTAAATCATACAATTCAGATAAAGGGCCTGCCTAATTTTTATTCGTAAGGTTTGAAAATTCTTCAACCTTGCCAAGTATTATCCAAACAGCGAAAAATAAATATTGAATGAATGTTACATGAATGCTCAAACTTCACTAGCCTATCTAATTTACAATTTTTTCGCTTGCTTAGAATTAGAACGAATTGGGCATTTTAATGCCACTGCTACCATTGCGAATAAAATTTATCACACCACTCTTGGAGTGAGACAATAACTCTCGCACACTGCGGAAGTTATTGTAGGATCGTTTGTCACTCTACCAACGCAAGATTCGGCACTTCATTTTTAAAAGTTTGGCAGCTGAAAAACTTGCATTTGTCACCTTAATAATATGCTTTTCCGGGCTTGCCCACTCTCAAATACTGTATGTGTATATTGCATTTTGCGCATTTAAAGTACTGTATTTTTCCTGTTGTGAAACACACAACTGGTTCGAGACAATTTTGGGTTGTGTGTCAATAAAATACACTCAACATCAGACGCGATCGACTCCTCGAGATGTGGCGATCGACGTGTTGGCCACCCTTGTACTATAGCATATCAATATTAGTAGATATATACGTAGCCTATTTAACTACATTGCAACACATTTAAATCGCGGAAGCCACCATAAAAAATAGAGAATGATACAACAACGAAATTATGCTTAGTCAACAAAACTTTGCATTTGAGACATCAAATTTTCTAAAAAAAAATTCGGTCGTGTTTGGGGCACAACGTGTTTAAAGAAACAAGTTGAGGATTCAGAGATTCATTGAGGATCATAGATAACTGTAACATGCAATTTTGTGAGTGCAATCTATGAACATGAATTCATATTTAATCAATGAGTAAGCCAATAACACGTATTTACGGGTAAGTAATAACGGGTGTGTGGACTTTCTGTTGTCGTACCATTTTAGGAAATATATATATATATATATATATATATAATCTCAATTTGATGATATTGAAGACATTAAAAACAAGAGAGCTATGCTCAAATATATGGACACGTTGCGCCACATTGTGGCAAATTTTGATGGCGTAATAGCACACAAAAAAACGATAAATAAATGCAATAGCTTTCTAGCAAAAATATAATCTTTACTCACTGAAAAGTTCAAAGCAATTGGTTCAGTATTCGAAGAGAAAAGCAACTTTATAATGAGGACAAAAAATACCAACAAGGACTACAACAAAATATTGAAACGATCGTTATGTCCACTAAACGTGTCCAATAATATTTATATAGTATTACATTAGTTAAATGAATTCTTAACGAGATCATTAATTCTAAATAAAAACAAGGACTTGTTGGGAATATTTCCTTATATATTATTAGCGTCAATATTTATTTATTTTCATATTTTTGTAAAAAGTGTACATTAGTTATTTTATTGGTGAACTTCAATTATGCACTCGTTGATTTGAATTGAAATGTAACATGATCTATAGATGAATAGTGGTACACGGGTAATCAGTTTGAAGCCACCTCTCCGCCGTCTGGAAAGAGCTCATAATTATTTATTTCATGTTTTATTGCCTAATCCTAAACGAAGGGTATAGGGGCAGCGTCGTTCCACATTGTTCAACATGTAGGAACCTCGTTGTTATCACTTCCGCTGCACACAGACATGATTCGGAAGTTTTATTCATGATTAAATATTTTTTTGTTTGAGAATTTTAGAATCTAATTCACGTGTTTACGCAGCTTTTTATTGTTATATGTTTCATGTGTCTATACATTTCTCGAAATGTTATTATCAAAAACTATTTGTACTCAATTGTGTTTTAGTATTTTGTGAACTGGGTATATTTTCTACTGAATGAGGATTGTCCGACTACCTACATAGAACATAGTATAAAAAGTAATCTACGGAAAATATATGATACGTTCTGGTAGACAAGTCCGTTACAAATGGCAGTAGAACAAATAGGCAACTGTCAAAAATGGTAGATTTGTTATTTGCACTTTGTGCACGTATCTTCCAGACTAGAGTGACTACACAGACTTCCGTGAAGTATATGACCCTGAACCATTTCCTGCGTGTTGCATTGATAAGGGCGTTTATCAATTTCACGAAGAAACAAAATCCTGATTCCAAATCGATTTGGCTTAATGCGTTGGAGCGGTAGAGAAGTGGCAAATTAGTTTTGTTATATTCAAGCCATGCGCATTACAACCTGTGAAATGCACACATGCGGGGAGCCACTAAGAATAGTAGAAACTGGACTTCCAGATATCAATGGGAATACTATCGTGGATAAAGTCGCTTTCATACGTGAAAACTGTGATGACATCAGAAAGTATGTATTTGTGAAATTGGTATTCATCGATTTTTGTAGTCTTTAAACATGTACAGTTAGCATACCCTGGCGCAAAGCTGCCCAACCCGCGGGCTGCATGCTGCCCGCCTGACTGTTTTTAAGGCCCACCCCATAAAGTTGTAAGCAGACTTTTGATGTTTTTACTATGTTCTATATCAATATATAGGTTAAGCATGTTTCGTGATTATTGCTGTCATCTATCTGCATTCAATTGCCGGTTCTTATTATTACGTATGTGTCAAGTCTTGCACCCTGGTGGACATCGCAGTCAGTTTTTTTTTATTTCTCGCAGAACTGAGCGTTCTGTTCGGCGAACTCGAAAGATATTGTGCGATCATTGAGGACGAACGCTGAGCGCAATTATAGGAATGAATTTGGAGCCTAAATTTGCAAATTAATTTCATTCTGATTGTTTTCTTACGTGTCTGCTTTGATCGTCTTTATCGCCAACGTAAAATAAAAAGTCAACAATATTATTTGATACTGTTCCCGGGACTCGTCCTTTTATGTTTTTTTTATCAAATGTTTGGGTTAAATTAGATTTCGAAAATGTCGTCACTGCGTATCCGTCAATAATTCTGATGAAATTGACATTGCTGCATATTGGTCACGAATCAGTATATATAGGGTATTCGTCCAGAAATCTTCATAATATTTTTTATTAAATATATGTATTGGTGTCAAATTTTAAGAAACGGCCAACTTAAACTTGCTATTCCCGCGACATTTGCCCACATTATGTTCATTTAAACATTGAGACAGTATCATAGGCCAGAGCTACTGAAAATGAATGAATAAAAACACTATATAATGCAAATATAACACTCAGTTTCGACGTGATTTGTGTGCTCTCGGGGGGTCGTCAAAGAACCACAAGTGTCATGTCCACGACCCGTGTTACCAGATTCTAATATTCGACTTGATATTCGAATAATTTGCCAGCCCTACTCAGTAACCAGAAAGCAATTATTAAATTGATTGATTTGATGTTAATAAAATTGCCTTTTATGTATTATGTAAATTACCTACGCCGAAATCAGGGCTTAGCTGGTATTAATGATTGGTACAAACATTTGCGGCCCTCAACGAATTTCGTAACTTGAAAGTGGCCCGCGAGACGAAAACGGTTGGGCAGGCCTGGGCCTAGCGGGTCATGTTATCGTAAGGTTGTCGACTGGTTGTTCTCTTAAATATTCCAGGTGTATCACAAAAATATGGTCAATTATGATATTTTTTTCGCAAACTTATTAAGCTCATGATAAATGTTTAATGTCAATCGCTCGTTTTAATGTCAATCTTTTGACGTGGAAAAAAATATCGATCAACAGCAAAAACCATTTCATGTAATAAGTACCAAAACTCGTCAATGTTTATCACTTTTAGTGCGGATGTTTACCGACATGTATAAAACGGCCGTGAGAATTGACTGAATATAAGAATAAATTGAGTATTTTTTTAAAGATTTCTGATGCACGAGCCTCGTGGACATCATGATATGTTTGGGACATTAAGAGTTGAGCCTGACTTACCGAGTGCAGACGCAGCATTTGTATTTATGAACAATGAAGGGTATACTACAATGTGCGGGCATGCCATCATCGCCCTGGGAAGGTGGGGAAAATATACTGCAGGCAGCCGTGTATCATTTTTTTATGTGACTGTTCATTAATTATTTGTGTTATTGAGTGTTGCTGCCAGACAATTCATTTTGGTTTACCATGATGTGCTTAAATTGCGGAAATAATATTAGGGTTTTTATAATCAATTTGTGTTCACCATTTTAATTTGGTAATGAAACTATTATGGATTTTTTTTAATTGATTTGAAAAACAGGTCTCTGCGCAAAATTTTTAATCCCAATGAAAGTTCAAATGTTTGTTTTGATAATAGCAGCCATGGAAATTTTTATTTAGATACTGTGTTGATAATGGTATAGTGGAGGCAGAAGAACCGGAAACTTTGGTCAATATTCAATGTCCGTGCGGGCTTATTCCAACCTATGTTTCATCCAATAAAGAACGATCTGGTAGAGTGCGGTTTCACAGTGTTCCATCATTTGTTTTGCAAATGGGTAAGAAATATATAAATTTAGAGAAAAAATCACGTGGAAAAAGATTTTCAATCGAAGTATTGAAAAGATACAGTAAGCTATATAATGTTAATCGCGTGAGAGGTAACTCAAATCTAACTGAAATAAAGACTCTAGCGACACCTGGTTGTACATGTCGACAAGCAGGAAGCTGAAACATAAAGTATAGATCTTCAACTAGTAATGACAAATTGATATTTTTAAATACGGAAACATCAAATGAACGCAACAATGTCATGCAACACATTACGTAAGCATGCTAATGGGAGACAGTTTTATTTTTTAGCACCTGAACAGTAATTATTTATGATGATACCATTTTTAGATGTCAGCGTCCGTGTACCAAAGATTGGTGTTATTACTGTAGACATATCTTATGGAGGAGCATTCTACGCATTCGTATCCACCGATGCACTCGGTTTGACGAGCAAAGCTGTTGATGCATTGAGAGCAGTAGAAGTTGGACAAGCTGTAACAAATGCCATTAAAAAACTGGTAAGTAACAATTGTTCTGAATTCTGAACAACTTGCTAAATTCATAGTTTATCGAACCAATAATCTAAAATATTAGCCTACTGAGAATGCCTGGAGAATAGCCCGACATTTATAACAATCACAAGTTTACTCACATAACTATACTATTTTATTTTCCTTTCACGTCTTGATTACATCGTGTTCTTTTAAATTCAAATACTTTATAGATAAAGATAGAACATCCAGAAAATGAAGACCTTGGATTCTTAGCTGGCACAATAATAGTCGATAGAACGGGACTTGATACAAAAAATTTACTTCGACAAATGGCAGTGTTCGCCGATCATGAGTTGGATAGAAGCCCATGTGGCTCAGGAACAGCAGCTCACATTGCTCTGCTACATGCGAAGGGTCTGCTAGGTGTTAATTGTGAAAAAACATTTCAGAGTATTGTCAATGATTCAAAGTAAGTACTCTATGTCTCATGATTTGAAAGTTAGGTATTCAATAGTTTGGTCATAATCCTTAGCTTGAACCGTTTTTATAATAAATAAAGGCAATATTCCATAAAATTGACTTGCTAAATAAGAAAACTATTCTAATTTGGTTTGCAGATTTGTTGGCAGAGTTATCAGAAAAGCCACATGCGGTCTCTTTGACGCTGTAATAGCAGAAGTGGGTGGAAATGCATACTACACTGGTAGAAGCTTATTTACGTCAGAAGATGAAGACCCCTTAATGACTGGGTTTACTTCCAGACCCCGGATGACTGCACACACAATTGAAACATAGGAGCAATTTGTTAGAAATTCAGATTATTTGAAAGCAGCAACAACACACGAAATAAACAAAATCCAAAAAAATAGTGCTCTGAAACTGACACTGCTGACCTCATCAAAGTTGCAATACAGTTTTGAACAAATATAAAGGCATCACCACAAGTATGTGTTCATTTCACGCTATAGTAGTAATGGCTATTCTTACATATATATATGTGAGTACCTGCAAATTTTTCTTTTTTCAAATGTCTAGCAGCCTTTCAGTTGAGCTGCTCAAATTTATTGAATCCGGTATTGAGGTTGAAAACACGTGACACTGTGGCAAACTTTTGGCCTGTAAAGAAGTTGAATAAATTTATAAAAATCACGCCATGACGACAAAAAATGGCTGTAGCGAGTTGGTAAAATAAAGTGAAAAAAAAAAACGAAAACACAAAAACCCATTGTTATTTATCGTAATGTTCTTAAATGAATTAAAATTACTTTATTTAATGACTCAAATGTATTTGTTGCTTTGTATTTAAAATATATTCAGTAGTTTTCTTATTGTTAATGTTACTTACTCGAATAAATCATCGCTGGTTCATCAATTTTGTATGCATAGAAAGAAATATTAAACAGAATTAAAATACTGAACCTTTCTTCATAGTGAGAATACAAGCTACAAATAAATCTACATTTTATGAATAAATTATATTAACGCTGCAAATTTGACACTTGACAAATGTGGCAACAAGGCGGAAATTGAAATATGGCATTATCTATTGAAACTTATAGAATATAGATGATTTTGATGTATCGTCTTGTCCATATCTAAGTACTAAACTATTCTAGAATAACATAAAAAAAACTCAAATATCGTTCAAACTAAATCAACACAACCAACTCAATGTTGCACAGATGTTTGAATTACTTTATTTATCAATGTGCTTATTATTTATTTATAAATATTTATACATATTTATAATATTTATTTATCAATGTCAATTGAAATACATAAAATAGTCTGTGTAGGTAGGCGATTCATCACTGGCGAGTTGTCCTTGTAGGTCACCTATCCGCCTCCTATAATACTTCAATATTTACCTTCTACAAAAGGTTAACCGCACACGATTCTTGTCGATTCTCTGGTATCAACCAGGAGCGTGTTAGAGTTGAAATAAACGCCAAAGATGAATTAAAACTACGAAAAAATTTTTCACTCAAGCGCTCATTCAATACATTTAATGTTTATTGGTAATTTTTATATTTCTTGAGAAGTATATTTTTTCTATTATTCTTGCCCATAGCATATATGTTAATTCCACGCCTCTCGACCCTTATAGTTTATAATTAATGTGGACACGACTATCAATAAAGTTATGGAAGTTCATCCAAACTTGAAGCGTTTATTGGTCGTTGAATTGGTGCAATAGCGTACGTCACGTGTTACAGTTTTCAGGTTGTGTTTTAAAAAATTAAAACATACCTAGTATATACCTACAATTGTCCGGTCACGACTGCTGTCGATTTTCTGAACAACCCCACGATGGTGTAATTACTGCGTGATTTGTCATTCCGACTGTCAGCACATTTTTATTAAATGAAGACCAGACGCAACAAACGAAATTATATTTTTAAAAGTAGCGATATGCATACGAATACTATGATGCACTGCAAGGTTTTTGCAATAGTATTGTTTTGTTCACTTGTCACGATTGACTTTTCGGTAACAAGTTATCAAACATGTAGAATAAATTCAAAAGCAATTGTGAATTGGCGAAGGTTAAAGTATAAACTGCAAGGGACATTGTAACGTTCCGGCTCTCATTCGCGCAGACTTTATGATATGCGACTGGTTTTATCTGGATCTTCAGGAACTAGTAATTTTCAATCGCATTTCATCAAATATTATCACTCCGGCTAAGCACTCAATAATAAACTTCAATATTAATTCCGTAATCAGCAGATTTAGAAAGTCCCCATCTACTTGATAAATACTGAAATAATCGAAAGAGCAAAGTCAAACGTATTTGGGCATCACCTTAATCCCAACTTAACCGCTCTTACATGGCAGTAGTGACTGTTTATCGATTAAAAATTGAAGGATGATAAGATAAAACAATACAGTACTTCTTAAAACTAATATTGGGCGCAAGATTCAACAAAAGTATAACATCTTATTCTCAGCACGATACATAGACTAGACCAGGGTGGTTCAAGGTTGTCGGCTCCGGGGCCACAAAATTATTTTGCAATGTTCGAGGGCCACAATGGTGCCAAGAATAGGTAAACAGTGCAATGCAAAACAAACAAACGACACATCAAGCAAGCATTGTGGTATGTTCCCTTCTACATTCAGTTGAAAATCTGTTTGAATTCACCAGCTTTCTTTAACTCAATAACTTACGAATACCTACAGATTGATTGATTACCAAATGTGGGGTACAGAATGGTAATTACTAGATTTTCTAACATATAGGCAGCATATTTTGTAATACCGTTCAGGCTGGTTGCATAAATAACCCGGCCTATTGTTATAGGCCATAACATTAATATTTAGTTATCAGGCATAGCCAACCTAAGAGTATAGAATCCGCATTCGATTTTTAGGTTTATATGATGCCAAAATTATTAGCATCTATTCCCGAACATAAAGATAGAAAGCCAGATAACAATTTGGACTTCCAAGCACATCATTCAACTTCGCTAGTTGCCTCAGCTAGCCATAACACTAGTCAATTCCGTGACATTAGTGATGTAACAATCTGTCAAAAGATTTTGCTGGGTAATTTTATACTGGAACAACACCAAATTCGATTCTTTGATTAATTTCCGAATGCGACGCGGGCCACAGATAATGAAGCAGCGGGCTGAATGAGCCCCGCGGGCCTGGGTTTGGATCACCCTGACCTAGACCATTGGTGTGCAACAGGCGACCAGCGGGTCACAACCCGGCCCGCCAAGCCATCTAGTGGGGGTGGCCCTTGTCGACACTCAGATTTTTAAACATTGAGCATAAAATCCTAATCCGGCAGTTTATGTATAAAAATGCGCTCACATGGGTAAAAATACATTAATGTTTTTTTTTACACTTTTCGAATCTTAAGCAGTTTAATTCGTTGTATACGAATCCCATCACTCACACGTAGCAGAAAGAATTCACTGAACATGAGAATTATTTTTTGATTCACTACTTGTGTTGTGAAATTAATCCTAAAATTAACGTGAACACAGACAATGAAGGCATACACGGTCTTATGCACACATTTGAAGTGGGAAGGGGCATATAAAGAATAACAGATTTCGGATTCTATAAAATGGCGTATAACCTGTGCTCTGAAGGAACACTTGCAGTGCAAATGCTACAGCTGAGAACTAGCCAGCAGAAAGCGAAATGTACTCTTACTTGTTAGTGAAACACAAGTGAACAATTACTTTATGTGACAAACACTGCGATTTGGGCGAAGTTATCAATATATATACATTGTTGCGAAAACAACCAATGTTAGTTGCGGTCTGTTGCATTTTTTCTAGGAAACTATATGAAATATTAATACTACAAATTGACAATAGTCCAATAAGTAGGTCAGTTTATATATACTATATCCTAAAAGCATTGAAAGGACGTAAGTTAACTATGTCGATACGTACTGCATGCCATAAGTGTACGAATTGATCTCGCACGGATTTGGATTATTTTTGCAAAATTGCAACTGTTTGCAATATTGTACATAGTCTGTTTCCGTTTCCTACGGATAATACCAACGGTAGTCGAAGCTGATTGATTATATCCCAATTTATTGAAAACCAAAAGTCCATCCGTATCAGGTGTGCTGGTAACTTCGCAAGTTTTCGCTGAACAAATTGTAAGCTGCGATTACAGATTTAAAAAACGTTGGAGCATGACATGTAACTTTTTATATCTGTACAATGTACATATTGGTAGATTGCACCAGGCAACAAACGTAACAATGCGTCCATCTATCTATCTATTGTCAGCATGTACTTGAGAAAGTAGTCGGTCAACTTGGGGAAGTGGAGAAAATGATTAATACCTGGTTATATAGAATAGATGCTATTATGATTTTAGTTACGAATAAATGGTTGTGAAATGTTACAAATAAATGGTTGTTATACACTTTGATCTATCGTTTCAATTAAACTGGGACTGAAAACCTTTGTTCCTAGATATTGAGTGTCATTTTGCAATTTATGTTTAAAAAATGTTTAGCCAAATGCATTATTTTGCTGTTAGACTTTATTGTGGCTATAGTACTGTCATTTTGTAGTAACACATCCTACTATATTTCATCAGTTGACTGTACAATGACGGTAAATGTGCCTGGTTTAGTTTCAATTGTAATATTTTACCTTGCTATTTTGGCGATTGGAATATGGGCAGCATGGAAAAATCGAAATAAAAAAGGGGAAAAAGCGAGTAGAACTATCCTGATAGGAAGACGCGATCTTGGACTGTTACTAGGATCTTTTACAATGACAGGTGGGTGGAAGGACGAGTGTTTATGCATGTGTTCGATGCTTTTCGAAGTTGTTTTTTATGTATAGACGTAGCGCCATTTCAACTTATAGGCATGTCTTTCTGGATAGAGAAAGAATAATTTAATTTGCCAACTTAAACGCAGTTAAGTGAATTTTCAATTAATAACATGTTTAAATAGTTAACAAAATATGCTTCATGAATAAAGTGTTTTTTCAGCTTCTTGGGTTGGGGGTGGATTTATCAACGGAACTGCCGAATCTATATACGACCCTCAATCAGGACTGGTTTGGACTCTGGCCCCATTCTGCTATTCTCTTAGCGTGATTGTCACTGGTCTCCTGTTTGCCAAAAAGATGAGAGAAGGGGTTTGATACGAATTATATTGAATAATTTCGTTCTGCTATAATATATGTTTTGCTATCTCAATAACCGAGAGAATATGGAAAATTGTTTTTTACGTGTGTTTGGTGATTTTATGTTGCCTCGATCGCATGAGTTCAGGCTATCAACCGAGCCGTTTGCACTCCCAATACCATAGCAAAGTTTGCATGAAGCGATAGTGCAAACATTGTCGAAAATGTTATATAATGTTAAAAAGAAGGCACACATTGTTGTAATATTTATGACATGGAACAAGGTAAATGTTCTATGTATTCGAAAATGTCGTTTAATCTGTGTAAATATCAATGCAATAAAGTTTACAATGTCAAAGTATTAATATTTAATTCAGAACTACCTGACGATGCTCGATCCTTTTCAAAGAAAATTTGGCAAGCGAATGGGAGGAGTTTTATATTTACCCGCTCTTATGGGAGAAATAATGTACTGCGCTGCAATACTATCTGCATTAGGTAAATGCAAATACCTTTTCACTATGGGTGATATCATTTGTATATATCACGATATTGCTTGGTTATGTGAACAGTGTCATATCCAATATTTATTGTGTGATTTCATCTCAAAAAGCCATTAGATTCAAAAGAATATAAATTTTGTTGGAGGAACGAACCAGAAACATACACAACACTATTTATTTAAAAAAACTCAACACTCTGTTTTCATTGTACACGTATATATAATTATGGAAAATAGTGATATAAATGAAATGTTTTTATATAAATAAAAAGTAAGTAATATAGCACTGATTCAACTTTACGTTGGCCTAATAAATGCTCTACCAGAACAATTATACAAAATACCGCAGTCACTCACGAGTTTTCAAGTTGATAGCGATTTATTTATCTACATCTAATTTGCTGCCAATTTCTTGCAGGTGGGACTTTGCTTGTAATCGTCGAGATTGATTTTAGAATTGCAGTAGTCATTTCAACTGGCATAGCACTAACATATACGGTAGTCGGAGGATTTTATTCAGTCGCTTACACAGACGTCGTTCAGTTATGTAGCTTATTTGTGGGAATGGTGAGATATATGATTGCACTATAGCATCATTATATTTGTTTTTGTTACTGTCCTACATTATGACTCAATTATTCACAGTGGTTGAGTGTTCCATTTGTCTTGACCAACGACGCAGTAGGAAGCATATCGGATACTGCTTACAGTGGTGATGGAGGGTGGCTTGGAACATGGTCATGGTCATTTACTGGATCATGGATTGATACCATTTTAGTGATGGTGAGCTTTAAAATTATCGTTTCGTTATTATCAGACAAATAGATATTATAAAGTTATAAATTTTGAATAAATATTATGAATATTCTACGTTTTTATTGCGAATACAAAAAATTATTTCTGGTGGTAGTCAAACTGAAATCATTAAAAAACTCCTGGAGTATGCGCACCAAGATGTCGCGAAACCTGAACCCTAACCTTGTACATAACCTGAGTTCAGGTTGTGCGCCATCTTGGTGCGCATACTTCAGGAGATCCAAAAATTGAATTCTACTTTTAGGTATTTGGTGGAATACCTTGGCAAATTATGTTTCAAAGAGTTCTTTCAGCTGAATCACCAAGTTGTGCAAGGTCGATCTGCTTGATTGGAGGTTCATGTGCAGCATTGATGGCAATCCCGTCTGTCTTGATTGGCGCGTCTGCCAAGTCAACAAGTACGTTACATCAACTGTTCACGTTTGTTTTGGTTATATCACATTGCTAGAAATTTTTCAAAAATTCTCAAATTACTTGAAAGAATTTTAAAACTATTTGACGTAAATATTTCGAAAATCTTCTTGTTTTGTTGACTGTAAGCTATAGAAAGATAAGCTACCCGGTTACAGATGAATGCCGCCGATCAAATTGATTTTATACTTATTTTACTTATTCCCAGCGCACAGATATATATTTGTAGCATCACCGTGTTACGTAGGTTCAAAAAATATACCGATATGTATGAATGAGCAGTTTGTTGCAAAGATACTGCGATTTTATAACCAATATATATATCCGTCCATCTCAAATTTCATGTTGAAATTACTGTTGAATAATACCACAATAGATCTTTTAATATCTTTTCATTTTATGATTAGTTTTCCTCGGAATTATAGAATGAACAATTAAATCTAAGTACTGTCAATATTTTTGCAGTTGAAGGTGAGATATGTTGAGTTTGAAGATAATTTTTTCGTTTAGGCCATGCATTAAAGTAGTTTTTATCACCACTTTAAACCCAACTAAATTTCCCATTGTCGTATGCAATGGCAGAACATAACTTAGACAATGAGTTGTTATAAGATTGTAATTGTGAAATATAGAATAATATAAAATATTTCTAAGTCTATACTATGAAAAAAGGTTAAAAATTTAATTTGAAGTTTTGCTGATACAATTATTAATTTACCTAAACATTTGTGCTCTGCGTTTTACTAGACTGGACTATGACTGACTACATGAATGGGACTGGATTGTCTCCAGCAGATGCTGGACAATCTGCAATGATACTGCCAATAGTTCTACAATATTTAACGCCGACAGCAATAGCATTTGTAGGATTGGGTGCAATTTCCGCTGCAGTCATGTCGTCTGTAGATGCCACACTACTCTCTGCTGCAAGTATGTTTACGAAGAATGTCTACAATGGAATTTTCAGAGAATCGGTAATGTTTTTCATATATATATATACTACTTAATAAATTAATTCCTTTTAAAACGCAATAGAACGTAACTTTGACGACGCTCCAAAAGTATGTGTACCAATATGGAGGTAACTAATTTTGTTCGCCTACTTAACATCAAGTTGTATAAAGGGATGGACGGAAGCCTATGGGAAGGGGGAATATTCACTTGACTAACACAAACAGTCCCCGAACTCGTAATAAAACTAAACTACGGAAAATCGGAATAAAATTATGGCCTAACCCTAACCTGGTACATACTACACATACTACGGGGGTACTACTTTGACACCAAACTCTGACGCAATATAACGATAGCACAACAATATTTCGATCTATTACTGTTGAAAGAATTGAACTAAAAACTTTAATTATCATCCAATATTTCATTTTGTAATATATTCGTTAGGCATCAGACAATGAGCTTCTATGGATAATGAGAATATCTGTCGTGATTTGTGGTATTGTAGCAACTGTTCTTGCACTTTCAATACAATCCGTATATATTTTATGGTTTCTTTGTTCTGACTTCGTCTACGTGCTACTGTTTCCGCAGGTTAGTAAGAGTAGTTAACATGATATTGCGTAGTAAGTGTTCTTCATTTGTCATTTTTGAAATAAGCCTATGTTCTTATTCTTCTGGTAAATATTAAGTATATTTATCAAAGTATTTGGCATTGTAAATAATTGTACATTTTGGGAAAAAATGAAAAGGGTTAATACAAAAAAATAGTATGTATTAAAATTGGATAATAACTCTCTATTTTGATAATGAAAATGTTACAAGAAAACTTGTTATTAATATGACTTGAACTTTTTTTTTATAACGTGATATAATTGTTTAATTCCTGTTTGACAATTTTTTATTCATATGAGTTCATGAGTTAATATTCTTTACTTATCCCTAACCTTTGTTTATTACAAATTCATTGTTTTAGCGGAAATTCATGATATGTATTTTTATGTACACAGTTGCTGTCCGTGATATATTTTGACCCAAATTCATACGGATCAATTGGTGGACTAATCATAGGAGCAGTTTTGAGAATTGGAGGAGGAGAAGTTCTTCTGAACTGGGCGCCATTTATTCACTATATCGGCGGAGATAATTTTCCGTTCAAAACGTTTTCCATGATAATGTCCCTCACTACATTAAATGGGTTGTCTTACATAGTAAAAATTATTTTCCAACAAGGAATTATTCCAGAAAAATATGACGTCTTTCATAGCAAGTTTACAAGTGGAGGACGTACAATAGAAGCAAAAGAAGAATACGAGTATGCATCTGCATCTTAGACGTATAAACCAAATTCAGACTTCAAAAGTCTGGTCAATGAAGAAACATAAATAACATAAATGTTCATAAATTTTAATTGAACAATATTAATTGATTTTAAATTTCAACCAATCAAATGTCAACATTCACTTGCTTGGTGATTGGAATTAATATCTTAAGGCCAGTTATATCTTTTATAAGAACGTTTTTCTCAAAGCAAGGTTAGGCCTATCCACTCATGAGTTAAGGATGATTTCTGATTGATATTACGGCCATTGAAAAGTCAATTGCTATTACGAAGTGGTGCACTAGGCGTTGGTGTAATACCGACTACACTGTTATTACCGGTAATACATACCTATCAAATCCTTTTCTTTATGCCGATGTTTCTTCAAAACGCATGTTTCCGTTATCGCCTATTACAGTGGTCGTTAGATTAAATCATCCAGACTTGAAGCAGATCTTATATGTTTATTGTTGTCAGAAATGTATTTTTGAAATGTATGTCAGTTTATATCCCTATCAAAGTAACTGACAGAAAGAAATACTTATCATTCAAAATACTTTTTATTAAACATAAAATCTCAACATAGAAGCTTCAGGGCAAGAATGTTTATTTCGGATAAATTCTGTTTTCACGAATGCAAAACGGAGAATCAGAATGTTCCGATTAGCGCTTTCGGTATATGTTGAAACAATGCAGCTGCGTAGTGTGATCACCTTGTGTTATCTGAATTATCATTTATTTTTGAATAGAATCAAGCCGTATTTTTCTGAAACTGCTTCGAATTGATGATGAACTACATCCCTAACTGACAAACACTGTTGGACAATGTTACTACGCGTTTGCTCACCACTCAACCTCGCGATGTTTTGAAGTATCCAAATGAAACATTTGCTCAATGAGTCGATTTTGTATGTGGAGATGGATATGAATGAAAATAATGTACAAAATCAAACTCTGGTGTTTAAAATAACGACTTGATTACTTAGCTAAATTTTTCAGGCGAATGACTGACACGACGTCAATGCTGAAATAATCAGAAAATTTGTTTTCAAGATTAATTTATAAATTTTGACGTGCTGATTTCGACTAAGGAGTGCAATTTTAAAAGAACTTATTTTCTAAGGCTCGAATCAGAAAATATTTAAAGCCCCTACTTGGATTCAGAAATATAAAACATCAAAATTATGCAAAAAAATTTAATATTTTTTGATGACGTGAATCTATCTATTTTACAAAAATGTTGAAGTACAAATATTAATGATGATTTGTAGAAAGTCTGCTTGTTTAGTCCAAATTCAACTTTTAACCCAACTTTTTGCTATCCACTGAGTCTACTTGAGTAATACAAAAATAAAAATAAAATTCTGAGCCATCATTCACCATAGCACCAACAAGGCATAACCGGGACTCAGTTCCGCCAGTCAAGCAGAAAGGAAGCTCAGCAACCGTTACCCAGGCATAACTACCAAAGAGAATCAATCACACATTTCGAGAACTCCACCGCTTGTCAGTGGAAAGAGTGATAAAATAAGATACCATTTGTACTTCAAGTGCCCTCGTTTCTTCATCGCTGTCAAAGAGGCACTCCACCTCGATAACTGTGTGCTAATTTAAGCCATCTATTTTAGAATTTAATCAGCTTCAGTACCCCTTCCGTTGCGCGATCTTCGCTGGTACATGGTAGATAAGAAACACTCGCGTATTCTTCTTGGCGCTCTCAATTAAAGATAGTCCACGTCTGTACAAGAACTTGCCTTCCGCAACCAGCCCTTGTTTAGAATCAGTCCGCAATGTAAGGGACAATTTGTTTTTCTCATAAGGAGAACATGGCTTTTAATATAATGAAACCGACAATACATCAGCGGTGTCATATCCAAACTTCATTGGTATCGTCCTCTCAAAGGGTAGGTATGTAAAACATAGGAGCATAAATATTTTCTGTTTATTTTGACTATTCTCCTGGAATATCTTTGTCAATAGTGCTATTTCATAAGGTGCTTCCACGTTGGGAGCATCGCATTACGGCATAAGGAATGTTAAACGCCCATTAAAGCGACACCCGATGGTTACGAATCGTATATATGCGATTTAAATACACTAAAAATAGGTAATACGTATAATATGTCTTGTACACAATTTTTACTATATATTCACAATTCCCAGCGACAGAAATTGACGGTGTTCCCATTTGGCCTCAATCCCTGCAGTCGGATGTGGCGAGTATTTTTTCAGTCTGATTGGTTTTTCCGTTGTTGACCAAACGTAAAAAGTCCTCTATTGCTCACCTCTTATAACCTTGGGCAAATATATAATTTTAAATTACTCTCCCCTCTGTTAAAAAACCACACCACCACCATATTCTCCGCATCTGAAATATAGGAAATAGACTATGTGGGCCTATTTCGTTCGACTGTCATCTACACAAATTTATTATCACAACAATGAACTTCGGAACGGATATAAAACCGCAGTTTATTGTCGCGATTATAACTTTTTCAAATCATTTCTAATTAATCCTTACAAGGAACTAGATTTATACCAAGAAAGTATTATCAAATTATTACCTAATCCCAGAATTATTCCTTTTTTTATACAATACGTCCTAACCTCAAAGGAAAGGTTTTATAGCACTGGCGTACAAAACTAGGTGAGTTATAATTTATACGCAACATAAATTTATAATAATAAAAGCTAATTCTGGAAAAATCATTCAGATTTATGTGTATAAAATTCGTTGCATTTGATAGCCTATATTTGATGAATCGTTGAAATAAGAATGAAAAATGAATGGTCTAGGTCTCTAGGAAGAATATGTGAAAAGTATTTTATGACATGTAAGATAGCAAATGTTTTGATGACATTGAAGTCGCTCAATAAAAAAGTTCCGAATTTCTTCACTTGTACTTTCTAATTTGTAACATTGCACTTTTAATATATATCAATTTACTTCGATTTGCATAACTTCATTCTGACTAATAAAGACATAATCTGCATTACTACTAGAATTATACAATATCAAATAATACGAAAACGTTTTCTGAAAATTGAATGATTTAATTCAATAATAAGAAAAAGATTTGATACGTATTATGCTGAGGTATTAAGTTGGTGTTTAATATTAGAAACAACTTGTGATAAAGTCATCTAAGGAACGCAGATTCTGGATTCATTGAGCTTCATTTTGTTATTACTATTTTAACTTTCTCTTCTTCGACACCTTATATCAGTTAAGTAGTACAAATATTCAAAGAATCTCGTAAAGCATAAAATTATTTTTTCAACAATCAATGACGATTTTGAACGAAAAATATTTCAAAATGACTTCACTACGCAAATGAAAAGTTATTCAGTATATCTTCTAACAAATATTGGTTTGGCTGTCGCGATGGGCGAATCTGTAGCATTGAGAGCACCATCGTTGGTCATCGCTGTAACACCATTATCGTCAAGTACATTTGGATTTGTGAATTGCGTTTCAAAATCAACTGTCTGTTCACGATAGTTGTTATACACAACTGGAGTATCATTCGCTCTAAATTTCTTAGTCAATAGTCTCCGTAAATCAGTAGAGCGCTTCACCACTTGGCGAGCTTCGTTGCGGAAATCCTCATTTCTGACGCTATATATGAAACAGTTCCATAAACTATTTGACATGAGCACAAAATGCGCTAAAAATTCCAGTGAAATATAGGCTGATGCACTGACCTCACTAAGATCTTCTAAGTTATTGTAATGTACATTCGACCATATTAAACCAGCTATTAACACAGCGATTGCAGGGAAGAGATTGAGGGTGTAAATACCGACCATCAATCCAAGAGTTTGGGCCAATTTCTTTTCAATTTTAGTTTGAAGTTCGTTTGTTGGAGCACTATGATTCCTCACTTCCTTTGCCTTTTTTGCATGCTTCTTCATTGAAACAAATAATGCAATGCTAGTACCCCAAACTGTAAGAAGTGGTAGTATAAAAATGACAGCGTATATTATAGGGGCATTGCCTCCTGATAATGAAATCAGTGTTGAAGCTACAACCGAATACTCCAAGCCTTCAACAATAGGAGGAATAATAGAAAATATCGCGGCTATTATCCATATAGAAATTATTACATACTTTGCAATTCGTTTCGTGTTGTGTTTAAAATAATTCATGGGCATTGCAATGGCCAATAATCTGTCAATTGCCGCAGCCACAAGTGTGTAGACTGAAACGCTGAGAGAAAGAGTCGTGAAGAACCCGACAAAATCAAAATACCACAATGGAGCCCTTTCACTGTCGCTAAAAATGAAATCACGGTCGAGGCTGACAGAATTCAGGTATCCAGAAGATTCTTCTGAGGCATTATCAGTTTGATGCGAATGCATGGTCCACATCTTATCACTATGGTTATGTTTTTGCCAAATAAATAAGTAAAATGTAGATACAAAAGATGGCAGAACCACGACGCCCACTAGCGAATCAGCAAGGGCAATGGAAATCTTGTACAAGGCTTGTCCATTCCACAGCTTTTCGCTCTTCATGAACACAGTAATGACGACAGTATTTGCAACGATCACAAACACACTCATGACGCAGATGATTATTACGATTATAATCATATTGACTCTGCATCTAAATATAAAAGACCATTGTAGAAATAAAAATTTGCTCATAAATGTTGAGAAAAAATGGCGAATATGTGGAGGTTTTCAAGTATAACTGAGCCATTCATAGTTCATATCAAGATGAAAACATGGAAAAGCAACTTTTATACTATAAAATCGTGACCTATATAGAACCTCGTCATTAAGCTTAACATGAAGTAACGGATTTTTCATGTTTCGCTATTTACGGATACAAAAATATGTACAGAGGTCAAAAAGTTTTAAGTCCTAGCATGCGTAATATTAATGTTAAACAAGTCATGTCAGCTGTTTATACGAAACACGTATTCTCATTTAATTTTTAGCTGAGTCGTGATATATGTTTGCTATATGGTTGAAGGAATGGCATTTCTCCTTTCCGGGCGTGGTGACCTGCTGGACACTACTTAGCTCTGAGTAAGAGTAGTAATTTCATTAGGTTATTGGACACAAACTGTACATATGAATCGTTTTGTTAGGTTGTTGGTATTTTTCTTCCTATGGTTACGAAAAAAATTCTTTCTGTCTTTTTTAATTAAAAACTGGAACAATTGATTTGAAATTTTCAGTGGTTAAAGATTGTATTTTTGCTAAAGGGCTATTACTTTTACGTCATTATAATTAAAAAAACGTGCACCGTGTCGTGGTTCCGTGCACTGCATTTCAGCGATCTCGTGGACAGACTAAAAGCTTATACAGTATGTTACTTTGTTTTGGCTTTCGTGTCCATATATTTGAGCATAGCTCTCATGTATGAAATAGGGATTACTACGATCTATTTGAACTTTCAAAATTTTTATAGAAGATTAAGTCTTTAAAGCTGTATTGAAAAATAAACGTGAAACGAATACAAGTGACTTTTGTACTTTATTCATATCAAATTTGGGCGTCATATCTGATCGGCGATTTAAATGGAGTGGCGTATAAATGTCTCCCTTTACACGTTAAATTTAATATCATTCCGAGAGTGTGAACATGTTCAACGAGAAGAAGCATTAATAAATACAACAAAGTAATACAATAGTAATCATACAACACATCATACTTTATAATGATTTAAGAAGCTTAATGATAATAAAATACAGTTCAAAAATTACCTTGTAGGCAGACATGTCCAATCCGATACCCCATCAAAATCATTTACATTCGTTCCCATCCCACACCAAACAAATCCACAAAATGGAACAAGTACATTGATAACTTCATGATACGGTCCACGTTCGGGTATATCGTACATTGCTACTTGTACACATGGCTCCTGAAACGAGGAGTCGGCAATGCTGAGATCACTCAGCGGTGTAATGAGCGATATCCAGTCAGCTTCTGTGACTGTAATATTCCTTGATTTCATATCATACGAAATATTATTGTTTTCGTGATGCAACTTTGATATTGACGAAAAACATTGCGACATGAACTGCGTTTTGTTACAAAACCTCGAATAAACAGCTTTCGTAAAGTTTGTGAAAGCATAAGGTCGATACACACATTCATCATAGAATTCCGTACAGTTCCATGCTTCTAAATCTGAAAGATATGAAGTGAGGTGATATCCTGCTGCTGTCCATCCGTTAGACATTTTCCCGTTAACATAACTACAACATGTCTTTTTGACTTGAGGATATTTCTTCATAAATGGATGATCTTTCTCACAAACTTTAGAAGGCTTGTAAGTCACCCCTTTACTCTTTTTATCAGCCCATGTGTATTCTGCGAGATATGCAGCGCATAACAGAAACAAAAACAACGCTTTTCCATGAACCTTCTCCATATTGGACTAACACTAACACTGGCATTAGTTTCACTGCTTTAAGACAATAACAAAAGGAAATAAATACCGATTAAAATGACGAATAGCTCGTTCCAGACGCATCAAATGACAGCATGTAATATATAAATTAGAAGCTAAAAGTATGTTTTTGTAGTTCATTTACTTCATAAGCAGTATGCGTAGACTATTCAAAAATATCAGTGTTTTTACTTCAAACTGTAAGCACTAATTTTCCGAATTCATCCCGGAAGCATCGATAAATTCATATCTATAAGCAATTTTTCTAGAAATAATGGCATTCGTGAAAGACATCTGAAAATAGCAGTAGTAATTATAATTTATTTCTCGAGCACGATAATTAACGCTTTTGCTGAATGCAATGGGTCACATAAACTGATTGCTCACAACCAATATATCCTAGGTTTTCTAACTTTTTGGGATCAATCACCATAATGCATCCGACTATTGAATTAAACTAAAACAAATTGGAGAGTGGTTAATGTAAAACGTTATTACTTATTGTTGAATCATCGCATCGGGACCATTACTTCCAACTTAGATAATGTACCCGAAAAATGTTCATTTTAAATTTCGGAGACATATTGTCTATTATATAAATTTCTGATTTTCTAACAGTATAATGACGTAATCGAATATTCTGCATTACGTTGACTACATGATGTTATAAGCACATATGGTGTGTTAATTAGCATGTAAACGCAAGATATATAGTGAGAAGAAATTTCACGTTCGGAAGGAAGTACGTAAAGTTACTATAAACAATTATGCTTCTCCTTTCAAAAAAGTGAACAGTTGAAGCGGCGGAGTTAGCTGTTTTAAATTTATTCACCACATTTATAATCGAATTATACTATAAGTAAGGAGTGACATGCTGATGAGTTTAAAGTCATTTTAAGATATTCTTATTATCGTACATAATAGCCCGTACAGTTTACATTATAAAGTAAACGATAGTGTGGTTATTTTACACTTATATCTCGATTATCTCATTGATGCGGCAATCCTAAAAATATTTATCAAGTCGTACAATTTAAATGTTGATAAAGCATTAGCTTATCAACAGTAAGTAACCCAAACTTAAGACATGCCAAAAATTAGGAAATTAAGACCATGGCGAGAGACTTTTATTAGGTCACAAGCGTATTATAATGCTCAAACATTCACAAAGAAAATTAAGTACTAGATAAAAAAGAACTTTTACACAATCGATCTGCATTTAGGCTCGAATGCGGAGTCTTCTCAGTAAAGTTTTTTGTACTGGAAGTTGAACAATTTACTATGTTGACGATCCCTGTGCCCTCAGCTGTATAAAGAAGTCGATAAAAATCGTTTTATCTTGCTTACTTGTCTAGACGCATTGTTTTTCTTCGGTATTCAACATTTCATAAAATAGCTTACACGTATTTGAAATGCTATCAATCCCCCTTCTTTTACTGCCGCTATGTTATCGAAAGAAAACTAAATGTATCTGATTAGTATACTAGAGCCAGATAGTACTAATATATCATTTTGGAAACATACACCACAATTACTTGTCAGGATGTTATGATTTTGCTTTTTTATGGTAAATCTCGTCGCTTTCTGATAAATCCCTATCAAAACATAACATTATATACAAGATTTGACAGCATCCGCATGGATTTTATATTCTCTATCTTGCTTAAGTTTCATAAAGTGTCGACTATATATAAACAATGTAGTATTATGATAATGCTATACTATATCTAACTATAAGAAATGGTGAGAAGGGGACGTTGAATAATAACATAAACATTACAGTGCCTGTGGCAAAGTTTTTGCGACCGTAATCATGACGTCATGTGGGATATTATTTCACCGTTGGGTTGCGAGTGGTCAATCAGGCAGTAAATATTTGTTTGTACGGACTACCTTGGTTTGATATCCAGGCTTGTTCATGGGGCATATTTTTCTCTCCCGCTCTCATCCCATCGCAAGTATGCCTGTCTCATCCCATCCCATGGGAGTCCCATTAGAATACAATTCAATAAAAATTATAAAATTTTGGTTTAGAGTCTACTAAATAGGACTACATATACGAGGAGACATGCAAAACAACAAAATTTACGGAATTTGTTAACTTTATATTCATAACTATTATACATGTGTCCATTAGCCCCTTCGCAAAGTATATTGTCAATGCTGAATATATTTTGCTCTTTATAACTAACAAGAGGGCTATGATCAAATATATGGGCACGAAATCTTTTACCATCCTTTTCCCGAAAATCATACCGTTTTTGTGTTCCATGGGAAATACAAATCCCATCCCATAAGACGTTTCCCATGGGAGTCCCATTCCCATGGAAAAGCCTGGTGATAGCCTTGGTTTTATTTAACTTGATTCGTCAATGATGGGAAGCATGAATACCTTCGATAACAATTGCTGTTTTGTTAATATTTAGGTTGAATTCGATAAAAACTTCGGTGTAATATATAATTTTCAATTACATATAACAAATGTTGCCTACCGCCTACCAGTTGCGAATTTTACCGACGGTTTACCGTTGAATGTAACCGTTTATGTTGAAATTAGACTAGTCAAATAGAATAGCGACCTTATTTAGTAAAAGAGCCGCTGGAAGAAATGAGTAGGCGATTGAACAAAACTCTGATTAAATACACAAAAACACCTAGGTTTGTTGCATCTTAGTAGTGATAACAAATCTACATTTACTAACATTCACGAGTGAGAGACATAATGTTGCATATTTTCCGCAAATCTCATAATCCTAATATGATGTAGTTTTGAGATTCGCACATACTTTAGTTATGTCTATCAATAATTTCTATCTAGAGATTGGGCGATCTTTGACACGCGATATTAAGAATATTATATGTGAAAACACGGATTTGCATGCATATGAATAGCCGAAAAGCGTTTATAATGCTGCGGCATGTCATTCCATGGTTTCAAAGAGTTTGAAAAGGAATGATTCTCTGGAAGAATTCTGTTTTGTCGATGGACTTTCAAACAGCATTAAAGCACTACCATCCAGTTTTAGTTGGTAGTCGTTAATTTAAATGTGAAAATTGTTTAGCTATGCTTACTAGGAAAGAATAAATTAGCGTCATGGCCCCTTTGTTTCTTTCACCACTGAAAGGGAACCGCTGTAACATGGAAAGCTGTGAGAAATGAATAGATAACTTTTATTGTTAGTTCATAAACCACTGGGTGACAAACTGTATGTACCACAGGGCTAATATATACATGGATTTTCCTCCGTTTCCACGTTCAAATGTAATGATCATCAGTTATGGAATCAGATGGAAGTTAAGTCTTCTGTAGCTGTTAATTTACGTCTATAAATTTTCGTTTTCTGAGTGGCATTTTAATACAACCAAACACCCAAAGTGCATTTTCGGAAAATCTGCTGCCCAGGTTAAGGGAATCACCAATACCAAGACCAATACTCTCAGTGTTTTTTTTCTTATAGTTTCATTTTTAGTTTCGAGAACTATAGAATACCGAGGCGATCAAATGCGGCAGCTACAAAATGCTGTATGATAGTTCTACTTGTTCTAATATACTGATTCAGAATGTATTCCCGTTTGTTTCCTCTAATTCATGATATTCAGTCTCTCTTGCTGATGTAATTTTACAGTCAAACATTATCTCTCCCTGGGGAAAACCCTGTATCCTGGGACCATTTTGTATAGTCTTTTTCGAATTTTTCATCATCGTCAACAATTAGGCCCCAAAACAGCACACATGGCTTTTCAAAAGCGTATGTTAGAGTTCATTTCCGCGAGAAGACGCTCATGGGTGCGTGTCCAATATCTTTTTACCTATGCAATGTTATATCCAAAAATTTGCAGAGAACATCCTTGAACTTGGATGTTGTTGCGTCTGATAGAGAGTTCAGCACTAACTATAAGTAATTGATTTTAATTTGATCGTTTTTTTGTGTTATTTTCCAACAAAACAATACCACAACCATTATCATACCAAAACGGTTACCGAAGAATTCACAATTGTATTCACGGAATTTGCAAATTCAACACCTTACTTGACGATTTTATGACGTCACTCCCTAATTATTTACTGCATAAAAGCTTAGAAAAACAGCAAATGTAATAGTTGTCGATCATAATTGGCGCAGCAAGTAGTAAACAACCCAATATGTGTCGTCACAGCGACATTCACGAATGCTTTTACGTGCTATTCTTATTTAAAATTCTATCACCCAACCACAAGGCATGGTAGAAGAATTCTTTTTGAAAACATTATAGTGCCAAGGATGATATAGATCACTTAAAACACATGCTAAGTATTTTATTGCTTGTGTTCACTACAAACTTCCACGATAAGACGTATAGGATATTAACTCTTAATAATCTTCCAACCTAGAACCATATATGGATACCCAAATAAGTAGCGCCGCGAAAAGAACAGCTTAAGGTTACTTCAAAACAGGTCAGGTGCCTTGACTGAGACGCCTTCGTAGACATTCATTTTTTCGACATATTGCCACTGTCTGCCATAATACTGTCACTCGGCGGAATTCACTAACACGTTTAGAACCGTCAGTTATCTTTCTATCTGTGGTACTCCCGCCATGCACATGCACCCATGGACATTCGCATATACGTATGTTTGCACCCACGGTCATTTTCAAAAGTGGGATAGGAATATAACCTGCAATGACTGTAAAAACGTAGAGACCCCCATCAAGAATACCGGCTAATTAAAATTTGTGTTCTCCGCTTCATTTAGAATATATATACAGTATATTTATAGTTGTTAATTGATGTTTGTCTGAAATACAGCTATTCACAAGCAAACATGACTGTGGGACTGTGTATGCAGGTGCAAATATCCACGGGTGAAGATTTTCATGCGGAGAATGCATATGCGTGGACATGTCATGGGTACAAATGTCCGCCAAGGATGCAGATAAATGTACGTGGGTGCAAATGTGCGTTGGCGCAAATGTCCATATTGCAAATGTCCAGGGGTGCAAATGTTCGTGGATGAGAATGGGCTGTCACCTTTTAGGGCACATCCTCACTTTGTATTGTTGCGTTATAACCTACCTTTGTATTGCCGCGTAATAATGATGACGTGTCACTGTCCACCGATGCGGTTTGTTTTTTGCCTGTTTTGAGGTTTTGTTCAATCTGAGTTAACGGATGGAAATCCTAATTAATCGCGTGCGGGTTTGAAATGGGTTTGTCTCCATTGCTATTCATAACATTAGGTTATCCATATTTCGGCGCAAATGGCAATAAAATTACTTTACTTCGAAGAATGGTGTCCATGGGTGCAAATGTAAGTGGGTGCAAATCTCTGCCGGAACAAATGTTCGTATTTGGTGTAAATGTCCGTGACTGCAAATGTCTGTAGGTGCAAATGTTCTTAGGTGTAATCTACATGTGGGTGTTGAATCGGCGGATCAAATGTATGGGTGAAACTGTCCACGGGTGAAAAAGTATACATGTGCATATGTCCTGGGTGCAAATGTATATGGGTGAAAAGATAATAGAAACTTTTCTAGATATTGCTGACTAAGTTGATAGATGAAAATCTTGAGTAAGTTTACAAAGAGTTCGTATTCATTCGTTGGTATGCCCATCGCAACGTGGCAAATGCCATTTAAGCAAATGCCATACCAATTTTGTTTGTTGAAACACAAATATTCGTGGGAATAAATGTTTATGGGTGCAATCCGCCATTCCATTACATGTCTACTCAACGCGATGAGAAAAGTTACAGAGCTGCTTCTCTCAAGAAAATGAGTAACGATTTGCAAATAAACTGCATATATATTATCTTCGTGTAGTCGTTCGTCGACATTTGGCAGTATGAGTTAATTAATCAAAACCTGACAATGCACTTCAAAGCATCGAGATGCTACCTTGAATAATTATAACAAAACATTTACAGATGGATTATTTTACATATTGGCAAGATTTTGCATTTTGACACCAAGCAGCACATTGATCCAACGAGTAAGCGTCACGATAAGCGTTTGTGAAACTCTTTATAATTAGTCTGTTTGATTGATTGTCCTATATCGATCGATTGATTTTAATATGCACTATTAACAAAATAAAAAAACAGTAGAATTTTACTTTACATTGGAAAACTGTCGTGAAATATATTCAAATTTGAATTGCACTATTAGCAAAATAAAATAAGAGATGCAGTTTACTTTCCTTTAGAAAATTTTGTATGCAAAGCTTCACGGAATAATGATTTATCTATGGCGGCTCATCATTAGCTTTAGAGGAGTATAGGTCATACGAACGTCTAGAAAAATCAGTACAGAAATTGTATGGCGAGCGAGATGGGTTTTCACACGGTAGCTAATTAACTAATTTACACACTTGAGTTTGGTTCTACCGCCTAAACTCGCTGTATTGTTATTTAAAATGTCTAGAAAAGAAAGTAATTATAAATAATGCCATAAAAGTTATTGGAGTGACAGTTTTTTGCGAATACCTTAGTCAGAACAAAATGATTGGCATCGACAGAACAAATTTTGTTTGGGGCATATATTCAATAACCACTGGTTAGGGTTATTAATCAGTCTATATATTCCCGTATTCAAGGTACCATCATATATTTTATGTATTTCTTACATACATTTTTTGAGAATATAATGAACTTAACATCTAGTTATTTTGGCCGGCAATTGTTTCGCAAATTGATTGAGTCTGTGCGAACTACGTGCTCGGTTGTGCGCGTTGCAAAGATTCCAAAATTTTCGTGTCTCAAAATATTCACGCTTTATTACAAATGGTATTTCTGTGTTGGGCTCATGGGAAATAGTTTTTTTTTCATGCAGTTGAATGAAGTAGTTACAGCATCGTAGTTTCATGACTTGATAACATTTAGAGGATTTCTGATATATATTTCGAGCTCTATAGAAAAGAAATATAAATAGACGTAGGTTCGGCATTCACAGATAGATTCGTTCAGATCGCTACATGTTTATTCAAAATCAGAATAAGTTTACTTTTTCATTTACTTACATACGTGGCTTTGCAAGAGAATGAGACCAGTGTAGCGTTTGCAATTATTTATCTATACAAGAAGGTACATACTTTAAAAACGACAGCGTAATTATTTAATACGAGGATATACAAACTTGGTTGAAAAATAAGTTCGCGGTTTTCGTGATGGCTTCAGTGGTTTTAGACATATATTTTATGGTTACACGCACCTGCTGGTTGACATGACTTTAAATAAGATAAATATTCACTGAAACACTTCAACTCAAATTGGTACAGATTACCTACTCCGTAATCATCATGTTCTAAGCTAAGTATATGTATCGAAAAGTTCAGATAACAAACGACACTCTGACTAAGTAGACAAATATGTTAAATCGGTATAGGCTAGAAGAGCTGGAGGATATTTTGTAGAAAGCCCGCCCTAAAAAAGCCCCTCCGCCACCGTTCATAGCAACATAATGGTAAATATCCAGTTAGGGTCAGGGTAAAAAAATTGCGTATTGCGCTGGAAATTGAAATTTTCAAATCATTCCTAACTCGAACCGAATAATTACTATTTTTTTGTTTTAAAACGTGGCGGGGCGCTTTTCTCAAATTTCACATTTTCCTTCAGTGGCGGGGGCTTTATACCAAAGATCACAGGTGGATATCTCTGTCCGTTATGAGTTCGTATCTATCAAATGTTTCAATAAATTATGTAATTTGAATTTAGCATTTACAAATCAGTCAACCAAGCCCAAGGTATTTCAAAACTACCACACCTTCCGTGCAATTAATGGTTTATTCAGTACTTTGTTGGGGGCGGGGTATAAAATACCTGAAATTTATGCTCATATTATTGGCAAATTAGTATAAATTTCCTAATTTTGTAACGACGCGACTGGCACTTCGAATAAGAATATGCTTCGATACAATCTTATATTATTTAAGGTTAATCAACAATCAGTTTTTAGGATGACAGGTCGGGCAACTCTGGGTACATAAACATAAACGAGCACATACATTGGTGAATTTTCAAATGAATGGTTTTAGGACCTAATTGTATCAGTTTATTGCGCATTGCATAAGATAATAAATATTTCATATAGTGTAAAACACAAATTCAAGAAATGAACAGATATATTTTTCATTTATCATATTTTACTTACACAACTTAAAAAACAATTATGTACATATTTTATTTTGTGGTGTGTATTTTGCATGCATTATGATTGAATGGTATTTGATGACAAGGGTTGGGAGAAATTCCATAATTGCTAGAACTAAAAAAAATGTTAATATTTTCCCAAACCGCTTCATTATGCATTTCCAATATCTATACCGGAATCTGTATTGAATTTCAGTCACGTATTTATGTCATGCAAATGACAATGACAAGCAAAAAATAGCTTTTTCTCGGAAAATAAAAAATCACGTGAATTGATAAATTTCCGATACTGTTTTTTTGACTGCTTGACAAGACAGATCATCATGTTAGGTTCATTTGGATTTCTTGTTGAAATTTATTCAATTTTTAGTAAAATTTATCCAGACTGTGAAGTCGCACGACTAACTTTTAAAATGGGCTTTTGTCACAGGTGGTGAGGTGTTTATTATTTTCAAATAAAATGAACAGAAATTATAAACAAGATTCGACCATTGATAATCTAATTTTACTTTGACGTATAATCAATCTTTTGTCTGTGGCTCCACCTGTTGGACCTTGAATATTATCACCTTAAAAATAAATTTAAAGGAACAAAAACTTTATTATCATATTGGCATATTTTGATTCAGGTCAAGAAGGCTTTTATAAGAGTGGAGATTTACTAGGGAAGGAACGTAACTCTGCGCTATAAACAGGATAACAATTTTAACGACTGTATATCTTCAGGTAGATATTTCTGTATGGCAGGCCAACGCATTAGTTATAATATGATTCAAACTGACTTGAACAATATTGCGGTATGTAAGTAATATTATTTATACTATTTTTCAATGCATACCGACTTTTGAGAAAACGTAAAACATCACACATTGTTGATCAATAATTTTTTCTCATAGATGGTTTGTCTTAAATATGGGAAAAATAATTTTTAACTTGAAATGTCATATACTAGAAGATGAGGCGCGGGAAGGACATTTGATATTTGTAAAATGGAAGGTAATTGCCGCAGGGCATTGGACGAGTAAGCCATTAAAGCCAAATTTAAGCGATTGAGTTGTCTATGAACATGTTAGCAGTATGTCTGCCAATTACAATTACACGGTATTAATTTTCCGTTTGTAATTAGCAATACAGTTATCGGTGTGTTTTTTTGGGAAAGTTTCAACAAAGTGTTTGGTAGTTGAAGAGTGATTTTACAAGTTTATTTCACTTCCTGCTCGAATTACACATCTGGTCAACTAAACCGTTTATGGAGGGTAAAGGTTATATAAGAACAAACAGATGTGGGCGAGGACTAGATATATAACAGAAAAGTAACTCAAAAATCAGAAATTGACATTTTTATTATGTTTCGTGGATCCTAAAAACAGTTAAAATAGAATAAAACTGGAATAAAAGTTTGACAATTTGAAGAAATGTCGATGTATGTGAAAAACACCGAAATGTTAAGTGCCACCGTTAGGGGTGGCGAATAGTAAATGTAATTTTTAATATGCTCCTTTAACAATTCCTTCCAACAAACCTTTATAGGATTTTTCCTAAGTACAGTAAATATGCTTTTGTGTAAAGCTTTTGTAGCGTGCTCGTGTTTGTTTGCTGTTGCCAACTCTCAAACAGTGAATGCTCGTCAGCCATCCTTACCCATAACTCCAGAAGCCGCTGGAACAAATATTTCGAAGAGCATTGGTGCTACGATGAAGATACCAATTGTTCTGAGATGCCCAATCTCAAACAAGGCTAAAAGAGCTTGTGCAAAAACTATAAAGGGGTTCAAGTCAAAATGGTATTCAGGAGGGAGTTACTTGCAAAAGTTTTTTGAGCAGCTTAAAGCTTCAAAATGCCCACAACTCAAAGAAGTGTGCGATGAAATGCTATATTCAAGATTTTCAGAATACTCCCGTCTCGTGTATGCGTTTCATTGCAATCCTGAAAAATTTATAAAAGAATGTGACCAAGTAATTCCACCTGGGCGCCAAATTCCTTCCGATGACACATGTGATCACGTCAGATACAATATGACGTCATCGGAATTCACTACGGAAGAACTTGTGAAACCATGTATGCAAGTTGCAATGTATGGATCAATTTCTGGTGGATTTGGATATTATCATGAAGTAATTGACGTATATGTGCCGTTCTGTGATATTTCATGGTGCGGATTTGATGGCAAAACTATTGAAGAAAGAGGACTTACCAGTTGGGATTGCATGACTCCAGGGTGAGCTGATTTTGGTTTAATAAATGTAAAGTAAGAGGGCAATGATAAAATAAATGGGCACTAAGGTCCAATGACTAACTGCAGTAACGGAGCCTTTACGCCTAATTACATGTCCATCAAAGTTTTTGAACGCATTCCCCTATTGCCGTAATCTGAGAACAAAGTGTCGAATTAACTAACTTCATAAAAAATACTCGTCAAATTTCAGCCACATTGTCTCGTTACTAGTTTCCACTATGATACTAGCTTAACGTTGAAGACTACTGACTGCGCTTATCATTTTAAAACAAGAACGCTTACATCATTTATCATCCTAGTACTTTACCGTTACCGGTGGTAATGTTTGGGATGTATATATGCAGATACCGGTGCCCGCTGGAATGAGGTTATGGTAAAATTCCGGAAATTTTGTCAATACAAACTACAAGTAAGGTTATACCGCACCATAGCTGCTTCCACCATTAAATTTGATCCACCTACCATGTCATTATGTCGTTTATGTATTCTATCGGTGCGGGTATTTCAATTTTGTGTTCGGCCACACAATAGAGGTGGAGGAGGTTTAAATTGAACTTGCAATGGTTTAGAGTTAGACTTTAGATCAATTTATATTTGTCAAAAACAAATGCACTTACTAAAAATGAATATGTAAACAACTACCTGTCCACTGTTTAATCAACGTAAGTAAAGGCGATTGTTCGAGTAGCACGTCGGAACAACTGAGCAAGAGCGCCACGCTTGACGGAATAAAAACAGTGTTCCCATGAATTAGAATGAAACAGCGAAATTATGGCTGAATAGCACACTCAGGACAAGAAATTTGAAAAAATAAACAAAAAAGTAATGCCGATCTGGCAACTACTTTTAACCATCATTTAATTACTGAATACATTGGTTCCTTGGCTACCAAGAAATGCGATGGTTTTCGCAACAAAAAGTTGCCTCAACGACAACAGCACGACTAATGAAAACAGAGTTTCAGTGAAAAGAATTATTAACAACTGTGAAGTCTTCAGTGTGATATAGTATAATAGGCATGAAATTTCAAAATACGATATGCATTGATTGAGGGGATGGATCATCATCTGCATCCGGGGTGAAATATGAAAATAGGCAAATATATATATTTTTCATTATTTTGTTAAATAGCACGACCAAGCATCTAGCTAATTGCTCGGAGCTATTTCATTCTTTAGGTTTCAATTCACGTATAGTATCATGAAAATTAGTTTGAAATAGGCTATAATAGACAAATAATATTTTTTTTATTTTTACGCCAGTGAACGTGGTAATCACGCATTTTTGCACAAACATGCGTCACGCATACGTCACAGACAAAATTTTTACGTGATTGCGTGTATGAGTATAAATTTAGAACTAGCCATTTGGTATTGAAAATCGAATATATTTCTTCGAATACCAGCATTTATGGAACAAATTATTTGTACTGGAAATGAAAAAATAGATTATATTGGTATAAACCTTATAGGCCTATACCTTTTATAGCAAAAATGCACAAATATTTTCAAACAGAATAATCTACATTTGATTGATTGATTGAGTTTATTCACATGAATTCACAATATCTTTGCATGCACACATGTGAATAACATGAGATTTGGTGCAACCATTATGATCAATTTTGAAGTATGTTAAGAATTATGAATGACATTAACTCGGGTGACAATCACGTATTTAGTGTTATTGGGTATGACTGTTATAAAGGTGATTCATCATTGCTTTGAATTATGCGGGCATGTGTTTTGACAAATCGTCAAATTCAATAAAAAAATTGTAACTTGGTCTCGACTGCTGGTGATTTGACTTGTATACCATAAATCTCTTTTGCGATTTCGTTTTTTGAATTCAACACAATGCTGTTTTAATAGATACCGATATATATTTTGAATTTTTTTCCGGTGTAATAATTTTATAGTAAATATCACATTAAAGTGATGTACCGGTATTCATTTTAAAATTCATATTCCGTTATAAAGGTTTCAAGATTTTTTGTCAGACAAGGAACTTTTTTTTATTTATATAGCACGATGTAAGTTAGAGCTAATAGTTTGTGATGAAATATATCTGTATCTTCATCAATAAGCGCAATCACGATGTGGAGTATACACATTGACATAACATTTCTTATATATTATACTATGTGACGTCACAATGTAACTAATGAGCGGCAATAAATACATTAATTTCGTGTTTCCGGGCAATTTTCCATTGCTAAGTATGGAAAATCATTAATTAGTCTACATTGCCAACAAACCTAACAATTATTTACAAACTATAAATACACGATACATAATTTTAAACTGTTTCTTCACAGTTTTATACGTCATGGTTGATACGCTATTCATATAAAAGCATCATTCTTAATCAGTAAATTCCTATATTTTCTTGCTACTCGGATTACGGTCACAATAAAAGATTAACAAAGATTTGTCTGCTAAACTTCAATATAGTGAAATCGGACTAAATTTATTAATTAATATGCTTGAATACTGTAATTTTCCCTCATTACACAATGTTACAAAGAAAACCCAGCTTAAATATGTTTGAATTCCATTTCAGGTGCCGAACCAATTTGGTGATATCTTCAGTCGTATGTGCTTTATTAGCCTTGGCAATCATTTTGGCAAACGTTACTGTTATCATCGTCTTTACAACAAGCCCAAAGTTAAGAAACAGCCAAGCAGTGTACAAAATTTCATTAGCAATTGCAGATTTATTAGTGGGCGTGATAGTATTGCCGACCTTTGTTTCAACTCTTTTGCTGCTCTATCAATCTCCAGTTAATATGGGAGATGTTTGGAAAAACAGTCCGCGAAACAGCGAAGGAACGTTGAGACGAAATTCTGGAGGACGATTCAAACAACGTACATCGCCCGAGTATATTGACTTTGTTGGTTTTTTCACTATATTGTCTTTAATAGTTTCTATATACACTCTCATGATAGCAAGCTTTGATAGATTCTTAGCAATTTACCAACCTATGCGATATGGTAGGCATAATGCTAAGAGACTTGCAATATGGGCATCTTTGGGACTTTGGTCTGTCGCAATATTATTTTCCGCTATGCCATTTTTTGTTCCTGAAATGACATATGGATTAGCAGCTTCTATCATGGTAGCATCTCAAGAAACATCTGCTCTTATTCTATACGCAGTTGTTGTAGTTATTCCGCTAATTGTTGTATGGGTCACAACAATTGCTACATTCATGTCCACCAAAAAGCACGCAAGGAGGCGACAAACGCTGACAATTCGTCGCCAAAGCTCTGATAACAGCACAAAGCCTGTTACAAGTATGGAAACAAGATTGGCTCGAACTCTTGCATCGATGGTTGGGATATTCACTTTATGTTTATTGCCTGCAGCTGTGATATTAATTGTTCCACACTTTCTTGGGAATCTGTATCATGATTATCCACGTGACTTTGACCCAATGGCAAGCAAAATTTTCATATCAACCGAGTTTGTAACAATTCTCATTCTTATGACTAACAGCTTATGGAATTGTTTCATATACAACGCCAGAAGCGACGATTTTAAAAAAGCTGCAAAACTGCTATACTCCACACTGCTGCGAAAGTTAGGATTTAACGTTATATGGAAAAGAACGCGGAGTTTTGCAACATCAACAGTGCGTGGTAGGCGATCTACTATTAGTACTCAGTTGATTCACGCAGGACCTTCAGAAAAGCGGTCTGGGCGCAGAAAGAGAAGTGCGGGGGAAGCAAATGGAGTTACATACGATAGAAAATTATCTGAAACCAGCATGACTTCGCCTGTCAATATATACAGGTACACACCGGACAAGCTCGCAGACGATAAAACGCAAAACGATTTAGATCATAAATCGAAAGAAATGGTCAAGCAGGAAAATAATAACGTTCAGAATGCAGAATTAGATAAAAATGATGAAGTGCAAAAGTGAAGGAACAAATTCATTGTTACTCGGGAATATCTGTTTGCTTGTCATGCAATGAAGAATTTTCATATTTCAAAGCAAAATGTAATACTAAATTGGTCTGACTTGACTGACTCTGACGAAGTTCACCTCGCGTTTTCAGTGGAGTTTGATGAACCTTATTTTGTGTATCTGATCAGGTGCCAAATGGAAACCTAAAGTAGACACTCTATGTGTGCACTCGGACTTTTCTAATGTATTCACAAATTAATATTACATAACATTGGACCTGTCTTTATGTACATAAAAGTAAAAATACATTGCTTATAAATTAGATTTCAGTAAAACTATACTTTTATTATATTTCATTTATATGTTTTAAAATGGTACTTTTTCATTGTAGCCTATATGTTTCAGGTATCAATTTTTCGTCATTAATCGAACTGCTATGAAACTATTTGTCATACTATTTTGTCATAAACAACAGTTGTCTCACGTCCATATGCTATAGGTCAAGGTTGTGGATATCATTCGATGTCGAGTGAAACTTATGGTCGACTTCAAAAAGTTCAATATGTAAACAATTATTTTTCTAAACAGATCTTTCTTTATAGGTGCCTGTTTCTAAGTATATGGTTGCAAAAGATCAAAAAGATTGGCACAACCAAGATGGCTAATTCTAAACAATTTACTACGCTTCAGTTTTCTACAAATACATTCGCGCAAAATCATCATATTGTTCACAGTGTAATGTTATGATCGTTACTTAAGCCAATGATAAAAAATTTATATTTCATAATATATTTATTATGTATAAGATGCTGATGATATTACTTTATGGAAAATTATTCTTATAAACGTTTCAAATATTGCTTCGTTTGCACTCCGTAATTCTATAAGTATTTTAGTTATTCGTGTTGATTCAGAAACTGAAAGCAAGCAATGATTTTTGTCAAAATACTGCATTAAAATATTCACGCAAATGTCAAGATAATCTCACTGTTGACATATAAACGCTGAAAGTGTTATCATATTACGTTTAATGTCATAATAGTGGTGGAAATATGATCTAGAATGTTTTCAATTTAAACGAAAACTGGTTTATGTGACTTTCAGTTTGATCATGTTTAATTGATAAACTGATTAGAAGAAATTCATATCTGATTTCCATTTGTTTGTTAATTTTTACCGCCTTACCTCACCTTATTCAAACACATAACTGTGCAAGAAAAGTAAATGTTTGAAAAAAGTGTATGTATTTTTGTATATGTATGTAAGGTTTCCAAATATAAATATAACTAATAATAAGCTACACTCTATTTCTATATGCGAAATTATTTCTATCTGTATGTTTTCCGGTTTATCAACCATTCTTTTCAACTTTACTTTCTAAGCACCTAAAACGTTTAAATTTACTGATAGATTACAAGAAAACTTTAAAGTGTAATAAGCTACATTATGTTCAGAATGTCTCTAAATGTAATTTTAACATAACTTTCAACGTGATCACAGTTTTCTTTTGAAATCATCATACATTAACTGCCACAGAGCAGGTGCAAATACTTCGTCATTTTATTTGTCGGCCTATGAATCAGAAGCAATAGTTTTTGTTCGATTTAATAAAGCTTATTCATTTTACATAGACATACAGTTATTACAAATGATGTTTCGAGAGTTGGCAATCATGTATTTTCAGAATGTATTGATTATCACGAAAGTTTGCAAAACTCATTTGTCACGATAAAAAATTTGGAATAAAAATTACGTTTAGGCTAAATTGTAAGTTGCGATCTACTGGGTGATCCAAATGTGATAGCTATTGAAAACATTTATCGGCAGTGCTACTACATCTTTACATCTGAAGACATTATCACTAATAGTTCACAAAATATTTTCATGAATTGTTTTGTAAATTTGAGGTAAATTTTTCTACAGTATGTTCAACTTCCTCTCCAAGTTTCAATAAAGATATATTACATAAATTTAATATTCTGAATCGTTTCCCATTTAATTTCAACTTGATTGATTGAAGTCGAGGACGGATGTTCTAGCTGGAAAACTTCTGTCTTGAAACGTATTGTTTCGCAATTCTTCTGATCTCAATCATACTTCGTGCCGATTGCACGTATGATCATGCATTTTGATATGCTTCAAATAGACTTGTGCACAAAAAAGCTTCCAACATTTAGTATGATAAAGATATTTCGGAATGTAAATCGAAAAGTCCGCATATTTAACCTTCCGAATGGTATGGTATTTAAATATGCATTAATTAGGTGGCAGTTGTTTAGGATTGATGTGATAAAAATATATTATCTCTTTATTTTAGTATCGCAATTTGATTTATGTAAGTAGTTAAGTCTACCCGTAATTCAAAATGTTAGTCATAATTGTAAAGTAATCAAGATATTTCAAAATTATATTTGCGTACCTACAACGATTGAATCAATAATTTAAAGGATAAATATTTATTGAGCGAACTTAGGCACCAATTTATTGCATTGATATACCATGTGTAAATAGACAAGATAACTTAGAAGTAACGTGATGAACTGATAATCACATAATTAATTTATACCGCTTATGCACTTAGAATGTAATGATAGAGTTTGAATAGATCGAGGCGTGATAGATCGCCCATGAATAAGTCACATCCATGCTAGCAATCATATAAAGGCGTGTGTACATGATTCACTGATTAGAAATCTACTGTTGAGAATTTAAAAAAATTACCGTTTGATACTTGTAGATTCCAAGCTATAGTAAAAATTATTCGTGATCACAGTAGTAACAAGAGGACAATGCTTGAATAATATATGAACACGAAAGCAAAGCGAAGTAGTACGGGTATGCAATCATTCACGGCATACACCCGGTAGCGCAGTCTTAACGACTTCGCCTGATCACCAGAATGCAGTGAACGCGAATCGCCACAAGATGTGTCATTTTTTTTGTTAATAACGTCATCGCATAAAAAACGAATCTCATAGCAATGCCATAGAGCACGCAGTAATTCTTGCAAATAAGCAATAGCCGTCTAGAGACAAATACAATCGTTACAAATACAACCACTGAAATATGCAATGCAATTCGTCCCGTGAATAAAGAGAAAAGCTTATCAAAAAATGAAAAGTCTCATCGTATTTGTCTATCAGTTTGTTCCCCGTTAGAGTACGGTTAGAATGAATAACTCAACGACGCCATCTCTCGTTAAATGCACAGAACTCCATGGTATATACATCCTCATTGAAATATCGTGTAGAGTGTAGCCTAATCATATGAAATTAAATATTAGCTGTGTTTCCCTGACTGGGTCATACTAGGTCGGACTAGGACGCAGTCGAACGCATGCACTGGGGCGGACTAGAACAAGAAATCGCGACCTGTTTCCATGGAACCAATATTTCAAAGTACAGGTGCATTATGGGTAAAACGACACGCTCGGATGCGTCTAAATTAGTGTCACCTTTGTTCGGCTCGAGTGATCTCCGCTGCAAATATTTTGATCGTTTTGGGATCTCCCTCTCCACTGCTTATCAATCTGCTATACCATACGTATACGGTAATTGCTGTTTCTTATTCTTGCAGCTATTTTTTAAATTTCTTTTTTTTCTTTCTGTTTAATATTATTTTTAGAATGGCTAGCGTATGGACTTTGTTAGCGTTCTTCTATGCGGTACATGGTACAGGCGTTAGTGATCTGGGTATATACCAGAAGAATAAGGAGGCTGGGGACATTACTGGCGTTGACTGACTAGGAAACTGAAAAAGAACCGGAGGAAATATGGATGGAATATAGGTATATATTTCATTCTATTTACACCTGTAGCCTACTAAACAAATAAACTTAGGATCATGGGTAACAATTCATTTTCTTTCTGTCTATTTTTTTTATATAATATATCTTATGTTTCTTCTTTATTCTCTCTTCCAATTTTATTTTGTCTGTGTGATTGTATGTGTATGTGTGTACGTGCGTTTTTTAATTAACCTAATACGTTTGGGGGAGCCGTACGTACTACTTCTCTTGACAACACCTTTCAATTTAAAATACGTTTTAAACCCTAATGGAGCCTAGACCCGGTGAGGGACTAAGACGTACTAGGATTCGTCACATCGTTAACCATATAAAAATGCGAGTCCTAGTCTGCGCAACTAATATTGCTTATGGAAACACACTTATTGATCCACGATAAAAGCACAGTTTTGAATTATCCTTATTTAAATGAAGTCGGCTTTGTTTTATTTTCTACCAACTTGAATGAAAAAATTTAACCAAAATCGACCGCAGTTCGAAAACGGTCTTTGTTGGCGTAATACTCAGAACTCTTTCCGTAACTATTCACGAGTAGGTTGTTCAATATCTGTTTTTTGTATTTAATTCCATCGTCATGTAGTTTCATAAAATTCAAAACAATAAAGTAGGGGTGAACAGAAATACGTAAAAAATGGACCTCAGGCAATCAAGCAATAAAGTTTTATGTGATGGACATACCGGTACTATCAGTCTAACAAGGGATTTGAAAAACAGATTCTAGAGTCAGTTTTTACAACTTTATTTCCTTTCTCGGCTGTTTGATATAGTATTCGGTCGAGGTACGATGCTATCAAGTCACACTGTTATATTAACCAACTTCAGACTGATGAAATAAATGAATGCATTTCATGTTTTCATAAACTACAGATTCAGGATCTGTTAAATATTTGAGTACCGGAGTGTATGGAAAGAATGAGTAGCTTCGAATATGAAAGTAGTGTCGAGGAAGACGGATGTTGACACCTAGCTTGACTGTGTTGTTAATAGCAGTGTGACCTGGAAAGCATGTACTGTACGAATTAAAATAATAAAAATAGCATACACGAGTACAGGATGATATCGACAGACAGATAAGTGATGCTCAGCATCCAACACTGTTTTGTTGCATAATAATGTTAACTGAAAAAAAGATTGGAGGATTGCTTCATCAATACACACCAACACAATGCTGGGATTCCCATAGTATACGATACTTAGTAAGTTTACCAATCTTATGTTACTGATCTCCAGCGCTGCGAAATGTTCAAGTTCAATCAATATCAATTTCATAGAATCCCCATTGTACTTCCTCCGGCACACCACGAACTAATCCTCTGTGGAATGATGACGGAGAATGCTTAGAAAAAATGTAAGCTTCCTATACCAATTCCGTGTCGTTTCCAGAATAAGAGAATCGTTTAGGTCCGGTCATCACTGTATCTAAAGCTTTTCGGTACATCCAAAATAGAGTTGTCCCTTGTTTATTAGTGGAAGCTCATACAAAGCCTTGTTTGCAGTGAAATGTCTGGAATGATAAATCCGACCTTATAAGGTCAGCGCTATATATATAACACGAGGCATCGGACCATCGAGAATCATGAGGAAATATTTAATGAAATTAATAAATTCTGTATGATAGAAAACTTGTAATCGCATGGTGGAATGTCATATACCAGAATAGAAATAAAACCTATTTGAGGTGTTGTTGTTTTGGACTGTAGTGCAGAAGTTTGGAACAACTTCAACATATTTTTCAGGCTTAAATGGTCGCTTCAAATTAGATGTCTTTGTGTGTTTCATGGGGAAATCAAAACAGGTTAGTTGAAAAAAATGTCATACTTTTCTCCTTGTTTCATGCTCAGGGAATTCATATAAATACAGATCGTCAATTGTGAATTCTTCAGTAGCCACGAACTACAACACATCGAACAGGCATTGGAATAAATTACCACAACATATATTTATCAGCTAATTCAAATATAGTCTACATGCCATGTCTGAATGCCTTTTCGCAGTACGACGTCATCAACGGACCACACTAATTAATTTCTGGTAGTTGACTTTCAAAACAAAGTCCACTTTATGTGAGCAGCCAAAAATCTTGAAAAAATATACAGAATCAAATTCGAAATGTTCGCAATACGTCACCTTTAAGCTACCGCGAAAGGGGTCGGAAAGTCAGAAAAACCAGCGAACTTTTGATACAGCATAAACAACAACAATGCTGAGAAGAACTATTGAACAACACTAATCCCATCTTCACTGTATGAAACCATGCAAATCGAACAAAATCAAAGTTTTGTGCCATTCAAAATCGAATGATATTTCCGTCGTCATCATATTTAAATATTACTCAGAACAAAACTATGATCGTTAGAAGGAATAATATATAAATACTTTATTTAGCATACATGATGAGAATAAAATCAGTCCATACACGATTTAATGTCACGAATGCATACACAATGGCTGAAATAAACAAAATAGAATACGCATTTAACTTAGTGTTTAAAGGTCTTACGACAAGTTATTTCAGTAGTTACAAGGAAATGACGATATTTATACACAACTCCTCAAGATGTGCACCTGGGACATAATCAATCAACGGTAGCAGTAAAGACGAATGCTACAAATCATTAGAGTAATACTATCAACGAACAATATCAAATATCTAAAAAATCTGCGTTATATGCAATATTTAAGTAAATTACCTGTCCTAATATCACGCTATACTGGTAAATTTCTATCACTATAATACAATATAATTTGAATAAAATGTTGTTATCAAAAATTAGAATATTTGAAAAATTAAATGTATGGTAAGATGAATATAAAGAAAAAACTACCAGACTAGTTTTGCAAGTGCAAGCAAAACTTCGCAGAACAAATATAAGCAATATAACAGTTTATAATTGGCTAATTTGATATTAATTTAAACTTCTACAATATGTCACATAAAAATCATATTTAAATATATAAATACATGTTGGTTTCGATTGGTAATAAGGTACGTCGTTTGCCGTGAACGATATGTTAATTATATTTTACATTCCTAATGGATGAAATGCACGTACAAAGTGATCTAGGAGTATACACCATGGATATGTATTTATATAAAGCATTGACTATACTCAACAAAACGTTAAGCCAAAAGTATGAATGTCTGCATTTTCCATTCTTTACCACCTCATGAAATTTACCCGTGCTCTGAAATAAATTCACATTATGGACAAGTTATTTAAACTCGTCATCATATGACCGATAAATAATTTTCAAGGGCATATTTAAACGACGTCACGAATTTGTGTGGATGTATTTTCACTATCAATTTCTATCAGTTTGCCAATTTTCTGATCGTTATCGGCCTTATCGTCTTCAGTTTTTGTCTCCTTTTCTAATGAAAAAGTTTTGTTCACTTTTTCATTTTTATTTCTCGTATATCTGTATTCGTTTCCCGAAGTCGAGCCAAACTCATACCCATTTCCCGTGGGCGTCATTGGGGATATAGGAGGCCCGCCACTATGGTGTTCTTGGGATGAAAGAGTACGGAGAGTGAGTTCGGAAGGTTTCTTATGCAACTTTTTGTGTTTTCGGACGTTTTGATTACGCGTCATAGCAAATGTTGACTGCCGGCTTCGGGTAGTTGAGGTAGCAAAAGTCCTTGTTTTTTTCCAGAAAACTCCAAAACCAAGTCTGAATAGCAACAACCTATACATTTCTTTGGTGGTGTTCTTAAAATCAGTATTTCTGGCGTTATAGATGAAACAATTCCATAAACTGTTTGTCATTAGAATCAAAATTGCCACAAATTCGAATGACATAACGATTTTATTCGCTGAAGGATCAAACATATCCGGTAGGTGTGGATATATGTTACTAAGAAAAAAGGGTACGATCAAAATAATTGCTGTAGGAAGTAGGCACAGCGTAAAAATACCGACCATTGAGGCAAGCGTTCGTGCAAGTCTGGCTTCCATATTATGCAAGTTGCTTGTACCTCCACTGTTGCTGCGTCGTATAGTCAAGGTTTGTCTTCTTCGTGCATGGTTTTTCGTTGAGCAGTATGTGGCAAGTGTTGTAATCCATACGAAAAGCAGTGGCAAAACAATGGCGACGACGTATAAGTACAACGCCGATTCTCCTTGAGAAGCCACCATAATAGACGCCGAAAGGCCGTAGCTCATTTCCGGAACGAAATAGGGCATTGCAGAAAAAAGAATCGCGCATACCCAGAGTACAATTGAAGTCCATATAGCTATTCTCTTCGCGTTATGTCGTCCATACCTGAGAGGTTGATGTATTGCCATAAATCTATCGAAGCTAGCCATCATGAGAGTATAAATCGATACAACTAGAGAGAGTATAGTAAAAAATCCTACAAAGTCAACGTACTCCATGGAAAAACGTTGGCTAAATCTTCCTCCTGATTTTCTGGGCAAGGTTCCCTCACTATTTGGTTGTGATTTATGCATTATTTCTCCCATACTTGCTGGAGATTTATACAACAATATCAACGAAGAAATAAAGGTTGGAATAACAAACAACCCAACCAACATATCAGCAATACCAAGAGATATTTTATACACAGCTTGACTATTACGTAGCTTTGGACTTGTTGTAAATACGATGATGACGGTGATATTCGCGATTACAATCATGATGGCAAGTATACCGCAGACGACAGCAGAGACGATTAAGTTCACCCGACATCTGTTGAGGCAAAATTTAGTATAATTATATGATACATTTCCTAACTTCAAAATGGAAAATTCACTAATTGAGGATTGTAACTACGCGGTTAGATAACCAATTAGGTGTAATATTTAGCAATTTATGTAAGAAAAAACAATAGAGAGAATACAAGAAAATAATTTTGACTTTCAATTAAACGTTTATACTTTTGCTTTAAGCAAAATGACACGTCAATTTACTATTATGCATTTTTTGTATTTGCATTGATTAGACAATAAGTAAAATTCTTCTTCGAAACAAACAACTTTCGAAATAAAAAAAATTAGAAACGAGAACATTACCTAAATAATAATCATCTTTATTTATATTGATCATATAACGTACAACACAATGTGCGATTGGGGGAGAAAATTCATTAGTAACTCATAATATTGAAATCACTCAGCAAAGCTAATGTAACTTGATGTATTTTCCAGTGTATATAGTTGTCTCATTTAGGCATACTTTATCAATTGAAAATACAATTTATGTTTCGCGTAAAATTCCGCCCTGATATCAAACTTTCTTAATTTTTAAGTGACCGATCATTGAGTTAATTTTCTTATTAAAAAATACTCACCCAGAAGTAATGCAATCCCAACTAGTTATTCCTCTTTCTTCAATTGTTTTTGCATCGAATCCGCACCATGAGATATCACAGAAAGGTGCAAACGCGTCAACTACCTCATGGTAGTATCCATATCCTCCAGATCTGGAGCCATAAATTGCAACTTGCATACAAGGCTTTACCAAATCTTCCAATTTAAATTCTGATGATATCATATTTGCAGTGACGACATCCCAGGAAAGCTCGGATGAAACTTTACGAGCGTCTGCTACAACAGATTTGCATGTTTCACGAAACTCATCTTGATCGCAGTGGTACTTGTAGACTAGATTGGAAAACTCCGAAAACCTAGCGTAAAGTCGGTCGTCACAAACTTTGCCAAACTCGGGGCACTTCCATAACTTCAGTTTTTCAAAAAAAGTGTGTAAATAATATCCACCTGTGTACCAGTCATAAGGAAAATCATCTACTATGAATTCGCAGCAATTGAGCTCTTCTGTACGATTGTTCAGCACAGAAACATAAGGACCGTGAAACGGGCATTTGATTTTCTTTTTTTCTTGAGTTTCCAAGTTAACTTGAACAATTTCGTCATCGCTGCTACCGCTTCCGTTTTCAGAATCGAAGTTGAAAGCTACGTCGCTGCTACCGCTTCCGTTTTCAGAATCGAAGTTGAAAGCATTAGCACTTGTACTGCTGCTTTTGTTTTGATGGGCATCTTCATAACTTGAGGCTACCACAGCAATCGATATGTACACAAGCAGAATTTGTAAACGAATTCTCATTATTTAGCTTTGTAATCGCTGAATGTAAGCTATAAACAAATGTACAGAAGTGCAACAAGCTTGAAACAGCTTGTGTATAATAGTTTACAATGACAATAGTAGAACCAGTTTTCCAATACCTGACGTTCCCTGACGCATTGTGGCGAAGCCTTTATTCTCAACGAGACAAAGCTTGGATCCACCAATTCAATTCAGAATACACAATCCTGGTATCATAATTACCTAGTTAACTTATAGAACGATTTTGTTCCATTTATAAAATACCAGCCTAGCCAATTTTAATAAAAGAATAGGCCTTCATATCTCTGCAAATTTGGTTTTAATTAAATTAACTGCAGAATGGAGTTACTTCTGCACGTCGTATAAAGTAATGACACAGTAATGGAAATTACCTTGTACAACAGATTTCCCAAGCGCGAAGTATCGTGAGCGCAGCCATTTCTTTTTCGATAATAAATTAGTCTGAAACTAAATTTTGAAACCTACTAAATATGTGATTGTGATGCCCGATTTTCTGCGATATCACTCTCAGTGCCCCACATTACCTTTAACGCATTCACATATACTCATCGTTCGATAAATGAATGATAAATGAACAACTTTCTTGCTATAAACATATTCTGAAACCCGTCAGAATATACCAAGGTGCGCGTTTAGGTACATAAATAGTTATCATGACATATGCTTTTAAATATAATCAGTAAAATGTATTTTAAAATGTATGATTTGTTTGTATGCGAAAGCTTCTATAAACGCGCTGTTTTATAAATCCATAAGTTTACTTACAGTTTTAAGTTTATCTCATTGAAATGTTTTAAGTATATTGTCTGGCTCTTTTTTGATATAATTTCAAGACATTTATTGATTACACGCCATGAATCAAAGCACGTTTCTTCTAAAATAAAATTTAGTTTAAGTTGAAATCACAGACAAATGGTTGTCTGAAGGTGTGAATAATCTTTAGAAACTCAACTAAAAGTAATCAAGATATTGTTAAACTAAAATCGTGCCGTAGTTTGATAACCTGTCAAGTAGGAAAGTATGACTACGAGGAGTATAGTTGATCAATGGAGATTTTTATTAAAACTCCAAAACAACTGGTCACATTTTGGTAACCAGCGATTAATAAAGTAAAATCATTGTATCACTGCCAAGACTCGGGCCGCCAGCAATGAATGAAAGCAAAATTTGGCCATTGGTACAAGTAAAATTCCCCATTGACTAGTTTACAAAAAAATTGTATGAAAGATTATCTAAGCGAAATAAAAATGGTGACAGGTGAAACGTCGGGCAGTATGATTAATAACTGCGGAAGTGCGCTTAATATTAATATGTCAAAAATTACGGTGATTTCCTCTTGGGAGTTTCTAAACGTTATATCTAATTTCTAATCTAATTAGCTTTTTCCGCTGTTGCGCTCATCCATCAAATAACTATATTTTTTTTTTAAATATAACTTTTAACCTGGTCTAAATGACATATATCGAATTCTCTTTTGAAAAAAGGGGGGAGGCAATATTTAGTTTTTATATTAAATACTCATTGTGAGCCTCATATTTCGCTCGTGATGTCTACACTACTTCAATTAATTCCCATTCTGGCCTTATTGCAAATTGTCTGGTGTGGAATTGATTGCAATCATTCCAAAACAAATATTTCACATATATATATATATACATACATATCAAATCACATATTTTATAAGAAATTAACCATTGCAAAGCTGTACAACTTTAAATCATTTAGTCTAAGATAATAAATGGGATTTCCCAATTATCAAACAGTGTTTTGTTATATTACTAATATGCTTTTCTTCGGAGAACAAACGTGGAGATAGCGAGGTAACCTGAAACAATTTTGCGTTCTATGTATGACAGGATAAAATCTAAATGAAATACGACTGTAATGATATATCAACTACAACGTACTATTCCCATAGCGCCCGTTGTAATAAAATTGTAAAATAAATAAACTGATATATATACTAAGCAGTTGAACTAGAATGTTTTGAAATTTTGGTAACCGAAAGTATAATAAAAGAACAACAAAAACAACAAATGATATATAACAAGTCCAAGTGTAATTTAGACATTTTGCCACTGATATCATAAAATATAAACTACCGCCTTTGGCAGGCTTATTGTTTCGGCAACAACTTCTATGTTTTAGCAATCCTATTCATATTAAAAAGATTTTTAAACTGAAGAAGCGATTTTTAGCCAAATTTGAATGTATGAACGTTACAATGTTTCTATTTAAGATATCTTTTAGTTTTTTTCAACTCGAACCTGCAGTCAAACCACGCGGAGGAACTCGACTAAAAATCTATATCTTACAATAGGAATTGAACAGACTATATAAATAAAATTCTGATAAGACAGTCAACATTAAGTATATTGTCTGGCTCTTTTTTGATATAATTTCAAGACATTTATTGATTACACGCCATGAATCAAAGCACGTTTCTTCTAAAATAAAATTTAGTTTAAGTTGAAATCACAGACAAATGGTTGTCTGAAGGTGTGAATAATCTTTAGAAACTCAACTAAAAGTAATCAAGATATTGTTAAACTAAAATCGTGCCGTAGTTTGATAACCTGTCAAGTAGGAAAGTATGACTACGAGGAGTATAGTTGATCAATGGAGATTTTTATTAAAACTCCAAAACAACTGGTCACATTTTGGTAACCAGCGATTAATAAAGTAAAATCATTGTATCACTGCCAAGACTCGGGCCGCCAGCAATGAATGAAAGCAAAATTTGGCCATTGGTACAAGTAAAATTCCCCATTGACTAGTTTACAAAAAAATTGTATGAAAGATTATCTAAGCGAAATAAAAATGGTGACAGGTGAAACGTCGGGCAGTATGATTAATAACTGCGGAAGTGCGCTTAATATTAATATGTCAAAAATTACGGTGATTTCCTCTTGGGAGTTTCTAAACGTTATATCTAATTTCTAACATTTTGCCACTGATATCATAAAATATAAACTACCGCCTTTGGCAGGCTTATTGTTTCGGCAACAACTTCTATGTTTTAGCAATCCTATTCATATTAAAAAGTTCAATAAATATTTCTCAAACGGTTACTAAGGAAGCAGTTACTATCGAATAAATATTTACACGTACAAAATATTAAAAGTAAACCGTTAGGCAATTTTTACATTTAGAATTAATCAAGTAATTGTAAATTTCACTCATATTCATTTACACGAATCTGGACTGATAATGCAAACAAACTAATACCAGAAAATTAAACACAGGGTGATTTCCAACCAGTGCTACATTTAGTATCGATCATATACTCATCCCATAGACGATTTTAAATATTATTGCATCATTTCGATGGATGATTATTTTATTATTGATATTTTATTGTCAATTAGTATAGGCCATTATATTGATAACCTATCAATCAAATAATAGTGTTTTATCGGCACAATACATCATCACTAAGAGACGAATAAAATGCTTACTGGGTATTCTGCGAATGTATTTCAGACAATTCTAAGAATATTCCATTGAATAGACAATCTAGCCTATACTATTCTATTTAAATATTTTTTCACTCTTTCTGAATTGACTATTAAATGTAATTAGTTTATTCATTTCCCTGAAAAGTACTGTTTCAAATATATTCCAGTTATCCAAATTTCCATATACTGTATATATCAGGTGGGTAATGGTAGCCAAACAAATATATAATTCACAGACATCCAAAAAAAAAAAAAAGAATGCAAAATTTTAATTGATTTTCCTGCTTTACATTATTAATTTCAATCTATGCGCTCTTAAATTATAACTTATTACTAATTCCATTTGCAAAACTCAACAAACTGAATTGATAAGGCTTGGTGCTTTGTGAGTCACGATTAGTTTTCCATTTTTATACCCGAGGCCATTTTTAATTAAGTATGATCATATACCATGGCTGTAGAAATCGTTGGTTTAAGGTTTAACTACATCACGAATCAATACAACCTGCTAATTAAAATTTTGTAAATTGGTTTCTTTCAAAAGCTACCAAATGAAGAAAATTCCAACTTCAAGTTGAATTTCATTCGTACTTAAATGTCATGTTACTGTATAGATTTTCTGATTCACAAATCGAAATTGCTGACAGTCTCAATCATAACAAAACAGGATGGTTACATTTTTTTTTATAAACGATGGAAATGTATTCATCATAACTACTTACTACATAAACAAAAGTTCAACAATATTGTACGACACAATGAATTAGTGAACGAATTATGAATTGTTATCTATTTACCAATGCACTATTTTGATATGTCACTTTTTGCCATCAACTTTCGCAAGACATGATGATAATATTCATCCTCCATCCTTTTTCCTAAGTATTTTTATAAGTAAAGTAAAGTAAAGTCTGTTTATACAAATGGAAACAATTGAAGGGTACCAAATAAAAGTTTTATCGATGACTCACACTGTCAGCATTTCTTCAAAACCTGAAAGAACACCTGTAATAATCTCTATTAAACGAATAAACAAAGTAACCTATATCGTTTGATATATGATTTCGTGGTTTGTTAAATATTTCATAAACTCCACATCCAAAAATTAATGTAAGCTAGAATCAAAGAAAAATATTTTCAGCTTCGTTTCGGCAAGTCATTTATTCTATCATAGCTGTGGCAGGTTTTATATTATTAACAACTAAAAGCCATTGAATGCAGATTTTCCAAAAATAAAATTCGTCTTCTTCTTTTGGTTTACCCAATCTTTGCATTGGTGTTTGGGGAACAATATTGTCTCCAAAAACTTCGTTCAAACCATCAATCATTCATAGGCGTTCCAATCATAAATTGAAAATCAACATTACAGCTTATTTTATCTTTAAAATACTTACTATTGAATAGGTGGTGTTCTATATCTGGTAGTTATACAGTTTTTGTTTTTCCTGCAAAATATTCAGTCTCAGTTGTTTCAGCTACAATATACCATACCAGATAAATTAATAATGCCGTATTTTATTCAAAAATTTTGGTGACATTGACATAATTATTTCTTGGGGAGGCATCATTCATCTCATTATAACAAAGACATCCATCACGATGTCATAAAAACATGTTCTCATAATTAAAAATTATACAGCGCATTTTAGAAGAAATATCAAATCTTACAGAATATTTAGGAGAAAATAAAGCAATAGTCTTTTAGCGAAACGAAAACAATCTTCAACCACTGAAAATATCAAAGCAATTGGTCTAGTAGTTAAAAACAAAAAAGATTTTTTATAACGATAAGAATAAAAATACCAACAAGAGGAAAAAGAACAACATCGTGATTACAAATCGATCCATGGGTCCATTTCGCGTCCAATAACACTTCGCTACTTCAGAATTGTTTCGCATAACCTCACTCCACTTTATTTTCTATTTTATATAGCAACTAATTTGTTTTCTTCAAGGGGTATCTACATGTCAAGTTATATATATTTATATGTACGTTAGTATAAAAAACATTTTTGACTGGACCAGTTAATTCCCTGGCATAATTAGAGAATTTGAAAGCTCATGCCTACAAAATGGAAGTAATTGGGAAAAATTCATTGAAATGTTCTTTAGGTATATAATTTAAACTTTGAGTGTGTTTAAATTTTGATCAATTACTGAGAAAATGCTGTATATTGTGTTTGGAATTAGAAAATTATCTTCCCTACTGATATATTTATTCGAATTTAAAATCAAAAACAGCTTTCCAGGATTACCTACTTTGTTACGAAAATAGTATCGAATATCGAGGATCGAAAAGTGTAATGTACTGTGCATACAATCGGTAGCGTTTCATAAAAACGTTTTTTGCTTACTATATTTATAAACCTAATCAAAGTACACAATTTTTGAGTCTGGTGAAATTTTGTAAGCTGGAAACTCTGTATCAATTTATACAAATTTACATAGATTAAGTTCTGTCGTAATAGACATTATTCAAATGCTCTAGTGGGCCCGAACGTGCAGATATAAAGGGCAGTCGAACATTTATTGCGTCATACCATATTTTATTATACAAAGAAACAAACGAATTATTCAATTTGAAAAATTGTGGCAATCAATCAATGAGTATTTCACAGCCAGAATTTGGCTTGATTTATATTCAGCAAAATTGACTGTGATAGGAAATACGTGATTAAGTTTCGGAGAGCATCATTTATCAAACATTATTTTTAAAAACTGAAGAAAAAATCAACATTTCCATTTAAATAAAATGGATTGCTCTATGTGAGCATTTTAGTTGGTTTTATGCTACGAAACAATAAATCATCTTCGTATTAAAATGTCGCAAGCAAGACTAGCAGGCCAATGCACTATTGTTACAGGTGGAGGCAGTGGAATAGGTCGTGCGATCTGCCAAGTATTTGCCAGGGAAGGCGCTAGTGTTGTAATTCTGGGCCGCAACCGTCAAAGACTTTCTGAAACAATAAATACTTTGCCAACTAATCATGGAAATAAGCACTACATAATACAAGCTGACGTGAGCTCTGCTGAACAAGTTACAGAAGCTTATGAAGAGGCGAAGAGACAGACAGGAAAGAATATCACAATTCTTGTGAATAACGCAGGGATAATCAGAAATGGTTTTATTGATGATTTCAAAAATGAAGATTTCGATGAAATGGTTAGCATAAATTTGAAAGGATTTTTTCTGATGGCTAAAGAATTTGTGAAATCACTATCAGAAATGGACAAAACCCAAGAATTGTGTTGCATAGTCAATGTATCCAGCATATTTGGCACAAGAGGTAACGCATTATATGCGGGATATTCAGCGACTAAATCCGGTATAATTGGATTAACGAAATGTATCGCATCAGAATACTCAAAGCACAAAGTCCGCTGCAATGCTGTTTTGCCAGGAGTGATTGAAACGCCTATGATTGATCATGTACCGGAAGATGCAAGAGACAATGTTATTGCACAAACACCAATGCAAAGATTGGGTAAACCGGAAGAAGTAGCAAATGCCTGTTTATTTCTGGCATCAAATGAAAGTTCATATGTCAATGGGGCTTGTCTAGAAGTTACGGGTGGATTGTGGGGATGAACGTATTATTTCATATATATTTTTATTTCATCATATCATTCGTTCTTATCACTTACAATTATATATTATCTTCTCATTATCAATGTATCCATGCTCGCTGTTGTTAAAATAAAAGCTTTAAACTCACACGGATTTTTATTTCGAGAAAACTCTTCATAAAAGCAAATAGTGGGTGGGGCGTATACCAGTCAAACGCAAATACTCCAATACTGTTTACTGCGCTGTTTCAAATAAAATCAATCATGGCGTCTTTTATGAAGTTTGTCATTTAAAGATTCATCGAGTAAATTTTTAAATATGAATTGGTTTAGGGCGAGAACAAATTACATGAATACATCTTGTGGATAGGGATGGCGGAATTGACTCCGGATTCGATTCCAGAATTGATTCTTCGTGGAATCGAGTAAAATCGATTCCGGTACATTGGAATCTATCCTTAGGGTTAAAACTTGGATTGCAAACAAGATATAATGTTTTGTGGCATTGTGACTGGCGGTGACATTGATGAATTGACCAGGGTGGTGGACGCTTCAGTTAAGATATCAAAATATTTGAATGACAGAACTCTTGTCATATGCGACCCAGGAATAAATGTTGCAATGGTGGCAACAAAACGAAAAAAAGGTATCCAAACATCGCAGTTGTCATCCAAAAGTACTTCTGTGTCCAAACAACATCTGCTGCATTAGAAACGGCATTCAGCTCATAGGAGCTTTCTGTATCCGAATTTCGATCGAGCTTACAGGAAGACGAATTGAACTTTTTAGTATGACAGTGATTGTTGGACACAATGTGGACATCCAAATCGTTTTGTCATTATATTTTTGTTAGAATTCATTTTTTGGTTTTTGTTATGAAAAAATATATTTTATCATTACCTACTGCACCAATTGCTAGAAAATTTTCAGTGGTTAAAAATTGTAATTTTTGGTTTTACCTCAAATCCAAAAAGCAAATTAAACAATATTACCGGCAACTATATACACCACGGCCACTCATGCGTTAGATTTTAGTCAACAAAGAGTATCTGTATGTTCTATATCCATTCTAGTCAAGCAATCATTTAAAAACACATAAATTTCTTCGTATCAACATAAAAAAAAACAAAATTAGATCCTAAAAAAAACTTAATCATTAAAAATTACCTTTATAACAAGAGAGCAATGCTCAAATATATGGACACGCAGAACAATTCCCCCAAAATCATATGCGGTGAAGTACCAGTACCTGTATCAGAGACCGGGGTACCGTGACGGTACAGGGACTGCCTTAGATATTTTAGGTCATGTGACAATGATCCATTCTTCTTGATTATATTGAAACATCAATTGAAATATCTCGTATCTATGAGTCAACTATGTACCGTATTACCGGATCAGGTACCGAACCAGAGTCAAACATTTCACATAAAAACGTTACTAAATAACATGCGCCAACTTAACACCACCTGAATTGGGTTACACATTTTGGTACAGTGACTGTCATAGCCGTTTAGGGCTGATGGACAATTCGACTACACGGACAATTCACCAGGTCTATCTGTAGTCGAGTTGTCACTGGTGAATTGTCCGTGTGTAGTCGAGTTGTTCGCCTCCCATTTCACATGTCTCGTGACAATGATCTACTCTTCTCCATTCAATTGCAACATGAATTGAAATACTTAGTAATCCGTTTCATTCCCTTCTACATTATTGGAATTTTTTAAAAAAAACAAGCCCCGCTTTTACCAGACAGCTACGAGTTAGTTCAGTGTCACCGCGCTGTGTTACGGTACCGGAACTGCCCTATCTTTAGAAGTTCCCATCTCAGGGATGGCGAACCACTGACCCGCGGGTCACAAAGTGACCCACCGCGTTTTATTCGTGACCCGCCAAGGCACGCTTGAAATAATAAAAAAATGCTAACATATCAGTGATAAAAATTGATAAAACCGGCCTTTAAATTAATTTAACAATACCCAAACTATTATAATCTAGCGTCAGTTGGGCAGTCAGGGCCGCGAGGGCTCATATTCAAATTGTTAATTTCGGGCTGGTATGGTAATTTTCAAAACCCCTAATCTTGGACGCATGTCTGCACCGCTGTGAACCATTATTCAGCTATTGTCTCTGACATCGTTTATGACATAACAATGCAACTGATATGTTAATTTGTCGCTACGTCTGGTCTCTTTCGGAAGTTTATCTGCAGACTGTTTTAGGGGTTATGCGAGAACTAGATGCTACTTTGTATTTTATTAGTTTCTTGCCCACAATACCGTTAAGAGAACAAAATCTTTCATACTTGAAATAAAAGCCTAGAAATCTGAAATAACAATGGGGCAGTGTAAAAGTGCCTTAATGAGGTTGAAAGTTGATCGAAAAATAGAACATTGTCAGGGTGGGATTCCCTCCAAACTCTTTGGAACCGTAAAAAAAATCATCCTAAACGTTTATGGTAATTCATATGCGTGTTTTTGCACTCTAATTTCATAAAATCGAGTGCCATAAAAAGTCCCTGATAGAAGTGCTTCATAATTAAAGCCTGAAACTACACCAACAGAAGCCTAAAAGAATTGTTTCAGAAGTTTCTTATAGATACAAACATTGATCATATATCTGTGACCTACTCTCTTCTGTTCCGCGATAAAAATATGATTTTTGACCCATTCATTGAAAAAGGTTCGCCATCCCTGTCCTATCTTATGACAGGGTGAAATGAAATTGCACGATGGTCCGACTCACAACTGTAGTAACACCAACGACCCGAGTCACTACTGTAATATAACACCAAGTACGACACTATTCGCCATTCACCATTTCTCAAATCTTAGCAAAGCAAGGATTCCATTACGAACCACGGACGTTCGATGGCACGTGATCAAAAGACACGAAGAGGAGTGCCAGCATATGCGTCCGCAGAACGTTCGGTGACGTCATAGCAAACAAAAACAAATATCACAGAGCCAACAGAAATATTTGAAATAAATAAAAGTGATAGCCTTCTGAAGAAAAAGTTCATCTTTAACCACTAAAAATTTCGCAATTGGTCCAGTATTCAAAGAGAAAAGCGACTTTTTAGATTTGCCACTAGGTGTCCATAAAGTGTCAAAGAACAACAACATAATATTGAAACGATCCATAGGTCCACTACGTGTCCAATAAGTCAATTTCACAGTGGTACGGTAACTGAGCAGTACCGTACCTGCAGACTTGATCACGCAACCGCTTGAAATAAGTTTCAAAACAGTGTTCCCATGAGTAAATTTTAAAACAGCGAAATTTTGAATGAAATATCAGATCTCATAGGATTCATAGAATTTTTAGGATTAAATGAAAGTAATAGCCTTCTGGAAAAAAAATCAAACTTTAACCACTGAAAATTTCAAAGCAATCGGTCCAGTATTCGAAGAGAAAGGCGATTTTATAATGATGATGACGAAGAAGAACAATAACAACAACATAATATTGAAATGATCCATAGGTCCACTACGTGTCCAAAAATAACATGTTGGTAAAGATCGAACGTAGCCCGTATTCGTCTAGTTATAAAATTGTGATATTTCATAATCTGTTTATATCATAGCTGACTTTCACAAATTCTTTCTTACTTCCAGTCTCCCTTTTATATTATGATCATAAAATGAAACTTTTCCCAGCTACAGTTGTGTTTTCAGTACAAATTGATAATTGATCGAACTCATAAAACACCAGGACATACAGAAAGGAAACCCGAACCTTCCTCAAAAGACTCTTCATTCATCCAATTCAATAAGGCTATGAAACATGACTGCAGTTCTAATCACATAAAATAGCAAAAATTGATATTTTTCCGACATGCATTATACATGGTACCGGCAAGACTTACTTGGGGTATTACTTTCTAGTTGCTGATAGATTATTTCTGGTAAACGCCTTTGGCGTTTATAGGACACAAAACGTTTATGAGACACTTTAAATCGTTTGGCTTTATTTTTTGATGTCGTTCTTGCATATTTGCGAAAAAGTAATTTTCTCCGCATTTAATACACCAATCGATTTCACAATATTTTACTTCACAGATGCATGGAAGAATTTGCCTCTGAGTCCTTTGGGACAAATTTGCTATTTCGTTTTATTTAAAAGGAAACAATCTTTATTCCTTGTTGCTCGACTGCGACTTTCGTGTGCGTATATCCGAGCATGGCCCTCTTTGCTAATTTTATACGCCCAAGCTGCCTTTGGTGTCTTCTATATAAAATAGACAAAAATGGGTGACACTGCAATGAAATGTTCTAATAAAATTAATGTGTTACTAGGTTCATGACTTCAATCCAAATGTAAATTCCAGAAAAGCCCCGTTGACATATAATCTTCCATTAGATGCCAGAAACAAACAGGCATTTGCTACTTCTTCTGGTTTACCCAAACTTTGCATTGGGGTTTGCGCAACAATATTGTCTTTAAAACTTTCCGACGCACCTTCAATCATAGACAACTGAATCATTCCTGGTAAAAAAGCATTGCAGCGGATTTTGTGCTTTGAATAAACTCTGATGCGATCTGAATGCAAATTTCCATGAAAACATAACAGATATTCCGTTAAAGAAGATTACGCCGCTAAAGATTGTAATGTGCCATGCAAGATAATTAGCGCTGTTTCAATGCCAACAGACTTACAGTTCTAGAATGATTTGACTCTGAACGAGACAGAAATGATTCTATATAGATAACAGGGGTGGCCAACACGTCGATCGCCACCTCTCGAGCAGTCGATAGCGTCTGATGTTGGGTGAACTTTATTGAAATACCCCCCAAAATTGCCTCGAAACAGCTGTGTGTTTTACAACAGGAAGAATACAGTACTTTACATACGCAAAATACAATATACACATACAGTATTTAAGTCTGGGCAAGCCCGATTAAGCATAATATTACGTAAAAAATGGAGGTTTTTCCGCTGCCAAGGTTTAAAGATGAAGTGCGGAATATCGCGTGTCTAGTCTGACAAACGATCCTACAATAACTTCCGCAGTATGCGAGAGTTTTTGTCTCACTCCAAGAGTATTGTGATAAAATTCGTTCGCAATGGTAGCAGTGGCATCAAAATGCCCAATTTGTTCTAATTCTAAGCAAGCGAAGAATCGCGTTTGAAGGAAAATGAAATTAGATACTGAAGTTTGAGCAGTCATGTAACATTCATGGTTTGAGAATATTTATTTTTCGTTGTTTGGATAATACATGGAAGGTTTCTCGGAGAATATTCAACACTCACGAATAGAAAATAAACACGCCCTTTATCTTAATCGTATGATTTAAATAAATCTGAAATAAATAGTGAAATATTTACTCCGGGCGCAATTAAATAATCAAATCAACAACTTAAATGGAACATAGCAAATATAAATTTTGTTTCGATTTCAATAATAATGTCCCCACAAAGCCTTCTTATTGGCAGCGGTGCAATTTTTTGTATGCGTGTGTGCAGTTATCTGCACAGTCAGTGCCCATTCGTTTTTGTGTAGGACCTTATTACCGATCAGTCGATCGCGATCTATTTTGAAGATTTTAGTCGATCGCGGCCGAAAGCAGATTGGCCACAAAAGCCTCCCAGCGACAGATACAATCTTTAACCTCTGAAACGCGATTTCTCAAATTTCGAGTTTACAGAAGTTTGTTCGATTACGAAGTAAGTACTGTATTTTGTTGTATATAGAGTTTGGATGGGAAGATTATCCATCCTGCTAATTTATTTATTTATATCTGTAAATCGAGAAAAAATTTCTTCCCGGGTTTCCCATCTTGTTATGAAAATGAAAACAGCATTGGATAATATAAATAAAAAACTGTACTGTGCAAAACATTATATGATAAATTAGATTTTGAATTCGAAATTAGATTCATATCAGTCTGTCTGTTTGTTGAAAACATTGCTGCTCAAACTGTTTTTCAAAACTCAACCAAAATGACAAATTTTCGAGTCTGAAATCGTAAACTCTGTCTGAACCTCATGGACAACATTTAAATGTTCTAGTGGGTCCGATCGCTCAAATACAAACGAAAGTTGAACATTTATTCTTCCATGAAAATTTTTCTAATTTCAAGGGTAGAAACGAATTATTCAATATAACAAATCGTCCCAATCAATCAGCAATGAACAGGTACATAAAGAAACGCAGGCTCATTTTTTATAACATATAAACTTGACACCTATATAAAATACGTAATTAGGTCTCGGAAAGCATCATTTATTAAATTATATTTTTAAAAACTAAAGAAAAAAGCAATATTTCTGTTTAAAATAAAGAGTTATATGTCAGGGTAGGCATTTAGTAGGTTTTAATCCGGAAAACACTCAATCATCTTCGTATCACAATGTCGCAAGGAAGACTAGCAGGTCAATGCACTATTGTAACCGGTGGTAGTAGTGGAATAGGTCGTGCGATCTGTCAAGTTTTTGCCAGGGAAGGAGCTAGTGTTGCAATTCTGGGCCGGAACCTTCGAAGACTTTCTGAAACAATGAATACTTTGCCAATAAATCATGGAAATAAGCACTGCATAATACAAGCTGATGTAAGCTCTGCTGAGCAAGTAGCAAGAGCTTTTAAAGAATCAACGAGACGGATCGGCAGAAAGACCACAATTCTTGTGAATAACGCAGCGATAGTCAAAACTGATTTCATTGATAAATTCAAAATTGAAGATTTTGATGAATTATGAAAATAAATTTAAATGGATATTTTCTGATGGTCAAAGAATTTGTGAAATTACTATCAGATGTGGACAAAGGCCAAGGTTTCTGTTGCATAGTCAATGTATCCAGCATGTTAGGCATAAGAGGTTTCCCATTATTTGCTGGATATTCAGCGAGTAAATCTGGTATAATTGGATTAACGAAATGTGTCGCATCGGAGTATTCACAACAAAAAATACGCTGCAATGCTGTTTTGCCAGGAATGATTCAAACTCCTGCGATTGAAGGTGTGCCGGAAAGTTTTAAAGAAAATATTGTAGCACAAACACCAATGCAAAGATTGGGAAAACCAGAAGAAGTAGCAAAGGCCTGTTTGTTTCTGGCATCCAATGATAGTTCATATGTCAATGGGGCTTGTCTGGAAGTTTCAGGTGGATTGTGAGAATGAACAAGTTGTTTCATATTTTCATTTCATCATTCGTTCTGAGTGTTACACTATGTTATGTATATCAAATATATTATCTTGCCACTTACAAGTTTATATTATCTTCTCATTATCAATTTAACCATACTCGTTAAACTGATGTTAAAATAAAAGCCTTAAAATCAAACTGATTTTTATTTAGAGAAAGCTCTTTATATAAGCAAATAGTGGGTGTGGCGTTTACCAGTCCAACGCAAATACTCCAATACTGTTTACTACGCTGTTGCAAATAAAATCAATTATGACGTCTTTTATGAAGTTTGTCATTTAAAGATTTATTAACTAAATTGCTAAATACGGATTGGTTTAGGCCGACAGAAATTTACATGAAAACATTTTTAGACGCCATGCCCCATTGTTTCAGGCATTGGACTTGGTATTACGTATTAAAAATATTATCCCTGCTTCCCAGGATGCCGCGCGGACGCCAAGCTTCCCAACCCTGGTTTAACCTCAAATTCGCCAATATTACCGGCAACTATACACCAGGACGACTCATGCGTTAGATTTTAGTCAACGAAGAACAGACTATTTGTATGTTCTACCCATTCTAGCCAAGTAATCATATAAAAACTGACAACGCATGAATTTATTCGTATCGACGTATATAAAACAAAATTGGACCTAACTTAATTATTACCTTGTCATATTTCATAATCTGTTTATATTTATCATAACTAAATGTTCGAAACTTCTTTCGTGCTTCTAGTCCGCATTTTACATTGCGACCATAAAATGAAAATGTTCCCATATACGCTTGTGGTTATCGGTACACATTTATATTTGATCATATTCACAAAATACCATAACCATTCCATGTATTTTATCCACCAGTAATTACTTATCGATATTAATCGGTAAGTATGTTGATAGGTATTTGTATGTCTGTTTGTCTGTTAGATGCACACGATATCTCCCGAAAGATCTGCTCCAGATTTTGCATGTGCATTCATCTTATCTCGGACCAGGAGCCTATCGATTTTGGGCGAATTATGTCGTATAATTAGCGAGTTATTAATTAATTAGTGATGGGACACAGGGTGTCACTATGGAGTAAGAGCGCTGTTTTGGGGATCCCTAACTTTCGATCGATAAGTCTTCGGTCTCTGACCGATATTCTCGTTTACATTGTTATATTGAACATGATTGGACAAACAGGCATTTCCTCTTCTTCTTATTTACCGAATCTTTGCATTGTCGCATTGGCTGTAGAGTAGGGTGCCGTAATTCAACGATAGGTTTATAAGCTACAGGTGAGCAAGAGAGTGATGTCTCTACGGTCAGGGAGGTAAATTTAACTAACTAATGTTGTGTAAACCATGATGTAAATGGCCAATTTGTTTAGACTCCAATCATCCATAGAGCTACAAGAACGTACCCGCGCTAATCATATTTTGACGACACGTGTCAATCATCCGGGTCAGAAAGTTTTTTCACGATATTATTTCTATTTTTACTTGTAGTTCGATAGTTTACTCGCTTCTGTGTCTATTAGACTAGACTAGGTTATATTCTTGTTAAATACATTACTTTGCTATTCAAAAGAACTGGTAGTTGAAAGCCCCATTGTTTGCTTAGAATAAAAGTGTCTAAATTACAATGTTTTCCCCATTCGAGAAGACCTATTATATATAAAAGCAAATTCTAACAATGCTTTCTCACTATACTCATGTATTTTGTGCGATATTGTTTTTCATTGTTTTAGGTGATTAAAACAGTTTTCTGTCACATTTTTCAGCGGACTGTGTGGCAAACAGGATTAACTTAGCATTTGCAAGAGAATACGATTTCAAAGTAAGTGCGATTCAAATCATCAGTCACAAGTTCATCCATTTAAGATTAATGGAGCAAACAGTTGAATATGGATTGTTGCAAGAACTATTTATAGGAATATATCTTGTGGACGTGATGACCCTCTGGTTAATGCTTTGAACCAAAACGAGTTGGCATGGCGTGTTAAAGAACTGAAGTTCAACGCTAATTGCCACTACCTATCCAGGGTGAAATACATTGGGTAGGCAGATATACTGGATATACATTGACTATGACACCAAATGTTTGGGATTTGTCCACTCCTTATAGAAATCCTAATGCAGTGCATACCAGTATATCAACAAGCAAAAATGCCGCAATAAAACAATTCATTTCATATTAAATATCCCACTACTTTTTCATTTCTCTCATTCTGTAAAGCGGGGGTGTGCAAACTTTAGTACAAGAGGGTCAGATACAAATAACTGGTTGGAACCGCGGGATCCACCTTTATTTAACATAAACTCCCTAGTAGTTGCAATCACAAAAATTAGCTTCTTCTTGGTATTGGTCTTATGGCATCATTAGAGGTTCTTGAAGAAATGATGAGTGAAGAGACATAAATTTCTGAAAAAAACTTCTATTCAAATTTATTGACCAACCAACTACAAATGAATTCAAAGAGAAATTTACAGCTAGCTTCTTTTCTCGACTACTTTTTACAAATTTGCTTCAATGAAAGTGTTAGCAATTCGAAGTCCATATTTGAAGTGTTCGTCTGTCTTTGATAAGAAGATTCGATGACGCCAATTTGCCAATTTAGGAAAAAATTCATTCAAAATTAGAACTTCTCACGGGCCGCAAAACTTTTCCTTGTGGGCCGTATGTGGCCCACGGGCCGCAGGTCACACATCCATGATGTAAAAACTGAAGACTAATTTTTCCTGAAAAATATTAATGTCAATGGAAAACAGTTTCGAATCCAATGTGAAGATTAAAATATATCATTGTTAAATGTGGTGACGTCGTTGGTCATGTTCAACGTTTTTTTGCTGTCTGCTGAGCCAACAAAGAATGCGTTATAATTTTCATGAAAACATGATAGAAATCCCGTTAAAGAAGATTACGTCGCTAAAGATTGTAACGTTTCATGCAAGATAATTAGCGCTGTTTATTCGTTGACAGACTTAGGGTTCTGGAACGATTTGATTCTGAACGAGATAGATGGTGCACATTCGTGTGTTTTAGGCCAGTATGGTCTCGTGCATACATCCCGTCTTCAATATTGATAAATATTAACTCTTTTATATTGATTTTACGAGACGAATAAACATACATACGTAGATAAATTATCATATATAACAGGGGTGGCCAACACGTCGATCGCGATCGACCGGTCGATCGCCACGTCCCGAGCAGTCGATCGCGTCTGATGTTTAGTGAATTTTATTGAAATACCCCCAAAAATTGCCTCGAAACAGTTGTGTGTTTTACAACAGAAAGAATACAGTACTTTATATGCGCAAATACAATATACACATACAGTATTTGTGTCCGGTCAAGCCCGATAAAGCATATTAGTACGTAACTAATGCAAGTTTTTCCGCTGACAAGGTTTAAAGACGAAGTGCGGAACATCGCCTGTCTAGACTGAGAAACGATCCTACAATAACTTCCGCAGTATGCGAGAGTTGGTATCCAGGCCGGATAGCGACTGTCAAAAAAGCGACTGTCATAATGGCGACTTCTTAATAGCGGCGTAATCAGGTATGCGACAGCGACTGTCATAATGGCGACCGCGATAAAGGGTATCCGTAGATTTGAACCCACGTACATTTGAACCATGTACATTTGAACCCATGCGTATATCCGCGGGTTCAATCTATATCCGGATGCTAAAACCCATGGGTTAGGGTCAGTATGGGTTCAAATATTCGTAAAACCAAAAAAATTTCCATAGGTGCAATAGTATGCAGGTGCAATTGTCGTGGGTTCAAATGTACAGGAACCCAATAAAACAGCGACTGTTATGACAGCGACTTAACTCGTGTCTACTGAGTTGAATTCACTGAATCGCTGTCGTTTAGTCGCTCTATTGACAGATGACAGTCCAACGCTGTTGTGTGGTCGCTCTATTGACAGTCGCTGTTCATGTCTTTGCAATTTGGAACCCTAGCCGCGAGAGTTATTGTCTCACTCCAAGAGTAGTGTGATAAAATTTATTCGCAATGGTAGCAGTGGCATCAAAATACCCAACTTGTTCTAATTCTAAGCAAGGGAAGAATCGCGTTTGGAGGAAATTGTAAATTAGATACTGAAGTTTGAGCAGTCATGTAACATTCATGGTTTGAGAATATTTATTTTTCGCTGTTTGGATAATACATGGAAGGTTTCTTGAAGAATTTTCAACACTCACGACTAAAAAATAAGCACGCCCTTTATCTTAATTGTATAATTTAAATAAATCTTAAATAAATAATGAAATATTTATTCCGGGTACAATTAAATATTTAAATCAATAACTTAAATGGGACATAGCAATTAAATACAAATTTTGTAACAATTTTTATAATAATGTGCCCACAAAGCCTTCTTATTGGCAGCGGTGGAATTTTTTGTATGCGTGTGTGCAGTTATCTGCACAGTCAGGGCCCATTCGTTTTTGTGTAGGACCTTATTACCGATCAGTCGATCGCGATTTATTTTGAAGATTTTAATCGATCGCGGCCGAAAGCAGATTGGCCACTCCTGATATATATGGATACGAAGGCCAAAACGAAGCAGTACGGCTATGAAATCCTCCACAGTCAAGTAAAAAACGAAACCAATAGAGCCCACAGAAAATTTGAAAAAAAAAATGAAATTAATAGCCTTCCAGCGACAGATGCAGTCTTTAATCTCAGAAACGCAATTTCTCAAATTTTAAATGTTTGTTCGATTACTGTATTTCGTTGTATATAGAGTTTGAATGGGAAGATTATCCATCCTACTAATTTATTTATTTTCAATTGAAAATCGAGAAAAGGTTTCTTCCGGGGTTTCCCACCTTGTTAAGAAAATGAAAACAGCATTGGATATTATAGATTAAAAACTGTACTGTTTTGAAATCAGATTTATATCAGTCTGTGTAGTTTGTTGAAAACATTGCGGATCAAACTATTATTAAAAACTCAAATGTAAATAACAAATGTTTGAGTCTGAAATCATAAACTCTGTCTGAACCTCATAACAATAAGTACATAATATTTATAACCTACAAACTCGGCTCCTATATGAAATACGTAATTAGGTCTCGGAAAGCATTATTTAATAAATTATATTTTTAAAAACTAAAGAAAAAAGCAACCTTTCCCAGTTTAAAATCAAGGTTTATATGTGAATTTAGGCTTTTGGTAGGTTTTAATCCGGAAAACACTCAATCATCTTCGTATCAAAATGTCCCAAGGAAGACTAGCAAATCAATGCACTATTGTAACCGGTGGTAGTAGTGGAATAGGTCGGGCGATCTGCCAAGTTTTTGCCAGGGAAGGCGCTAGTGTTGCAGTTCTGGGCCGAAACCTTCAAAGACTTTCTGAAACGATGAATACTTTGCCAACTAACCATGGAAATAAACATTGCATGATACAAGCTGATGTGGGCTCTGCTGAGCAAGTAGCAAGAGCTTTTGAAGAAGCAACGAGACAGATGGACAAGAAGATCACAATCCTTGTAAATAACGCAGGGATACTGAGAAGTGATTTTGTTGATGAACTCAAAGAAGACGTTTTTGGACACGTAGTGGACATAACGATCGTTTCAATATTATGTTGTTGTTGTTCTTGTTCTTGTTATCCTTGTTGTTGTTCTTTGACACGTTTTTAAAAAGTCGCTTTTCTCTTCGAATACTGGACCAATTGCTTTGAAATTTTCAGTGGTTGAAGATAAAATTTTTCTCCAGAAGCCTATTACTTTTTTTTTCGCTATGACGTCATCAAAATTATTGCCATTGGGTGGCGCTACGTGTCCATATATTTGAGCATAGCTCTCTTGTTGATGAAATGATGAAAATAAATTTGAAAGGACATTTCCTGATGGCCAAAGAATTTGTAAAATCACTATCGGAAGTGGACAAAACTCAAGAATTTTGTTGCATAGTCAATGTATCCAGCCTAGTTGGCATTAGAGGTTTCCCATTATATGCTGGATATTCCGCGACTAAAGCTGGAATAATTGGGTTGACGAAATGCATCGCATCAGAATATTCAAAACACAAAATCCGCTGTAATGTTGTTGTGCCGGGAGTGATTGAAACACCTATGATTGATATTGTAACTGAAGATGATAAAGCTAATGCTATTGCGAAAATACCAATGCAAAGATTTGGTGAACCCAAAGAAGTAGCAAATGCCTGTTTGTTTCTGGCATCAAATGAAAGTTCATATGTCAATGGGGCTTGTTTGGAAGTTACAGGCGGATTGTTGGCATGAACAAATTATTTCATATTTTTGGACACGTAGTGGACATAGCGATCATTTCAATATTATGTTGTAGTTGTTCTTGTTGTTTGACACGTTTTTAAAAAGTCGCTTTTCTCTTTGATTACTGGACCAATTGCTTTGAAATTTTCAGTGGTTAAAGATAAAAATTTCCTTCAGAAGGCTATTACTTTTTTTTTTCTTTCCACGACGTCATCAAAATTATTGCCATCAGGTGACGCTACGTGTCTATATATTTGAGCATAGCTCTCTTGTTATTTTGGGATTCGTTCGGCGAGCCAATCTATGTTATATATGTATATATATAATTTAACTCATTGCTTACAATTTTATATTATGCTCTTATTATTAATTCCTAGTTGCTTATATAAAAAGCTTCAAAATCACAATTTATATAAGCAAATAACAGTATCAAGCGAATACTGCGTGTTTACTATGCTATTGCGATTAACATCACAAATCATGAAGTATTTGAATGTAGTTCATCATTTATTGAGCAAAGGATTGAATATTATTTGGTTTATGGCAAGAAGAATTTACATGAATCTTGTGAACGCGAGGATCTATTGGTTAATTAAAGCATCGAGCTTGTATTACTTGTTGCTTACCACTTATGTTAAAGGACGTTTTCTGCGTTATCGTACATTAAAAACAAATACAGACCAAGGCTAGAAGATCTTCAGTTTTCCGTCTCTCAAATTTGAATTGAAATCACAGTGTTGTGCTCTAAACACAGATCCTATAATAATCATTAGGCAGAATAGTGCAAATATTTACAATTTTATATGCTGTGCTTAATTATGTAGATGAAAGCCTAACCTTCAATTTCCCATTCTTGCCATTTTTTTTATTAGCCTATGCTCTGCACTTTCCTTAATTTGATTGCTGCTCAGCAAGTAAAAGCTTTGTGGATCGCGTTGTTCGCTTTGCACAAGCTAGCTATTAGGGTGTTGAAACGTCAGTGGTATAAATAGGAAATTGGTCCTAGGTATAGTCTTTGCAAAGACATTGGAATTGCTTGCACGAACTGGATTAAACAAAATTGAAAACTCGTTTGGCGGGCCCCACACCATTCAAAATTGGAACTTCTCTTGGGCCGCACAATTTTTCCTTGTGTGCGCAGGTCACACATCTATGCTGTAAGATATGAAGTCTACTTAATCCCGAAAAATAATAATGTCAATGTCAGCAAACAGTTTTGAATCCAATGTGAAAATTAAAATAGGTCATTATTAATTAATGTGGTGACGTCGTTGATCATGTTCAACGTTTTTTTGCTGTCTGTTGAGGTTTCAAGAGGGCGTTTAGACTCCAATCATCTTTCAAGTGTAACGCCGTACCTAGAATATTGAAACGGCGCACAGAAAGTTTTTTCACGATATTATCATCATGATGTTACTTGTATTTTCCAAACCCACTTATTTATCCGTAGAGTAAATCATGTTTCTATTAAATAACTTCTTTACTATGAAATAAATTCTTACAGGTTCATAAGTCCGTATTCTGAATCTGGTAATAATACAGATTATATGCGGTGACTTACCAGTACCTGTATAAACAAAGCACCACATCACAGCAATCAAACAGACAAAACACGGTGGTCGCAAATTAGTTGACAAAGATATTATCGACGTATTGGAAATGTGCACCCCCCTATTCCCCCTCCTACCTGTAATGCCAGACGCTTCTTCTTTGCAAAACCAACTTATTCGATTTATCACGGTATTATAACAGCAGATACCACAGTCTACAAACATATTCACACCAAGCGAAGCATTTCGACCACAGTCTACAAATATATTCACACCAAGCGAAGCGGTACAGTACCGGTACCGGTACGGTTTACCGTACCTTTAGACCACAATCTACAAATATATTCACACCCGCGAAGCAGTACAGTATGGTCTACCGTACCTTTAGCATCACCGCCATTCTCCGGTAACCTCGAAAAACTTGCGATTTTCGAGTGGCAACGACTTTCAGAATCCGCCGTCACGCCAACGTTCGATGGCACGTGATATGCGTCCGCAGAACGTTCAGTGACGTCATATCAAACAAAAACAAATCTCAAAGAACTAACAGAAATAATTGATATAAATTAAAGTAATAGCCTTCTGGAGAAAAATTTCATTATTAACCACTAAAAATTTCAAAGCAACTGGTCCAGTGATCAAGGAGAAAAGCGAATTTTAAAAATTTCTCCAAGGTGTCCAAAAAGTGTCAAAGAACAACATTACAACAAAACGATCGTTATGTCCACTAAACGTGTCCATTAACACTAAGTACGACACTATTCGCCATTCGCCATTCCTCAAATCTTAGCAAAGCAAGGATTTTATTACGAACCACCGACGTTCGATGGCACGTGATCAGAAGACATGAAGAGGAGTGCCAGCATATGCGTTCGCAGAACGTCCGGTGACGTCATAGCAAACAAAAACAAATCTCACAGAGCCAACAGAAATTTTTGAAATAAATAAAAGTAATAGCTTTCTGGAGAAAAAGTACATCTTTAACCACTAAAAATTTCAAAGCAACTGGTCCAGTATTCAAAGAGAAAAGCGACTTTTTAGATTTTCCACTAGGTGTCCAAAAAGTGTCAAAGTGCAACACCATAATATTGAAAGGATCCATAGGTCCACTACATGTCCAATAAGTCAATTTCACACTGGTACGGTAACTGAGCAGTACCGTACCTGCAGACTTGATCACGCAACCGCTTGAAATAAGTTTCAAAACAGTGTTTCCATGGGTAAATTTTAAAACAGCGAAATTTTGAATGAAATATCAGATTTCATAGGATCCATAGAAAATTTAAGAATAAATGGAAGTAATAGCTTTCTGGGGAAAAAATCAAACTTCAACCACTGAAAATTTCAAAGCAATTGGTCCAGTATTCGAAGAGAAAAGCGGTTTTATAGAGATGATGACGAAGAAGAACAATAACAACAACATAATATTGAAACCATCGTTATGTCCACTAAAGTGTCTAACAACATAATATTGAAACGATCCATAGGTCCACTACGTGTCCAAAAATAACATGTTGGTAAATATCGAACATAGACCGTATTCGTCTAGTTATAAATTTGTGATAATTCATAATCTGTTTAAATCATAGCTGACTTCCAGTCCTTAAATTTTGTGATCATAAAATGAAACTTTTCCTAGCTATACTTGCGTTTTCAGTACAAATTGATATTTGATCGAACTCTTAAAACACCAGGACATACAAGGCCGCCATTAACGATTTTTATGAAAAGAAAATACTATTTATGGAACTGCATTTTATTCACTAGTAATTTTCATGTCCAGCCATTTTCTATTACCGGTTTGCCGCAAATATACGTTTTACCAGTGGCGGCGCGTCAATAGGGCCAACCGGGGCAATGCCCCAGTTGTTTTTTCGGTATAATAAAAAATATTCGAAAAATACCTCAATATCGGTTGCACAGACTGTCTACACTAGCCATATTCTCCCGACATGGTTCATTTTTCGCTCGCAAAGCCTTCGCCGAACGTCGACGGGGCGACGCCGATTTTGCCCCGGTTGCTCATTGTATATCGTATTCTCTCTTTTATCTTCCACTCGCCGCGTTTGTCTCGTTTGTTTTCTGTTTCTTTTACTAAATCATCGGGGCTAGCCCCGAAATTATGACGACACAATGCCGACATTTCTTACAACAACGTGTAGACATATTCACGCATTCCTTCTCGTTCGTTGGTTGCTTGAAGAGTTGATAGTTTCCTCGCCTTCGTTTTTGTCGCTTGTTTCGCTATTTGAATCAGTTAGAGACCTTTAGTCCATTTGCTTTCGATTTTCCACATTCCTTTTGAGCTCCTCACTTCTTTCCGGCTTCGCATTTCTTAGCCTTAGACTTCATAATGAATAAGGTTGATGCACTACTTCGCACTCCGTTTTCGCAGCTGCCGCTGGAACAAAAATTAGAGGTACAACGTCTTGGGCCTTATCAACCAAAAAATTGTTCACTGGAACAATCCCATGACGGAGGAAAGCGTCGGCGTACATTCTGCGCAGAAACTTGGTATAAAAAACACGAATGGTTGTGTTACAGCGAGGACAAAATGCACTTTTTTGTTTTTATTGCCTACTTTTTGCTACCGCCCGTGACTCACGTTGGTGTAAATTTGGTTTTAGAGATCTTAAACATCTTTCCGAGCGTGCCAGGGATCATCAATCTTCTATGGAGCATCTGGACAATGCAGTAAAATACCGAACATTCAGAAATGTTAATATTGCAGCACAGTTGGATGAAGGACGCGCGGTTTCTATTCGTCGGCACAACCAAAACGTCGAGAAAAACCGCCATGTTCTTGGTCGATTGATAGATGTTTTGAAGTTCATTGGTTGTCACGAGCTGTCCCTCCGTGGGCACGATGAACGGGCTGGCTCTTCTAATAGAGGGGTATTTTTGGATATCGTGGAATACACCGCATCCCTAGATACAGTATTGAGAGATCATCTTGATGCCGCAACTGTTTCGAAAGGGACATCTAAGGATATCCAAAATGATTTGCTCGACTCGATGTATAAAATTTATTTACAACATTTGGCTCTGGAAATTGAGAATTGCCAGTTCCTTTCGATTCAGTCTGACGAGACAACTGACATCACGTGCGTTTCCCAACTGGCTGTGATTTTTCGGTTTGTGAAAGATGGTAAACCGACCGAGAGATTTCACAGCTTTGTACCAATCGTTGATCGCACGGCTTGCGGGATATCGGCTGTACTGAAAGAAGTGTTACAGCCTTACAACGCAAAGTCAAAATTGATAGCTCAAACTTATGACGGCGCGGCAGTCATGAGTGGGTCAAAACATGGTGTTCAAGTTTATATAAAAGAAGATTTTCCTCATGCGCATTTTTTACTTTGTTATGCACACCATTTTAACCTCGTTATTAAAAATAGGTGTCTTGATACCCCTCTCGTCCGTATATTTTTTGCAAATGTCCCGGGGTTTTCTTCATTTTTTTCCGTTTCGTCGAAGCGCTCTGACCTCCTTCGCCAGATATGTAGCCGCCGTCTCCCAGCTTGTGCACCAACACGTTGGAATTTCCAATCACGCGTGGTGCAGGGCGTGTCCGAAATTAGGTCTGAGCTCATTGAGTGTTTCAATGGCATTCAGAGCTCTCCGGTTTGGGACGAACGCTCTGTGAGGGAGGCGGCAGGTCTAAAGTGTCTGCTAGAAGATGGTGAGTTTTCATTTTTTCTCGCTTTTTTCTCCACAATATTCTATCACGTGGATGTATTATACGGCGCATTGCAGTCAAGGCTAATGGATGGAGCGTCTGTGCAGTCGTGTATTTCAGACTTCTGCGATGCTGTATCTCGTATCCGGGAAACAATAAATTACGACGACACATGGAGTGCTTCTTTACGCCGCGGGCAAACAACGCAGCGTTTGATTTTGTCTGCAAAGGAATGCTGTGACATTCTTGTGAATCAAATAGGCGATTGTATGCGCACTGAACACCTTGCCGCGTTCTCTTTGATGAACCCCAAAAAATTTTCAAAATTTGCACGTCAATTTCCCATCCATTTGTTGGCTACTGTCTCCAAATTTTACCCCATGATAAACGTGGGTAAATTGGAAAATGAATTGCGATGTATATACACCAATCAAACTATTTTGAACATCACATCAACTTGCGCGCTCTATGGGTTACTCATAGATAACACTCTAGTAACTACCTTTGCGGCGTCTGCAAAATTTCTGGACATCATTTTGACGACGTCTATTTCTTCCGCCGACGCAGAGCGAACATTCAGCACACTGAAGCGTATTAAAACGTATCTCAGAAACACAATGAAGCAAGATAGATTAACTTCCTTGGCTGTTTTATCCATTCACAGAGACGTTATTTCTGGGATGCATGACTTTAATCAGCGCGTTATTGAGCATTTTGCTTCCAAGAAACCTCGGCGTGTTGCATATATGTTCAAGCAGTAGAAGTCTAGCAGCATATATATCTATGAGTGAGCGACGCATGTCCTTATCTTTGCATTAACTTTCCTCTCTTCATAGTAACGTTTTAAACTTTATTTTAGGTTTTGTCTGCTTTCCCGAAGTTTCTGTTAATATGTCATTGTATTTATCTGGGTAAATATTGCCTTTCAAAATAAACTTTGTGTATATTTATTAATCCCTTGACTTGGACCGGTTTTAAAGACACTTTCTTATCGTTAAAAATTGTCGCTTTTGCCGATTGGTTGTTACCGATGGAATGGTTTTTATACTCATAAAATGATGGGAGAACTTACAGCGCTCATCCAGTCCCCGTAGATGGGGTGACTTGGTCCCGCAGTAGCTTGCCCCGGTTGTCAAAATGACCACGCGCCGCCACTGGAATACAGTACTTTACATGCGCTAAATACAATATACACGTACAGTATTTGAGTCTGGGCAAGCCCGATTAAGCATAATAGTACGTAACAAATGCAAGTTTTTCCGCTGCCAAGGTTTAAACATGAAGTGCGGAATTATCGCGTGTCTAGACTGACAAACGATCAATAACTTTCGCAGTATGCGAGAGTTTTTTTCTCACTCCAAGAGTAGTGTGATAAAATTTATTCGCAATGGTAGCAGTGGCATCAAAATGCCCAATTTGTTCTAATTCTAAGCAAGCGAAGAATTACGTTTGGAGGAAATTGTAAATTAGATACTGAAGTTTGAGCAGTTATGTAACATTCATGGTTTGAGAATATTTATTTTTCGTTGTTTGGATAATACATGGAAGGTTTCTTGGAGAATATTCAACACTCACGAATAGAAAATAAGCACGCTCTTTATCTTAATCGTATGATTTAAATAAATCTGAAATAAATAGTGAAATATTTACTCCGGGCGCAATTAAATAATCAAATCAACAACTTAAATGGAACATAGCAAATATAAATTTTGTGTCGATTTCAATAATAATGTGCCCACAAAGACTTCTTATTGGCAGCGGTGCAATTTTTTGTATGCGTGTGTGCAGTTATCTGCACAGTCAGTGCCCATTCGTTTTTGTGTAGGACCTTATTACCGATCAGTCGATCGCGATCTATTTTGAAGATTTTAGTCGATCGCGGCCGAAAGCAGTTTGGCCACTCTTGATATATATGGATACGAAAACAAAAACGAAGCTGTACGGCTATGAAATTTTCCACAGTCAAGTAAAAAACGAAACCAATAAAGCCCACAGAAAAAAAGTGAAAGTAAAAGCCTTTCAGCGACAGATACAATCTTTAACCTCTGAAACGCGATTTCTCAAATTTCGAGTTTACAAAAGTTTGTTCGATTACGAAGTAAGTACTGTATTTTGTTGTATATAGAGTTTGGATGGGAAGATCATCCATCCTGCTAATTTATTTATTTATATCTGTAAATCGAGAAAAAATTTCTTCCCGTGTTTTCCACCTTGTTTTGAAAATGAAAACAGCATTGGATAATATAAATAAAAAACTGTACTGTGCAAAACATTATATGATAAATTAGATTTTGAATTCGAAATTAGATTCATATCAGTCTTTCTGTTTGTTGAAAACATTGCTGCTCAAACTGTTTTTAAAAACTCAACCAAAATGACAATATAACAAATCGTCCCAATCAATCAGCAATGAACAAGTACATTAAGATACGCAGGCTCATTTTTTTTATAACATACAAACTTGACTCCTATATAAAATATGTAATTAGGTCTCGGAAAGCATCATTTATTAAATTATATTTTTAAAAACTAAAGAATAAAGCAATATTCCTGTTTAAAATAAAGAGTTATATGTGAGAGTATAGGCATTTAGTAGGTTTTAATCCGGAAAACACTCAATCATCTTCGTATCACAATGTCGCAAGGAAGACTAGCAGGTCAATGTACTATTGTAACCGGTGGTAGTAGTGGAATAGGTCGGGCGATCTGTCAAGTTTTTGCCAGGGAAGGAGCTAGTGTTGCAATTCTGGGCCGGAACCTTCGAAGACTTTCTGAAACAATGAATACTTTGCCAATAAATCATGGAAATAAGCACTGCATAATACAAGCTGATGTAAGCTCTTCTGAGCAAGTAGCAAGAGCTTTTAAAGAATCAACGAGACAGATCGGCAGAAAGACCACAATTCTTGTGAATAACGCAGCGATAGTCAAAACTGATTTCATTGATGAATTCAAAATTGAAGATTTTGATGAAATTATGAAAATAAATTTAAAAGGATATTTTCTGATGGTCAAAGAATTTGTGAAATTACTATCAGATGTGGACAAAGGCCAAGGTTTCTGTTGCATAGTCAATGTATCCAGCATGTTAGGCATAAGAGGTTTCCCATTATTTGCTGGATATTCAGCGAGTAAATCTGGTATAATTGGATTAACGAAATGTGTCGCATCGGAGTATTCACAACAAAAAATACGCTGCAATGCTGTTTTGCCAGGAATGATTCAAACTCCTGCGATTGAAGGTGTGCCGGAAAGTTTTAAAAAAAATATTGTAGCACAAACACCAATGCAAAGATTGGGAAAACCAGAAGAAGTAGCAAATGCCTGTTTGTTTCTGGCATCCAATGATAGTTCATATGTCAATGGGGCTTGTCTGGAAGTTTCAGGTGGATTGTGAGGATGAACATATAACTTCATATTTTTATTTTATCATTTGTTCTGAGTGTTACGCTATGTTATGTATATCAAATAAATTATCTTGTCACTTACAAGTTTATATTATCTTCTCATTATCAATTTAACCATACTCGTTAAACTGCTGTTAAAATAAAAGCCTTAAAATCAAACTGATTTTTATTTCGAGAAAGCTCTTAATATAAGCAAATAGTGGGTGTGACGTATACCAGTCCAACGCAAATACTCCAATACTGTTTACTACGCTGTTGCAAATAAAATCAATCATGACGTCTTTTATGAAGTTTGTCATTTAAAGATTTATTGACTAAATTGCTAAATACGGATTGGTTTAGGCCGACAGAAATTTACATGAAAACATCTTATGGACGCCATGCCACATTTAAAGTATATTATTACGTAACTAATGCAAGTTTTTCCGCTGCCAAGGTTTGAAGATGAAGTGCGGAATATCGCGTGTCTAGACTCTAGTCTAGACTGACAAACGATCCTACAATAACTTCCGCAGTATGCGAGAGTTTGTATCCAGGCCGGTTAGCGACTGTCATCATGGCAACTTCATAATAGCGACATAGTCAGGTATGCGACATTTCAAACAGCGACTGTCATAATGGCGACCGCATTAAAACAGCGACTGTTATGATAGCGACTTAACTCGTGTTCACTGAGTTGAATTCACTGAGTCGAATTTCCTGGTCGGTCGTTGGAAGGTAAACGCTATGTCGTGTCACATTAATTTTAAGGTCGTCAGGGTCAGGGTTTGTCGCTGTTGTGGCAGTCGCTGTTTTAAATGAAACGCTGCCGTGTAGTCGCTCTATTGACAGATGACAGTCCAACGCTTTCGTGTGGTCGCTCTATTGACAGTCGGTGTTCTGACAGTTGCTATTTGGAAACCTAGCCGTGAGAGTTATTGTCTCACCCCAAGAGTAGTGTGATAAAATTTATTTCCAATCGTAGCAGTGGCATCAAATGCCCAATTTGTTCTAATTCTAAGCAAGCGAAGAATCGTGTTTGGAGGAAATTGTAAATTAGATACTGAAGTTTGAGTAGTCATGTAGCATTTACGGTTTGAGTATATTAATTTCTCGCTGTTTGGATAATACATAGATGATTTCTTGAAGAATTTTCAACACTTACGACTATAAAAAAGCACGTCCTTTGTCTTAATTGTATGATTTGAATAAATCTTAAATAAATAATGAAATATTTACTATTTAATATGTGAGTCTAGATATTTAGTAGGTTTTATTCCGGAAAACACTCAATCATCTTCGTATCAAAATGTCCCAAGGAAGACTAGCAGATCAATGCACTATTGTAACCGGTGGTAGTAGTGGAATAGGTCGGGCGATCTGCCAAGTTTTTGCCAGGGAAGGCGCTAGTGTTGCAATTTGGGCCGAAACCTTCAAAGACTTTCTGAAACTATGAATACTTTGCCAACTAATCATGGAAATAAACATTGCATAATACAAGCTGATGTGAGCTCTGCTGAGCAAGTAGCAAGAGCTTTTGAAGAAGCAACGAGACAGATGGACAAGAAGATCACAATCCTTGTAAATAACGCAGGGATATTGAGATGTGATTTCGTTGATGAACTCAAAGAAGACGTTTTTGATGAAATGATAAAAATAAATTTGAAAGGACATTTCCTGATGGCCAAAGAATTTGTGAAATCACTATCGGAAGTGGACAAAACTCAAGAATTTTGTTGCATAGTCAATGTATCCAGCATAATTGGCAGAAGAGGTATTCCATTATATGCTGGATATTCAGCCACTAAAGCTGGAATAATTGGGTTAACGAAATGTATCGCATCCGAATATTCAAAACACAAAATCCGCTGTAATGTTGTTGTGCCGGGAGTGATTGAAACACCTATGATTGATATTGTAACTGAAGATATTAAAGTCAATGCTATTGCAAAAATACCAATGCAAAGATATGGTGAACCCAAAGAAGTAGCAAATGCCTGTTTGTTTCTGGCATCAAATGAAAGTTCATATGTCAATGGGGCTTGTTTGGAAGTTACAGGTGGATTGTGAGGATGAACATATAACTTCACATTTTTATTTTGGCATTCGTTCGGCGAGCCAACCTATGTTATATATATATATATATATATATATATAATTTAACTCATCGCTTACAATTTTATATTATATTCTTATTATGACTTCTTAGTTAGGCTTCCCGCTGCTTGTCAGCAGGGAACCTATTGTATTCCTGTGTTTTATTATTATTATTTATTTATTATTATTAGGCTTCCCGCTGCTTGTCAGCAGGGAACCTATTGTATTCCTGTGTTTTATTAGGCTTCCCGCTGCTTGTCAGCAGGGAACCTATTGTATTCCTGTGTTTTATTATTATTATTTATTATTATTTATTATTATTTATTATTATTATTTTTTTTTCAAATTGGTCCTACAAACTTGAAATTCACCTCAAATGTGCAGAAGTTCTCAGCTAGCAATAAAATGCAAATTTTATGCATGACTGACCACGCTTTCACGCTCCAGTGAGCAAAACGCGTATTCAGTTTTTTTGCGATTTCTCAAAATTGATACATGGTATTGGGTTAAAATTCATAACAATGATTAATGGACTTGTTCCGGATACAATATGTCAAGGATACGCATGAGTGATCTCGGCGATACGCTCCAGTGAGCAATATAGGATTTTACATTTTCATCTTCTTCTCGAGAACGACACTACTTAGAGACTTGAAATTTACATCACATACAGACAATAAGTCCTCCATCATAGTTTGCAAATTTTATGCATGACTGACCACGATTTCACGCTCCAGTGAGCAAAACGCGTTTTCAGTTTTTTTGCGATTTCTCAAAATTGATACATGCTATTGGGTTGAAATTCATAACAATGATTAATGGACATGTTCCGGATACGACATGTCAAGGATACGCATGAGTGACCTCGGCGATACGCTCCAGTGAGCAATATAGGATTTCACATTTTCATCTTCTTCTCGAGAACGACACTACTTAGAGACATGAAATTTACATCACATGCAGATGATAAGTCCCCCATCGTAAACTGCAAATTTTATGCATGACTGACCACGCTTTCACGCTCCAGTGAACAAAACGCGTCTTCAGTTTTTTTTACGCGGGAAGCCTGGTAAAGCTGCACGCAGCTCTAGTTATTATTATTATTTATTTATTATTATTTATTTTTATCATTTTTTTTTCAAATTGGACCTACAGACTTGAAATTCACCTCAAATGTGCAGAAGTTCTCAGCTAGCAATAAAATGCAAATTTTATGCATGACTGACCACGCTTTCACGCTCCAGTGAGCAAAACGCGTCTTCGGTTTTTTTGCGATTTCTCAAAATTGATACATGCTATTGGGTTGAAATTCATAACAATGATTAATGGACATGTTCCGGATACGATATGTCAAGGATACGCATGAGTGACCTCGGCGATACGCTCCAGTGAGCAATATAGGATTTTACATTTTCATCTTCTTCTCGAGAACGACACCACTCAGAGACTTGAAATTTCCATCACATGCAGATAATAAGTCCCCCGTCATAAATTGCAAATTTTATGCATGACTGACCACGCTTTCACGCTCCAGTGAGCAAAACGCGTCTTCAGTTTTTTTGCGATTTCTAAAAATTGATACATGCTATTGGGTTGAAATTCATAACAATTATTAATGGACATGTTCCGGATACGATATGTCAAGGATACGCATGAGTGACCTGATATTGTAACTGAAGATGATAAAGCTAATGCTATTGCGAAAATACCAATGCAAAGATTTGGTGAACCCAAAGAAGTAGCAAATGCCTGTTTGTTTCTGGCATCAAATGAAAGTTCATATGTCAATGGGGCTTGTTTGGAAGTTACAGGCGGATTGTTGGCATGAACAAATTATTTCATATTTTTGGACACGTAGTGGACATAGCGATCATTTCAATATTATGTTGTAGTTGTTCTTGTTGTTTGACACGTTTTTAAAAAGTCGCTTTTCTCTTTGATTACTGGACCAATTGCTTTGAAATTTTCAGTGGTTAAAGATAAAAACTTCCTTCAGAAGGCTATTACTTTTTTTTTTCTTTCTACGACGTCATCAAAATTATTGCCATCAGGTGACGCTACGTGTCTATATATTTGAGCATAGCTCTCTTGTTATTTTGGGATTCGTTCGGCGAGCCAATCTATGTTATATATGTATATATATAATTTAACTCATTGCTTACAATTTTATATTATGCTCTTATTATTAATTCCTAGTTGCTTATATAAAAAGCTTCAAAATCACAATTTATATAAGCAAATAACAGTATCAAGCGAATACTGCGTGTTTACTATGCTATTGCGATTAACATCACAAATCATGAAGTATTTGAATGTAGTTCATCATTTATTGAGCAAAGGATTGAATATTATTTGGTTTATGGCAAGAAGAATTTACATGAATCTTGTGAACGCGAGGATCTATTGGTTAATTAAAGTATCGAGCTTGTATTACTTGTTGCTTACCACTTATGTTAAAGGACGTTTTCTGCGTTATCGTACATTAAAAACAAATACAGACCAAGGCTAGAAGATCTTCAGTTTTCCGTCTCTCAAATTTGAATTGAAATCACAGTGTTGTGCTCTAAACACAGATCCTATAATAATCATTAGGCAGAATAGTGCAAATATTTACAATTTTATATGCTGTGCTTAATTATGTAGATGAAAGCCTAACCTTCAATTTCCCATTCTTGCCATTTTTTTTATTAGCCTATGCTCTGCACTTTCCTTAATTTGATTGCTGCTCAGCAAGTAAAAGCTTTGTGGATCGCGTTGTTCGCTTTGCACAAGCTAGCTATTAGGGTGTTGAAACGTCAGTGGTATAAATAGGAAATTGGTCCTAGGTATAGTCTTTGCAAAGACATTGGAATTGCTTGCACGAACTGGATTAAACAAAATTGAAAACTCGTTTGGCGGGCCCCACACCATTCAAAATTGGAACTTCTCTTGGGCCGCACAATTTTTCCTTGTGTGCGCAGGTCACACATCTATGCTGTAAGATATGAAGTCTACTTAATCCCGAAAAATAATAATGTCAATGTCAGCAAACAGTTTTGAATCCAATGTGAAAATTAAAATAGGTCATTATT